AAAATAGTGTTGAGTAATGAGAAAAGTATATTTAATTATACATGAAAACGAAATCATAATAACAATTTAATTACCTAATAATCCTTTTTATATTATTTTTGATGTTTTGAATTCTGATAAGCGATGGTTATCTTTTCAATATGAATTTGCCGTAGCCTGTGCATAGTAAGTAATAAATTAATATATATTTTTATAACTTTCGCCGAAGTTCTACAACACAATAATACCTTATCGCCTCGCGACTATCGAGTCAAATATATATTTTTGTACAGTTTTGTCATCACTCATCAGAGTATCTATTTAACAGAATACAGAATGATGGATTAGTGGAGTACCTAAATTTATATTACATTTATATTTTATATGTTTAAAAAAGTTTTGTTTTTTAACATTATATTCATTTCAATATTAAATATTTTCCGGTTTTCCTTAAAATTAGTGATATTAAGAAAAAGGAAAGACGGTACTGAAAGAGAGAGAGAAAAAAGTAAAAAGTTATTGATGCGAAGTGGAGAAAATGTATGAAATTAGTTTCATATTATTGCAAGAGAAATTTACCTAAAATTTTAACGGATACTGAAAATATCTCTAATCATAATGATTTATCATTTAAAACCGATTATCTTATGTAAAGAAATTTTAAGAATATTAAATTTTGGTTACCTATTTTATTTTAGATTTTAGATTTAAAGTTTTTTTTAATAGTTTTATCAATAAAATACCTACCTATGCAATTCATTTTTGTATTTGTTATTTACCTAATTACATTTAAATACAAAATTCATTACATACATAAATAAAATAAATTTTCTATTCAATGAAAATGTTGAATGGTCTGAAAAAAATTTTTATTTCTACAGGCCTGAATTTTTTTCCCACTCCGCCCCTAACAAAGGTAGAACACGATTGAATACGTTAGTCTTTTTTGGCATCACGATTGCGTATTTTGTAGACAGGTTAACTTAAGTAAAAAAATAAGTATGATTCCAAATGAAGTTATATGAAACGTTGTCGAATTTATTAATTTTAATTTTTACCATATTATACCTAAGTAATAAATATTTAGTAAAATGTGTACACCTCTATAACAAACAATACAAAATAATAAAATATATCAAATGAGAATAACTAAATAATAGTAAAATAAATAAATAAAATCGTCAATAAATTATTAATAATATTATTAATAACGCTTAATATTTCGTATACAATCGTGTAGTTAAAAATCAAGTAAAATCGTACGCAATCGTGTTTTATCCATATAAAATTACTCTTAAATACATATATATTATATACATTATATATTTATATATACTTAGTGGTATAGGCTTTATCCATTATACTAACCCATTCGACATTCGACACCATTGTACAGCAGAACGGTATCCACTGGCCAGTGGTCAACCTTTTTTACCTCACAAATTTAATGTAAGAATATTAGTTTAGATTTGTAAATAGAGACTATAAGTTATTTTGTTGCCATCCGAGTAATTTCTTTTATATGACTTATAATATTTACCACTTACGTGATAATGTGATTTTAGGTTTTTTGAACTACTAAACGCCCGTTTAACGTTTAACCCGTATTAATCCGAATAAAGACGATTGTTAATCGTTTGTTCTCGTGCAAAGTTCTGGTTCTAACACGACTGGACGATTCGTATTAATTTTTTATTATCGTAACTACATTGCACGAACCGTAATTAATTCTAATGATACGGTTATTATTTCATCTCTTTTTAGTGTTATTAATATACTTCGACATTTAGTGTGTATAAACTAGGAGGCGAATGACAAAGTATAAATTATTATTTTTTTTTCGCTCAAGAAAACAAATTTTGACGGTTAAAGTTCGACGACACGCGGCCGCAGGCGTCGCCGTCACACGCGAGCACGAATGCATGCGGCTGCTACTGCTGAGTGCACCGACCTTCGATCGTATAGTACCACGACGAAGGTCGGCCACGACGGTGTATGTCGCCTTGTCGTCGCAAATCCTCCTCCCCTCGTCCTTCTTCCCATTACTCACGACGATGACGACAACTTCTATCTATACATTATTATTACCAACCCAGTCAGCTGGAATTCGATCGTCGCGAATACATAATCGACAAAGCGGAGAACAATTTTAGGAGACATTAACGACTGACGAAATGTGCATGAAAAGAAAACTTGAACCGTACTCGAATTTAAACCAATGTTATAATATTATGTGTAACAAAAATAAAGAAATTTAATCATATTATTATATCAAAATAATAATTATTTTCATTAAATTATATGTATTATAAATAGTAAATAAAGAAGGTACTTAGAATATTTAATTAAAATATGTTGTTATAATATTATAAACTATACATATTATTTATGTTTTTTATTAAGTATACAAACATTATACTTTGAGCTACGACATGTTCTGTTATAAAAATAAATAAACATATATATTCTAAAGTTATGCATAATATTAAAGCAAAACCAGTTTACATCATGATTTTCATATTCATTATTGCAGTTGATGTGCTTGCTTCTTTGCACCACTTAAGTATAAATTGTTGTATGGTAAAATTTATAAATCATAACATACATACAAATATTAAGTCTCCATTATAATGTTTTTTAAAATTAGAACAAAATATTAATATTGATATTCGTCATTTAAATATGTAATTTCGTAAAAATTTTAAACTAAAAAATGTTTATAAAAAATTATACCTATGTATTCTTATAATTTTTATATGGATATATGTATAAGAATAACTTATGTGGGAATTAGCATTAAATTTTCAAGACTAATGATCCAGAAAAATTTTTTTATTGTTATTTATCTAAAATTAAATTTTAAAAAATATACTGTGTAAAAGGTTAGGTTAATTAATAATAACAGTATTTGGTGAAAATTTCATACCTATGATTATTCATTTTTAACAAAAACAGAAATTGTTTGTGGAGAAATAGTAATTATAATCCATTGTTATGAAAATTTAAACTTCAAACAACCATACAAGATAAAGAAATCAATTTTATCAAAAACTGATATAGTGTAAAAATTCCCATTTTTTCTTAGTTAATTTGTTTTTTCTGATTATTAAGAAAATTATTGGAATTTTATTTTTATTTTTGACACATGAAATACTAGTTAGATTCAATTTTCTACCAGAAACCACTTTTACAGACAAGAACTGTCTACATATCTACAAAATTTTAATTAACGTGCGTTTTATAAATAAATAACTTTGGGAAAATGTACAGAATAAGCTGATATATCCTTATCGTTGAAAGATATTTTCCATTGAACATAATATGCAAATAATAAAGTCAATGTCGACTTTATTAGACGTCAGAACTAATTTTTTACTCGGCAGATGATCACGACGTCGCATGTTTTGCAAGTTAAGAAACTGTGACTACTTTCTTATTAGGTATATATTTCTCACACTTTCAATTTGAATATTTTAATAATCTCACCACTCTCTCCATAATTGATCAAGATATTGTACAAAAATTGTTTATATTTACAAACTTTATTTAAAAAAAAAAAAATAGAAAATTGTAAAAATAGTATTCATAGAAACTTTAGGGCAAATGTTAATTTTTTTTTAGAATTCTCATTTGTATTAATAATTTGAAATCATAAAAATTTATTGTTTCGTTCAGTATAATGTCATCTACTGGTGAATAATTTCACTAAAAATGGTATTTATTTTTAAGTTAATTGAACTGCTAATGCACTAGACTACTAGAGTGCGCACTTAGTATAAAGTTACATCGTTGGTTTAGGATCATAATAATAAATTATTCATGATAATATTAAAACGAAATTAATCAGTAGATATTATAAAAAAAATGTTCATTTTACTAATCATATTATCTGTTTAAAAAGTTAGTTTCATTTTCAAGATATCTATAATCTTTGAAATTTAAATCGGAGTACAAATAACTTGAAGCTTTTTTTTAAATTTAAAAAATATTTTTAAAGATTTAAATAATATAAATTATAAATCATAAATAAATGTTATGAATTTCAGTAAGTATTATATTGTATTTTAATTAAATTCTAGTGTTTTGTACGTAATCAGTAGTGAGTGTATAAATATAATATTAATGTAATTATATATTGGTAAATTTAAGACTTAGATACTATGAATTATAAAAAATGATTCACTATTACTTTTTTTTATATTCATAAATACCTATAACTTGGTGGCTTTTGGTTTTAATTTGTTGTCATTTTAGATATTTTTAATTTAGTATCAATTATTTAAATAACTATTGTTAAATTTTACCTTAAATCTGACATTCAAATTATTATTACTAAACTAAAAACATACGAGTATAACAGGAAAATTAAAAGAATTGTACATTTTCTAAGACAGCCATAAATTCTATATAGTTGTTTACAGTTATTCAATAATTCCTAATATTACTACTTATTTAAAAAATTATGCACCACCATTGTTTTTTGTATCGATTCTTGGGAGAACAATTTCATATAGATAGTATAGATTATGGAGTATCGTATTTGTACTAATGTGAGCATATTTTACTATGTAATTAATTTTTCTAATCAATTTTCCATATTTAAGGTTATTCTTTAGAACTCAATGAGTTAACGTTAATTTTTAATTGTGGTGGTTTGGCCGTGCGGGGTGAGATGCCGTCGTCAACTTTGCAATCAATTTTAGTAAACTATTTGACTAAAAAATGTTGAATATTCTACTGTATTTTGTAAGTGCAATTTTGTTTACATTATAATTCTATTAATTTATCAGCGTATCAATGTATTTACACCTGTGTAAAAGTGCAATATACCTGGGATTTGATTAGACCTTTTGTATTTTATTCCATATGCAAGTAAGTTTACTCAATTGTTTATGTTTTCATAAGTTTTTAATGAAAACATGAGAAAATATACATTAATACCCACATACAAGTGAAGGTCTTTATTCCTTTTTGTTCACATTTGTAGTTTGTCATTAAATTATCGAGTGTAATATTAAGTTATAACTACTATTATTTCACAAACGGTGTTAAAAATGTCGAAATATAAATCTCTAATCATTATTTTAATGATTATGAAATTTCTATATAATAATTCAGAAGCGATGGATTTTAGTAGTAAGTGTTTTTTATGTATATTTAAAAAATAATGATTTGTATTTTACTTTTAATTATTACATTGTGATTATAGATATATTCAAACTTGGCGATACTAATGAAATGTATCAACAAAGAATGATCAGTCAAGGTAATAGTTATTTTTAATTATTATAATATTAGTTAACCACATTAGATAATAGTAAATACGAATATTAGATTAAATTTTCGATAATATTTTTCAACAAAGCTAATAAGTAGGTACTACAATAATATGGTCCATAGATAGAGACATAATACTAAATATTATTTACGATTATGTCGGATATTTTTGCACGAATATGAATGCAGAATAATTTTGTGTAGTTATTAATTATCTATTATATGGTACCTACTTATTTATTATCATCAATGAAATAAGGTTAACAATATGATGATAATAAGTTTGTAAAATAATAAAATATAAAAACATTCATAATTCCTTTAAAAATTATAATATTGTAAAAAATCGACAAGATATAACAGTAGGAATATTATGCGAGTTGATGAACTTTCTTCCTTTTTCTTATCTTCCTTAGACAGTACTGTCATTATCACCGCCGCTGCCGCCAACATAGCTTTCAACAGCGAGCGCCCTTGTATCTACAATCAATCAATTTTGTTATACCGGGGTGGGCAAAATCTCGAAAGTTGATTGCGCTATCTTTATTGCTATGACACGGCGTTTAAAAAAAATAGACATGTGATAAACAGGTAATTGGAAGTCAACAACATTAGGAAGACGTCCACATGTCATGTTCTGTAGTACCTATATAATCAGTACGCGAGCAATGGATTTACGTTCGAAATCGGTTGCGTGACTTTTGCCCACCTTGGTATTTACTTATTTTTGTTATAACTTGTTATCAAATAATATACTTTTGATCGTAACACAATACTACATACCTAATAATATTATATTAAATGAATTTGAATAAATTCCTTGTTATAATAATATTTAAGTCCTACACTATATATATATATATATATATATTGTGCATATAACATATTTCTATTTCTTGAAACCCTAACTAATATATACGAACAAAACAATAGTAAAATCGTTTGTAGCTACCATCTGTTAACAATGTTAACATAGGTAAACAACCTTTTCTAAACACGCCTAATATAAATATCATCGCCAATGTTTGATTTGCGTTTTATTATTTCCACCGATGTAGGATCTATATTACATTGTTGAACAATGCCGAAAATAAAAATAACAATTTATTAAACGGTTGTATTCCTCTAAACCATTTACTCATTTAGATTTTGTGAAGGTTTAAAAAAAAATATTAGTTCATTGTAATTTACAACTGGTTTTAACTCGATAAGTAATCGATTTTGATACAATACAAATAATGGGCACTAAAGCTGCTAATAATGGGGAAAATTTAAAACGAATGCAATTTAACTGACTAAAGTATTTTGAAGAATGCTAATCAAAAAGGTTAATGACAAAGAAAAATTAAATCCAATAAAAATAGATTTTTGTAGAATATTATCACGCGTGTCCAAAACTTCGAATCTTAGCAAATATCCAATACTTTCTAAAAACACTTCACATTCGTGAATTATAAAGTCTAGCAATCTATTTAAAAATTCTAGATTAGTATTGTTTGAATAATTACAAACAGAACAAAAAAATAATAAAACACTCGATGCCAGTTAATTCAATTACTATTGGATAAAAAATGTCAAGTTACACTTAAATTCTGAAGTGTATCCATATAAACACTTTAGGGTCAACTTTCAAAGCAAACAATCGTCTGTACTGTATAATTTTTGTACAGATTTTCAAAAGAAACTACTAAAAGTCATTATTATCAAAATCATGTTCTAAGCGCTGTTGATCGATTACGGTAGAATGACAATGTTATATTGTCGACCGTGGACCTGTGAATATAATTTAAGATTGATAAACCTTTGTAGAAAAAACGATTAATACTACACGACCAGATAGTAACTTATAATCCGTCTAGTAGTGATGTTTGATAATTGTAAGGTGTATTTATTTTTTTTTTATTACCTTTTTATATATTTTGTAAATTGTGTATATTTTGTTTTCTTATGTATTATATTCTAACTTTATTATTATTGAAAACATTTTGTTTTTAAATATCACTCTTGTTTATATTTTACACAAAATTTAAATAACATAAATATTAAAACAGTATATCAGTATTTCTGAAACGATACCATTAAACGGAGTTTCGTCTTGAGGATTGAAATATTGCTAAGAAATTTTAATTAGTATAGTGTGGTTCGCGTGGTTCATCGTTTTCTTTGTGGCTTGTCTGTGATGATAGATTTTCTTAAATCATTAAATATTAAAATGTTTTTTATAGGTTGGATAAAATTAATTATTAATTGTGGAATTATATTATAATACCAGTATATATAATAGATTATTCGTTGAAATATCTTTACAAATTAAATATGTTAATATTGGTCTTATAGCCTATGGAAAAAATTAATATTTTCTAATCTTATCTTTTCAACAATCTATGAGGAATTACTGCAATATATTCAGTTGCATATAATTTTAGCTAATTTATTGTGCTAACGGACCTTATTGAGGCGTATATCAGTCGCTTGATTCTCCGGACCGTCGTGAAAGAGACAATTTAAAAGAAAATAATAATTGCTATGCAATATTATAATATATATTATAACTCCATGTATTTCTATGTATTTTATTCATGTGCTTTACATCATACGTATGTGTGCATATCATGAACAAGGGGTGAGACGGGGAGCACCGCTCTACATGAAAATTCTTGAAGATATTTGTTAATTGAAGCAGAGCTGCTGGATAGGGTGTGAAGCTGGACGAGACCAAGTGAGTGACTAAAGGTATAAGTACTGCTAAGCTGAAAACGCGAATACTGAGCAGATCATCGCGTAATTAACGAGATCACGTTAAAGTATAGATCATATAGTCAAATCTGAATTGATTTAGATCGAACGGGTGCGATACAACAACACAATATTCGAATAATAGTGAACGCCAAAAGAGCAAAACTTTGCGAAAAACAGAAGATGAGAGCACAACAAAACAACAGTACGTAACGGAATAACATAAACAATAAATGGTAAAAACTAAAAATGGCCGTTGGCGGTGGCATGCGGTGCGTCCGCGTCGTTTCGCTGTGGGGCGGTGGGTGACGAGCGCAACAGTGTCGCCAATTCTGCGGGTGACCACTGACCATTGACCAAGCACGGTCACGGATCAAAATCCAAAATCCGAGATAGTTAGGACACGTAAAAACTAAAAAGATCGAACATAATTTTGTAATTTTGTAATACTATAATTGATATTACTATATTAGTGATATTACCAATAACATGTGTTAAAACTTAAAATAAACAATGTTAAATTGTTAATGATTTTCACGTGGTTTGATATATATTCAAGTATTCTAGACGCTTGTAACTCGATATATAACATGTTCAAAAACTTGCGGACGAGGAATCAATGAAGAAATTACTGTAATCAATGGATTTAACCGTCGGTAATGATGGAACATACCTAAAAGTTTTCTTCTTGTGATTTGCAGTTATATTTTCAATTGAATTTGGCAATAATTGGTATGTTCCAAAACAAATTTAAATTTATCTTAAACACTTTGAAAAATAAATGTATTTTTTTATAATAAATATGAAAGATAGCTCTACACAATTGACTGGATGGAGAGTGGAAACAAAATGATTTCATTTTGCACTTTGAAACCCTTACAAAATATTTAAAATACTTATATTTTATGCTGGGGATTGATCGAAATGTTTCTACAGGTTTATTTGGGTGTGTATTATTGTTGGAGATAGGAATATATGCATGCAAGGACGTACTCGTTGATGACATTGACCATTGACGACCACAAAACGATTTTATACTTATGTATGGCTTGCATAATATTAAGTTGGCCAGTTATTTTAAGAAATTATGTTATATATACAACTCTACGGTATATTTAGTATAATACAGCTTGAACATTATATATTTAAGTGTAGGACTTAAATGGTATGATAATAGCGAAGAAATTTATTTTAATTTATTAAAATATATGCGGCAATATGTTATTATCAAATGTATATTATCTTATAAGTTTTAACTGGTTGCAACTTGTAGATACAAGGGCGCTATTGTAGGCTGCTGTGTCAGATTATGCTCTTATCTGTTTAAAACTAGGTTAATTCACTATAATATTAAAATTTACCCAATATTTTTATATTGATTGTAAATAGGTTATGCTATAATCCTGTATGATTGTAAGACGAAGATAACACAACATTATGTGGATATATAATATTCTCCTAATATTTGACTGTCATCAGTCGATCATATTACCTATATTGTATATATTTGATGTGTATATATATATATATATATATATATACATATTTATACACCCACACAAAACAAAATTTAAATTCCTAGTATTATTTTAATAATATAAGATAAATCATGTTAATTAGTTTAACAATGATAGAATAATATAAGGGTCTTGTACTTTTATGTTCTTTTAATAAAACACTATTTAAGTAATAGAAAAATAAAATTTATTTAAAAAATAGTGGTTAATACTATATAATTAATAGATATCTACTACTCGTATTTTTATATAAAAATTAATTTGTTATATTAACAATAATTCTCATTGTTTAGGTTTACCATTTGTGGGTGAATCATACGATGAGTATTCGAAAAATATTATAAGTCGTGGTGGTAATTAAATTTAAATTTAGTATTTGATACTTTATTTATGTTCAATTTGTATTGTATATATTTTAATAATTTAATAATAACTTATAGGTAATATAATAAATTCATGTTAAAATTTTATTAGTAAATAATGTAAAGATACTTATGAAATTATTAGTTTATGTTAAATTGATTAATTAAATATATACAATATATATATATAATGATAATACATAAATACCTAATTCAATATCCAGCTACTACCATTGATTATAAAATAGACTATAGTAGGGTGAATAGTGACTATATGTCCCGTTTCAAACGCGATTGTCCCTTTTTAATCATCATGTCCCGTTGTCTTGACAAACTCTGAACGGGACGCTTTTTATCCCGTTTTTAAAAAATGGTACCTATTGTTTTAATCCCGTTATTTCCATATTATTAGTTATTGTTTGTAAAAAAAATATCAATATATTAAAAAAAATATGAAACAATTTCAAAAAGAGCAACATATTATAATTATTATTTTAATAAATTGTAACTTAAATATAATTGAAAAAAATAAAAAATAATTTTATTAATAAAAATTGTTTGTCCGTTTTTATTTTCATGAAAATGATCACCCTAGACTATAGTTTTTTCTATAATCAATGCTACTACCTATATTAATTTTTCTGACGTAGTGTTAAATATAATATACAATTTTTTCGTAATTTTTAAAGTTCATATTATGTACATTGTGCATTTAAAAATACTAAATTATATTTGTGACAAATATCATTTGTAAAATGAAATGAAATTATGTATTATTAAATTAAATTTGAATTTTATCAAAAAAAAAAATAATAGGTTCTTAAGTAGACTATTTATAATAATTTAATTTTTACTAGTAAAACTTTGTATTGTGGAAATAAGATTAACTTGTTTAACTTTAGCACCTCAAAATATGACTTTAATTACTAAGGATGAATACAAAATATTAATGAACAGTAAGTAATTTTGTATGTAATAGTACATTTGATTAGAATGTTTTTTATTACTTTAACTATTATCATTAGTATTAAATTTTAAATCACTAAAATTTAAAATCGTTATGCATTTTTGTATCTACGAAAACTTGCATCATATTTGTTCATATGAATATTGAATTAATTAAATAATATAATATTAGTTACTACCATTATTTGAAATACACTGTTTTTATAGTTATATGTTTATGAATGTAAATAAAATAATACTTGAACAGGCTTGTTCAAGTATTATTTACATTATGTTTATTTAAAACATATAAATATGCAGGTGTGATTCATAAATATTTAATTTTGAATAAGATAGAAATTAATTTTAAAATTAAAATCCTACTAAAGTTTTATTTTTCAAGCATTGAATTCAAATTTTAAATTTTAATATATTCTAACATACACTTAGAGTATGTTAAACTTCATATTATTTTTTTTAAGGTATACCTATAATAAATGAATCAATGGATTCCGTCAATGAGAGAAATTTAGAAACTCAAAAAGGTAACATTTTTCTAATTTAGTATATTTTTTTAACATTTGAATGTTTACTCATATAATGTAGATTTGTAAGTATTCAATATTATAATCACTGTCTATTGTTAAGTTTCAAGTGCATTAATTTGTATAAATATAAGTAGCTAATGTAAAATATCTTATGTTTATGTTAGTTTATTTTGGCCCAATTCTAACATTTAGGTGTTTACTAAAAATTAAAATTGGATCAAAAATAAATAAATAAATTGGAAGGTAGAAATTCTGTGCAATTTCGTATTTGTTATACCTAAACTTACTGAATTTAGATTAAAAGTTTTTGAAAATTGTATAACGCTCTAAAAATACTACTAAAATAACGAATAAAAATAGATGGGAGTGATGAAAATATAGTAAAAATATTAGGTGTATCAATTGCGCCAAAATCAAAGGTAAAAAAAAAAAAAAAATATATGAATAAATAAAAAAAATAAAATTTATAAAGGTTATGAATAAATTATTATTGGGCTGAACAATATTTTGAGGTATGTGATGGCGTAAATGATGATTTCGCCAGCACCACATATTGATATAAGTTAAGACTCTAAATGCGATAAATCAGAAACGTATCAAAACGGTAAATTCGTTAATGTAAATTAAGTAAGATAATACTTGTAGAATTATCTGGAGATTAAATAAAGTTACATAAGTTGTTTTAATTATTGTAGATAGCATTATTTCGTCATTCATACAATCATGTAGTCTTATGTAGGTAGTCGAACATGAATATACAAGTTGAACTATTCTATCTATTCAGATTCTCTCCCATAGAATACCTAGATTATAATAAATATCTAGTTGTATAATATATTTATATTATATCGAATATTGAAAGTAATGTTCAAAAATTGTATTTTTATGATGTATTTCACAAGGAGATAATTTTCGTCAATCATTGATTATTAGCTTAAGATTAATTGATTACTTGTCTCATTGGATATCGTTGATTTAACATTGTCACATAATATTAATATTTATTGATCTATAGATTATAACAGTATACACTTCTGTGGATAGTGTGGATCCATGTCAAAGGATAACGGTCAATTGACAGCGCAACAATAAGTAGTGGACAATGGATCGCGTGACAATTGATAGTATACGACAAGGATGGTCAAACTTTTTTTGGCCGCGATCTATTAAAAATATACTTCACCTTTGAAGATTGACTTCGATAAAAAAGTTTTTTTTATTATGAAGTAATCATCCTAATTAATTTTCGTGTGCATAACCTAAAAATAAATTTGATCTTACTAATATATATATTACAAAATAACTTTGAAATCGTTTGCAATCGACTGTTTGGCCGCCTCTGTTATACGACAATAATTGATAGTGTCATGAAATTATTTTAATTCCAATTTTTTACAAATAAACTATTTCAATAATAATAATAATAATAGGTTTTCAGTAATAAACTTTAACAAAGTTGTGAATAATTAAAATAATTGTAGGTACTTACCTAAACCTAATAAAAAAAATCAAACATAATTCTGATTTTTCACAAATAAACTTTAACAAAGTTATCAATAATTAAAATAATAATATCTAATAAAAAAAAACTTGTAGTTGAAAGTTATGCGAAATCCCTCGTAAATAATCTTCTTTATTTCTTTACTTCTAATATTATATAATCGCTACATATAATTTTAAGTTTTCTGATCGATCATTATATTTTTATTTTTGACGATGGTTGATTTCCTATGTGACTAATTGTTCAACTTTCAACCAATTATTTTAACTATTGAAAACTTTGTTAAAGTTTATTTCTGAAAACCTATTATTATTATTATTATTATAATTATTTATATAGTTTATTTATAATTTAATTATTGACAAATTTGTGAAAAATTGGAATTAAATTTTTTTTATGAAACTATCAATTATTGTCGTTCGATCTATTGTCGTGCTATCAATTGACGGTATACCGTATACTGTATAGCATATATTATATTATGTATAAACATAATTATTTTGTATTATAATATTCATTTTTATTAGTTGAATGCCAATTATGGCTGCTGTGCAGGCATATTTATTAGCTTAGCATTTTTGCAATGAAACTTATATTTATTCATTTTCATTTTATAGTAAAGGTCTATTGATTTATTATAAATGTAATGATCATATATTTTTTATAACGATCGAAATTGGTTTATTTTAAAATGTATTAATTTTTCCTATAGTGTAAGGGTGGATTTATATTCTTCTGGAATAACTGTTTTATGTACTATGTACGTTAATAATTAGTTTTTTATTTAAAAATCAACAGTAGAAATTTAAATTATAAATTGCTTAGTTAAATCTATTAGAGACAATTCCAGTAAGTAAAATATAAGATAATTCAAGTGAATAGTGTTTTTGAAATCGGGAGGGAATTTGAGTAATATTTAAAAAAAAAATAATCATAACAGACGATATGAATGTACCTAGTGTACCCATTAAACAACTTAATATGTATTTAAGAATTATATTATAATATGATAATTATATTTATTGACCTGAAGTGTTTGGGAATCAGAATTTTAGCTTGATTTTGTCGTAAAATGTATTCGTTAAAAATTTTAAATAATGAAAATTTAAATCAATTATGTACTGAGTTGTTAACGAGTACCTATTTGTTGATAGAATTTCAATCAAAGCTGTTTTTGATTAACCTAAATAAATTAACATAAAAATGCAATTCAATAAATTCAGGTTTCTATAAATGTTATCAGTTATTTTCATAATCGACTGATAAAATAAATCTTAAAACGATTTATTATTTTTATTATAAGATTGTGAGATTTTAATATATATTTATACTTATACATCAAATTAAAATATATTGAACATACATGTTTAATATATATGTATATATATCAGTTATTTTCCTTTTTAGTCAGTTTTTTTAAAAATAAAAGGTGTGTTTTTAGAGTTACAAAGCAATCATCCAGAATTTCCCGAAAAATACAGTGAGTTATTTAATTAATTTATTATTAATACAATATTTTGTTCAACGTAATAAAATAATAATAATAATAAAAAAAAAAATTATATTGTAATTTTTATAAAATAATAATAATGTTTTAACATTCTCGAAATGTTAACACGCCATCTGAAAAGATACTAACTAAACATCTTTTTAGCTTCATGGTCTGCTGCTGCTTTTTAAAATTAAGTTGTGTTTTTAGAATTACAACAATATACGACTGACGTTTTCGAAGAATTAAAATTCCGTAAGTGTTAATTTATTAATTATTAATACTAAATTGTATTCATAACAATTCAAAATATTATAGTGTTAGGTTATTTTTTTTAATTTTTATTTTGTTATGTTATTATTATTAATTTTTTTTAACTCAGCTCTGTTGTAATAAAGTTAAATTTATAATTTAATAATAGGAGTGGATAATTAATTATGCGTTTTTCATATTATTTAATTAAGTTGAAATTTTCGGAATAAAATATAATTTAATTTTTTGGCTTATAAATACATATTTTATACCTGATATGTATCATTTCACTACGGGTTGAGCCGGTTGAGGTTTAAGTATAAAACACAATACACGTATATATTCGCTCGATACGCAATGACTCTATGGATGAAAATCTTAATCGTGTTTTACAAAACTTGCTCATAAATTTAGCCGATGGCTCGTTGAATTTCTTGTTTAAGATTCAATACAGTTCGTAGTTTATTTCCATGAACATATGATTTCATTAAAACTCTAAAGAAAAAAAAATAGAATGGAATTAAACCACACTACCTTGCAGGCGGTCACTTCTGAACGTCACGAAAAGAAGTTAAGGATTTAGTCGTAATATTTTCCCGAAGAAATCCAATCATCACCCCAGAAGTGTGATAGATGGTTAATTCGAAGTTAAACCATACATATCAAATATAAAGTATTTATTTTAAAACTAATTGATATGTAGCAAAATTAAAAAATGCGTTCTTTATGAAAGACTTTTTGGAGTTATTAATTTAATTTTGAATAATTTTGTATACCTGTCCGATTTTTACTTACTTGTATCATGAATAAGTTTTGTTTTAAATTAGAATTTTCCAATAGTACCGATTACAAAAAAAATATATATTTCGTGTATTATTCAGTAACGTAATAAAAAAAAAAAAATCATGACGTGTGTATATTAGCTATTATCAAATAATAGTCATATCCATTATATATTTTGTGTTGAAGTATACTTTTTATCTATAAACTACAACTACTAAATTAAATAGTAGTTATATTATTCAATAAATATATAAGATTAATATTTATTTTCTAGGCTATCCACGAATATATGAAACTTATACAAATTATAAGGATAGAATGGATAACCTTCGTATGTATTAATCAAGTACAGTAATTTTTCCTATAATATTAAATATGAAAAAGATGAAAGTAGAGTTATCTTATCTTTTGCAATCGAGTAAGTCACCGTAACATACTGTCTTACTCGTAATATAGGTACTCGTAAGTTGTAAGTTCATGGTTTAAAATTAATCTAAATGTTTTAAAAAATGTTATCATTGTATCATCGTGTACATAAAATATTATGATATACTTGTACGTAAAAATTTCAAATTCTCATGAGTAGTATTTTTGAATTAAAAAATACAAAATAAATAAAATTATTTTTCTTTCTTTAAATATTTAATTTAATTTAAATTTAAACTTCAGGCACTCATAAAAAATTAATTAGTTTCTCCCTTTTAGAAAAAACACGAGATCATGAGATTTATTTATATTAACAAGTAATTTTAAGAAATGGTTTATGATAGGAAAAGTACCTATGTTTTATAATTTTGTGTTTGTAAATGTTTAACTCAGTAAATATTTGAATGTGTATTTAAGAACATGTCAATCTGTTAGTTTTCACCTAGAGAAATAACATATTGCTTGGGAAACCAAACGTTACATTCTTTTTGTTACATAATTTTTTGACCGTCAGACTTATATTGGACATATATTAATGTCTAAATATTTGAAAATATTTGTGAAATTACGCTTTACCTATGTTTTTTTTTAAATGTTGATTATATTATTTTATAAAAAATTTGTATTAAATTTATTAACTATAAAAATACTTTTTTTTTTTTACTTTTATGTTTAGAAGTAGAACCTTTGGGTATAGAAATGTTCAAAAATTTAAAACAGTGTAAGTTATTTTTACTGACATAATAATTATATTATGTATTTTGATATTTTGGTTATAGCATTTTTATTAAAAATGAATAAACATAATTATTGAATGTTGATAGTAGTAACAATATAGTCATTGGATATGAATCAGATAATAATGTATTGAAATATTGTATTTATAACCCGAAAATGTATAGGATTTTCTTGAAATGAGAGCAGAAACAATGTTAGTAGACATCATTGACAATAATAAGATAGTTTAACTTATTAAATTAAACAAACAAACCTTTCAAGTTTAATAGTATGTAATATTTTCAATCATATTATAAATTTGTAGTTGTAATAAATTTTAGTCATCAATTATTGTAAATTGTAATAATAGGTACCTATAATTTCATAAGTACTTGTAATTAAATATACATAAATTATTCAATAAGTTTAAAATATTGAACGTCATAAATATTATTTTTGATATATTTAATTTTATAATATTTATAAAATTTAAATACACTAATAGTTTTTTTTATTTTCATTACTATGATTAATAATTATTATCAATTACAAAATAATTAATATTACAAAACAATATTAATAGATTATAAATTAATAAAATTATAATTCGTTTCTTTTTATTTAATATGCAGAATTTATTACAATAATATATTTCGCACTTTAATAATTTATTTGTGTTGATTTAATGTAATCAATATTATTATTGTTATTCCTCGATTTATATATGAGTATTAAATTATAATCGGAACATTTTTTTAAAATTTAAATTGTGTTTAAAGGTATTTAAAAATTTAAAAAAGATAATTTATTGGAAACATATTAATTTATTTATGCTGATGAATCTTTTAAAAATTATCTATAATCTTATTTCTGTAATAAAACTTATGTTAGCTAAACTAGTAAACTAAAAATAAAGTTAGGCATACATTTTTCCAGATTGTCCAAATTTTGGTGAATTATATGATGAATATTTGGAAACAAGGAGTATACGTTATGGTAAATGATTTACAATACAATGTTTATAGCTTTTATAATATTAAAAATTAATTTTGTAAAATTTTGAAATCTTATAACTATTAAATTTTAATATGTTGATTTAGTAAATATTTATGAGTTAATAATTATTTTTTATAAAGGTATAAATGGAATTAGTATATCAAAATTTACGGAGTTTCAAAATTGTAAGTTAATTAATCTAACGATAACATTAAATATTTTGAAATATTTTAGGTAAAATTAGATTTATGGGGTACATGTTTTATACGACATTTTTTACATAAATTTGACTGAATAACATAATAAATAATAAGTAATAACCATTACTCATTCAATTATATTATTTGATAAGCTGAGTAGATCAGATATATTATTTTCTCAAAAATAGAGGAAAAAAATTACTTTTATTTTATTAATCTAAGTACCATATTTACCTAAATGATAGGGCCTTTTTATTGTAATAACGTAAAAATAAAAAAACAATAAATAAAAACTAGAGTGCACTAAAATTGGAATTTAAGAAGGGTATAAGCCTTGAATATTAGTACCAGATCAGTGTAATTCATCACTACACTTATAAGTGCTGGATAATATAATCATCTACCAATTAAAATTTACATATATTAAATTTACGCTATTACATTCCTCCTAATATCCGGAGGACTCTCTAAAGTCTAGGTAATGTATTTTAGAATTTTATCAAGTACTTATATAAAATTAGCTTATAAATTGTTCTAATAATAAAAAATACATTATGATCATGCACTTTACTTACACAAAATTGATATATATCGTTAAAAAGGAAGGCTGAGTTATCTCCCACTAGATTTGGTGAGACTTTACAGTTGGTGCGCATACAATGGTGAAAAAGACGACGTGGTCTAGACATTGATTAAACTGGCTGTTGGTTTTATTAATAGCCTCTGTGTTTCCAAGAAATTTACCTTCTCTTTGACCTTGGTGGTAGAAACCCTTTCTCGGCTATCCCTTGTCCCTGGTGACACGAGAAAGTCACACGTCTTGCGTTCTATTGTCGCGAATACAGATCTTACAATTCAAATCGTCTCTTTCATTAATGATGATGTTTTATGATATAGTGAAAGTAAAGTTATCTGCATGGGACAACTCAACCGTTATGTACTCGTATTATCTTTAAATTGCTATTAGATAATATTTAATTTAAGTGGTCACATATAATTTTAAAAATAATTTATAGTAATTGTAGTAATTGTGTTACTTCTTTTTTTTCAGCATATCCAATGTTAGAAGAAAATGTAACTGTTTTCTTCAAAAGGATTAATATACATATTAGTAAGTAATTAAATGATCCTTGATATTGTCTTAAATATTATTTATACTAAGATCCATAAGTAATAGGGGCGGTAGTAAACTCTCCCGATTTTTAAAAATAGTAAACTCTCCCGATTTTTAAAAATAGTAAACTCTCCCGGGTTAATATTATGTTTACCTGAAGTAAATGTGTAAACTCTTCCGGGTCAACTTTATAGTTACCTGTAGGAAGTATATAAGCTCTCCCGAGTTGTTTTAAATTTTATTTCTACACTACGAGTTATCTGTATGTTCTTATTATCAAAAACAATGATTTTAACATTTTTACGTATATTTTGTATTTGTAACTTATTATTATTATTGACTATTTTTAAAGGAAATTTAAATGTATATTGGATTTTTTGAAATTTTATTTTTTATTGTATTTTGACTATATCATGTTCATAGCAGCTAAAGATATTAATTTATATTGTTATTATTATTATTATTTATGATTGACTATTTTTAAGCGCAACTTAAATGTATATTAAATTTATTTTATGATTTTTACTAGACTCGGGAGAGTTTATATGTTTCCGTTAGGTAGTACAGGAATGCTTCCAAGAGAGTTTACACGTTTCCGTCAGATAGTACTGGAGTAGACCCGGGAGAGTATACCATCGGGAGAGTTTACAATCGCCCAGTAATAGAGATCAATCACATAAATAATAATCATAATTTTTTATGCTCATTATTGTAAAATTTCAAATGATATTTGTTAAAAGTAGATATTAAATATGTATTTATTGTGAACGGTTTAAATCGTATCCCTGATTGTCTAATTGAAAATTAAATAATTTTATTATTGTACGATGATTTATGACTATTAAAAAAAAGAAATTTTGCTACGTTTCTATAGTTTACCGTAGATGTACTATCTACATTTAAAACTCACACAAAATAATACTCATTAGAGCGTGAGAAATATATTATTTTGCATATTTTTTTTTTTTAATTTCCCCATACTATAATATTTAACATAATAATAAAGCAATCGTGATTTTAAAAAAATTACCTAGTATAATAAGTAGATAAATTTTTTTATTACAGTAGATAATTGGGAGATCATAAACTTCGTTGACTATTATGTAGGATTATTATCATGTAAGTAAATTCATTTTAGATTCTAAGCGAAGTGATGAATATATTTTAATGATTTTATAATGATGTGTGTGTGTACTCATATATTATTAAGTATGTGTTTTTTATTTATATATACAATTTATTTATTGAAAACATGTTTTGATCTTCAACTTTGAGGAGAGTTATTGATATCAAATTTTATATATCTTATACAATTGAGATATTAAAATTAAAATTTCTAAGTTTTTTTTTCAATAAACCATCAAGAAAACAAAAAAAAAATTAAAGAAAAATTATAGTTTATACGCAAAATTAGTTTTTAATAAAATTGATTTTGATTTTTGGTTAACGTCAAGTACGAAAAACCGTAGATTCTTGAAATTTTCACCAAATATCTGTACAAGCATTTAATTCTTTTTAATCTTGAATTATTACATCGATAATTGAAATATTTTCTAATTTTCCTTTTCTTTAAATGTTGATAAAAAAGTGTTTGTTCAATAAAAATTTTGTAAATGTAATACAAAGTTTTACATTGATTTTTAATTTACCAAGAAAATTTTTTTTTTTTATGGTTAAAATATTTTTTATGAGAGTTCTAAGTTAGAATTTAGACAAAATTTGTATATTAGTTTTTAGTTATAAATTGATACGTTTGGTATTAAATTGTTATAGCTTATATTTGAAATTTAATTTTAAGATTGTTTTTAAGTATATTTATTGAAACCAAAAAATCTAAACAATATATAAACTTGATTTTATTTAAAGATAAAATTTGAAATTCTATATTTAAATTAAAAATAATGATTTTATTTATTTCTTTATAATTTAAAAGTACGTTTTTGGGTAATTTAAAATTTTTACATGGGTATTTTATTATACGTAATGAAATTTTCAAATTATGTAGATTAATTTTAAGCTATTTCGTTCTTATACCATGAACCTGTTAAAATTATTATCGACAAGATTGTATTGATTTAAAAGTTAATAACAACAATAAAATACATCTATTATGGTATAATATATAAAAATATATCATTATAATAATTAAATATTATTAATGTAATAAACACAATTTTTTAATTAAAAAAATTAAATCAACCTACCATTATACTAATATGTATTAATAAAATAAATTATATTAATAGTAACATATTTTAAATTATTTAATAACATAGACTAGCATACTGTTTCTCAGAATCATTTTTTATATACAGTAAAACCTGTCTTGTGCACAATTACACGGGACCAATAAAAATTTTCGTTTTAAGCATGTTTCCATGTAACTGAATAAAAAGGAATATTCCGTACCATAGAGTTAAAATATTGGGCGTATGTAATTTGCGCCAAAAACAACCCCAAAAAAAAAAAAAATATATATATATATATCATTTGCGCCACATATAAAAATTTATTTTGGTAATTTGCGTCACTTTTTAAATTTGTAATTTGCGCTAAATAAAACTAAATAAAAAGGCATTAAGTAATCTGTACCATTGAATACCTACTAAAATTTTAATTTGCGCCATTCTTCATCTTAGTAAAATTGTAATTAGCGCCACTAATATTAAAGTTATAAATAAATGTATGTAAATAAAACAAACTCCATGTATATTAAATAAATAAGTTTTCGTTTAGTAATAAAACATAAAAATTAGTCATGCTATAATTTTAAATAAATGCACATAAGTAAAATTTATTTTTAAAAATTAACAAGTTTCTTCTATAAATTTTATTTTTTCATTTAAATTTGAACAAATCCTTGAAAACAATGTGATAACAAGTAAGACGAGACGAAAGACATGAAAACTACTACTATACGGCGTGACAATAATGGGCGCTAATAATATAGATTCAAGATAAAATGTAGTTGTCTATCGATACGTATTGATAATGCTGACCTTAATAATTGTTTAAATAACAAAGTCAATGTGGATATCAAAAATATTTTTGCTTTTTTAATGATATGTTGTTCCGTTAATTAAAAGTATATATGATTTATGGAATCAAAAATAAGCTTTGCGTTTTACGTTTGATAGGATTCGTTTTGTCAAGGGCTTATTCCTATGTTAAATTATAGAAATCTACTAGGACCATAATAAATTTCCACACAAAACAGGATTCTGTCTTAAAAAGGGTCCGTATAAGACAGGTTTTACTGTACATAAATATATTATTGAAATCAATTTTTTCTCATTTATTACCCGACACCGCAGAGGTGAACCTACTTGTCCATCTTATTATATTATTTAAATTGAAGTCGAGAAAACTTTGAACGTTTCTTTTTTAAATTTATTTTATTATAATTGACCTATTATTATATACATAGAAATTACTTTAACTACGCAGTTTAAGAATACAATATTATTAACTATAAGCTGTGAATGATAATAAATATTTTTTTGGAGAGTTTTCTATTTGCAGTGAATGAGATCAGGGTCGTTATTATTTTATTGTTACTTTGTTTTTATTATTTTTTTGAAAAGACAGATTTAATTAAATATTTCAATTGTTTTGAAAATGTCTAAAAATAGTTTATTATATAGCTTTTAACGTTTGTATTAAGGAGAAACTTATTTATTTATATTTTAACAAATTATTCGTTAGAACAGGATTTGGTTATGTGTGTAAAAATGAAAGTAATTAATAATATAAGTATGATTGTCCAAATAGTTATGTATTTAATTACAGAGTATTAACTATAATTATTAAGAATTAAAATACAGATTTTCGTTAGAGCGAGGAGGATCAAAATTAAATGTATTGGCTATCCATATTTGATTAAATATAATTTGCATTTAGTAAAAATTAATAAATTAAATTATACGAATAATTATAAATAAAATAACATAATAATTAATACTTAATAATATACATCATAAATTATAATGAATTCAGATAACATTTTATATTGATGACAATATGATAACGACGATGATTTAATCAACTGTGAATTGATAGACCCATTTTTTTAGAAACTTATGTCTTATATCTGTTGATATATGCATATTATTGGTATAATAGGATTGTATATTTGTTTTAAAAAAATTTAAAAATGATAATTAACAAAAACATTATCATAGTTATTTATTAAATTATTGGATAGTGGATAGGCTACCTAGTTTGATTTTATAAAAATAACTTTCTTTTGACGTACATTTATTGTAATTTAATTTCGAATTTTCTCATGGGTTTGAGTATGCCATACAAGTAAATTATTGATTTTTAATTTAACGTCAATTAATAATAATTAATAAATTGTTCGTGTTTTTAGTGTTTCCGATATTTGGAGAAACTTTTAGTGAATATTCGAATAGAATGGAGACAAAATGTAAGTTTTTATTATTGTATTTAAATTTAATCACAAACAATATATGTACGTTTTATGTTCATGATATTATAAAATTAAATACTTTTAATTACTATTACTATTCTTTAAATATTTTCATTTATTCATCTATAAGATATGATATAAAAATGTATAAGTTATTTAAAATTTAATATCATAATAGTTTGGTTACGGACCAATACAACGACTGGCGCGTACAAAAAGCTTAAACATTATTTGTTTAAAACCGTATTTTTTTAAAAAAAATATTCCGTTAGAATAGTATTTTTATTGAATAATAAAATATTTTAATAGTATAGAATCAAATTATTGTTTAGGGCTCATTCCAATAAAACAGGAATCTTTCATTCTATGCCAAGCTTGTGAGTAATTTTAATTTTAGTATCATTTATTCAAAATATAATATATAATTTAATATTACAACATAATCTAATATATAATTTGTATTTATTTATTTATTTTTTGATTAAATGGTTGAGGTGGTGTTATTGAAGTATTACTTCCATCGGCTTACATTGTTTATTGATCTCTAAAATCGACTTTATCAAATATTACTTTGTTTTTATTCCACTATGATAGTTAAAGCAATACCAATATCATTTCTATATTATTCGTATTTTGGTTGAGATATAAGCGGTGATTGGGGTGTTGTATATGTGTGTGTGTTTTTTTATTTTTTTTGTAGAGGGGATTTCCACTTAAAATTATTTGAAGTTCCCCAAAATTAAAATAATGATAATTTTCTAATTTATTGGTCCATTGCGTGTAAGATGATTTCAGTTCCATCTTAAAGTTAATCAAATCCCAACTTTAAGTATCCTGTAATATTTACTATATTCTTTATTGAATATCTCTTACCAATAAAAATATTAAAAATATTATACAAAATTAGCTCATTTTTAGTGAAAAGGTATGTATAATATTAAAGCAATTATGTTTTTTTCAGATTATCCGAATCTTAGCGTACAGTTTACTGATTTCAGAAATACAATGAAAATTTTCAGTAAGTTAAAAAATTAATTAACCGAGACTTTTAAAGTCTTAACTTATAATATATACAATATACATTAACTAAGAATATTATTTTGAAACTAAAAAATTATTTATTCATAATAATATACTATGTATAAAATAATAATATACATAATATACAATGCATTAATACATGATATATATTAATTTATATACTTTTGTAGAAACTATAAAAAGATTTCAGGATTTAAGTAAGAACTTAAGATACAATAGTTATACATTTATTTTTTAGTATATAAGGTACTAATATGTGATTAATTTATTTCAAATTAGTAATAAACTCCCAATAAAATGCTTAATTTTCTCTTATAATTTTCTATACACATTAAAAATATATGATATGATATGATATGAATGTATAATATGTACATATTGCTATAGAAAATAGAATCGAAAGAATTGCATAAGATGGTTTGGATGTAATTTGATTATACTATTTGATTTATAATAGGTGTATTATATAGGTAAACTTTTAAGTTTTTTAAACTATCTTATTTAAAAGGGAAAAATATACAAATTAATTTTGTGACATCATTTTAATAATTAAATTACTAATAACAATTAATAATTTACTTAAATTATCTATACAAAATAAATTAAATAATTTTCAGGCTCTTAACGAGAATTTATTTTATTTTTAATTTTTAATTGAAGGTTAATATTTTAATATTAAAAATAACTATTCTTATTTCTTTTCACACAGAAACAATTTTAATAAAAATAAAAATATTAAAAATTATACCTAATTGGTTGTAGCCAGTTATCTATTTATTTGGTATTAGTGAATAAGTTTATTTCAAATCACTATCAACAAACTATCTATACTATACCTACTTCACAATAAAAACCATTTTATTTCATAAAAAATTGGAACTTTTTTTTATTAGTTACGTTAGAAATATTAAATAGTATTTTTATTTGAATGACCATTTCAGATTTAAAAATACATTCAGAAAATTCCTTTGAATTGTTAAAATCCAGTAAGTATCTAAAATTACATATTATATAAAAATAAATTTAACTATAATTTTAAATAATTTAAAATTTTAATTAATTAGAGTGAAAAAATTTTAAGTAACAAAAGTAAAATGTCAAAAAAATGAATAATAATAGAATAAAAAAACTTCTATAGTAAAATTTTTCTCAGCTAATGATATAAAATATCTCATACTCAAATATCACTAAATAAGTCTCCTGGTTTTGACCTCATTATTACTGAGTGCTGAAGTTGCTAAAAATTTATCTAAAAAAACTATTGTGCTTTTTACTTCTTTAGAAATTAAAAAAAAAATAATATAGTTTATAATAAAAAAACATATTGGAATGATTATCTATGGAATATGATTTTAATTATTTTATTTAAAATGTTAACCGATTTCATATCTGTTGTTCTTATAGAATTTCCAAAGCCATTTGAAAGTGAAGTACACTTTAATAATAGGATGGCAAAAAATGGTGCGTATTTATTTAATTTACATAATTTAAACTTTTTTATAATATTTAGTTTGCATAAGTCCCATATTATTGAACCAGAATCAGAAACACACTACGGCTTATGTTAGTTTGCTTTCATAACAAAATAATAAACCGATAGATAAGTTATCTTAGGATAGTTTACGTATACCTAGGTAATAGGTACATTATGGACCGAAACGAAGTTAAAATTAGCAATTAAATAGTTTAAATTACTCGGAAAAATACACAATCACCGAATCAGTCCATTATTCATAATTCGAGATTCTAGTGGACAGTGGTGTGTAATTTGTATAAACTAAAATATTAAACTATTAGATATTAAAGTTAATTAGGTTCATATTCAAATTAATGTATTATTCATAAACGTATCATTATTATATAAATATAATGTAAGTAAGTTAATCGAATTAGTTTGAGTAAATTGATTATAACTAATAATACAAAAAGTTTTTACCAATGTTTTTGTATTTTGTTATAAAATAATTAATTTAAAAATCTATTTATTTATATTATATCAATGCATTATATATATTTATATATTTGAAGCTTTCCATCAAGTATACAATCGTTATTTTGCAAAAAGAAGTAAGTTACTACTATTTATTATATATATATGTATTCATGTATATATTATATAAATAATAATATATATAATATTATAATATATTTATTCATGTATTTCGTTAATGATAATAATAGTCAATAAGTATAAAATATGATTAATAAAATAATTAAAAATTATCAATATCTATTTAAAAATTGGTTATTGATTGTGTGAATTAAGAGTATCATTACTTTTTTTATTATGAAGTTAAGTTGTACAATTTTATTAAGTAAATTGTTGGTAGTCTTATTTATCGTAGGTCAATAGGCTAATTATTTTATGATGGTCAATTCACCATTTATCAAGTAGTATGGTTTTCTTTTAAATTATGAAATAAATTTGTTCAAGAGGAACTTTTTATTTCACTAAGCTTTCATTCGTATTATATATTTTATTCGCTTCCCAGTTTAGTCGGACTTCCTTCGAAATCACTTATATTCTATAATATAGATATTTCCAGTTCACAGGCGATTACTTTTAATTATTAATATCTTATTTTTTTTTAACAATTATTATAATTTATATTTACACACTTTAAATAAATTATTTGTATAGGACATGACTCAAAAACTGAATATATTAATAATTATAAAGTGATAAAATGTAATTTTTCAGTGTATCCAAGAATGTCAGAGACTTATAAAGAATATTGTGATAGAATTGAAAGTAATTGTAAGTATTTTTAACATAACGAAAATGTGTTTATATGTCTACTCAAATAGTTTTAACAGTAAATTAGTAAATAGTAAATAACTTTAAGTAGGTATTTAGTTGAGTATTAATTTAAGAATAAAATGATCTTAAAAATATTCTTAAAGTACTTATATTAATACGTAGACTTTTTTTTAAGTGCAGCAAAAGTAATAGACTAATGGGAATTTTAATTTTTCAGTTTTCCCAGAAACAACCGAGATAAGTGTTGAAAATTATAATAAATACAAATCTCTTTGTAAGTTGTTTAAATTAATTTATTTCATTTTTTTTTTTAATTTCAATTCTGATTAATTTTAATTTGAAATTTAAAAATTATTATTGTCTAAATAAAATCATATAAATTAATTACTTAATTAATTGAATTACTGATTTTTCTAAAAAGAATCATAACTAAAATTATCCATTTTCCAAAATTGTAAATATTATGCATAATTATTCATTTTTCAATTTTATACAAAATTTAAGAATAATATTAAAATTATATTACAAATTCGGAATTCTTATAAGTTCTCAAAGGAGGTGAATAATTTTATTTTTAAATTAAAAAAAAAAAAAACAAGTTACAAATAAAATGAAAATAAATCACACGTGACTATCCAATACTGAAAAAATGAAATAGGATAATAGAATTATTGATTTGTATGAGAATATCATATTAATATATTTTTAATTAAACGTTTTGAGTATACTGGGTATCTATAACAGTATAACAAGAAAAGTTAATTTGACGGTGATTGATATGGGATACGTAAATCATGTTTGTATTAGAGTATTTCTTTCTACTAAATCATTTATCGCTTTCTCTGTTTAGGTCTAAAACCAATATCTGAAACTTTATTCGTGGAATTTAAAAAAAGTAAGTGAAAAAAAAAACTATAATTGTATATTCTAGAAAATAATGGTTATCTTGTGTATCTATTATTATATACGATGAATTTTCAGTACCTAGTAACAGAATTTATGCCCGAGGGGTTACATAAAATTTGAGTTACCTATATCAAAAAGAACAAAATTGATTTTTTCAAAAACTGGCTTGAGTAAAAATTTCAATTTTTCTTAACTTTTGTTGGTTTTTTCGATTATTTACGTATATATTATTTTAAAATTATTGAAAATTTTAAATTTTATCCTTTTTTAAGTACAAAATTGATATATTTTTCTATTTAAACCAGCCTCAAAGTTAAAAATTAAAGTATTTTTTTGATTACTCATCGTGTATACAAAAAAAAAAATACATACATACTATTATAAAATCAATAATTTAACGCTCCGCTCAGGACCTAAAATTTATATTTTAACTTTGTCACGTTAATTAATAAGTTTAGAATCTAAAAATTATTTAGTAAAATAAATTATTATATTTTATATCATAAGCATTTTTTTTTTTTTTTTTAGATTATCCGCAATTTAATATTAAATATGAAGATATAATATATTTAGACAAAAGTAAGTTTTTTAAATAAAATTATCTATCATACATAGTATTATTTTATAGATAGTATAGCAGTATTTGGTCTGCGATGATCACTTTGAAATTGATTGTTTACGATTGAAAATCGTGCTAGTTTTTTTGAGTATATGCCCGGAATCACCCGTTATCAATCATTGTGTAGTTTTTGAACCATAAACGCAAAATCTAACCCAACCAAACAATTTAAAAATACCTAAATTACGCATACATTATCCCATAAATGCAAAAAAAAAAAAAAAATATTACATTTTTACGATCGCAGATCCAAGGAGGATACTAAGGAGCTTTATCCTTTACTTTTAGGATACATATTTACTATTATTAATTTAATAAATAGTTCATTTATTTATAAAAATCTATAAATATAAAACTGTTAATTTTATTATCAAATCTTATCTATAAAGTTACTTATAATCTATTAAACAGGTACTCAAATGCATTAATTTTTCCTCAATTTCATTATAGTTTTAACTTTTAAGTAAAAGTTGAATGTGATATTTAAAATTCAATTTTAAAGCTAATTTTTTAATTTGTCTGTACCAAGTTCGTCCGAGAAGAGACTGGTAAAATTTAGTTTGTGTATTAAGAAAAATACGAAACAATTCTCATATTGAGCATATAGTTAAAAATTAACTATTATCATTTAAAGTTTATCATATAACAATTTTTTTATTAAATGCCATATTTTTATCATTAAACAATTTAATATGTATAATATATGTTACATAATTTCCATAGAAACGTTAAGTGACATAGTAGATCAACAAAATTTTAAGGGCAAGTATATTCTTTTTATTTTTATTTAAGTATTGAAAAAATAATTACTAGTATTATTAGGACTTTTAAAGTTATAAAAAATGTAAAGACGAGTTTAATTAGAAAATTAGAGGGATAGGGGAGGAGACAATCAGGAAGGAAATGTGCTTTAATCATAATTTTATCCTTATAAAACAGAAGAACAATTTCTATGTCAGATTGTTATTAAATAATTAACTAAATTAAATATAAATTTATTTAAAACTGTTAATAGATTGTTTTATTACTTTAGTACATATTTCATATTATGTTAATATAATTTATCAAAAACGAATTCAACTATTAAATAACTTATTGAATTTTACCATATGAACAATTACAAGTTACTAACTTATTATGTACCTGATACTTGTTCTACCTTAATTATATTCATGTTTTTTGCTGCGTTGATACGAATACTTATTTTATGTCTGACCTACTTAGCAGTACAGTTGACACTTCTTATCATACAAGGAACAACTGGATTTTATACATTTTATTGCATCCCATTTCGAATGGCTACAATCACCTTATATATAGTAAATGTTCCGCCAGATTTTCGACCACCTAACTAATTAACATATTTAAATTTATTATTTTTTATGTTTTTGCGATTTCCCCTTATTTTTTGTTTTATTAAATATACCTACTTTTATATCTCTTAAACGATATATTGCATCAAATAAATAAATATTATATGATGACAACAAATCGATATTAAACATTTTACGAATATTAAGGTTATTTTTAATGCAATGTATCAAATAAAATAATTATTATAATAAATAATGCGTGTTTTTATAAAAATATTTTAATTTAAAATGTAATTTTCTTATACTAAATTATACTTAGGACGTATTAAATGTCTAAAAGTGCTTTTTATAGGTTATAAAGTAATAATATGTTAGTAACGTATTTAAAAAACGATACGAGTGCATATTATGTCTTAAATATTATTTTTTATTTCTTAGTTTTATTATTTCTTCTCTATTTGAATAAACTATAAACATATTTATTATTTTATATGCTTACTAAATATTTAGATGTTTAATATCTATGGCACACACATTTTCACATTCAAATGTATTTTTAAATTGTTCTAGAAATAACTATGGATATCATGGAATTCTATTTGTTATTAAAAAGTAAATTCTTTAAAACATTGTTATTTAATGTATTTGTAGTTAATTTAATGGATGCATTATTATATGGATACTATTTGAATAAAATGAAATTATTTTTCTGTAAAGTATTATTTATTTTTGACAAGACTAATTCATATTTGAATATATTATCAGTGAAATAAATATGTGGATTTTTTAACTTAAACTTAAAAAAAATGTAATATGTAACATAATATACATTTATTTATTTTTAGAATCACCGGGTATATTTGAAACTTACCCACACTACAAACAAAGAATGTTTATGATTGGTAAATAATTATTAAATATAATATAATTTCTAATTATTCTAAAATGGCTTAAATATCTCAATTTTAAAGTTGTTCAATATGATTATTTAAAACTGGATACTAATCGGAATTTTTTAATTCATAATAGTTTTCTAACATAATTAGTTAAATTCAATGCATGAAATAGGCTTATCTAACAAGTTAAAAATAATAAAGTAATAAGTATATTTTATACTGCAAAAATGTTAATATTTTGTAAAACCTAAAACTGCACGATGACAGAAAATTTTTCCATCGGTTTTCAATTATTGGTTTAAACCACTGTTATAAATATAAATTGTTATTACTTACTACTCAGTAGTTAGTACCTAATTTTATAATCAATTCAGTGTAAAAGTAATACTTTATAATTTGAACAAACAACATTTTAAGTTTAATTGTTAAACTAGAAAAACTAACTGTTAACTACTATCTTCAATTAAGTTATGATTTTCATCAACTAATTTTTAACAAACTAAGTTAGAAATTTGGAAATAAAAAATTAGGTTTAGTCTGGTTAGAAATCCAGAAACTAGTTTATATTTTTACTTAATTTATTTTTGTATTTATATAAAACTGCTTAACTAAACTTTAAATAATCAAAATAATAATTAACTTCATCATTTTTTTAATTATTATTTTTCACTTGTTTAAATATTACTGTCAAATATATATACTGTATACATGTTCACAAATTTATAAATTTATAAACAAGAATAATCGGTTTAAAAAATGTATAAAATAATAAAAAAAACTTACTTTTCCATTAATTTTAATCGAAAAATTGTCTACTTTTTAAGCAATCAATGGATTAGATGAAGAAGAATTCAACGATTTAAAAAGAAGTACATATTTTTACTAGTAAAGTTTTATTTAACAATGCAATTTAGTGTGATTGTGTTGGATAACTATTGATATTCGAAGTTTTTTTTTAACGACATAGATTTTAAAAAAGTTTAGTGTTTACTGTATTTTCATTTCAACGTTCAAGATGATGAGGCATTTCGAAAGCTATTTTTTTTTTTTTAAATATTCATACATAATTAATACATTATTTTATTGTACAATACATACATTTTTGTTAGTTTTTAATTTTTTACATGAAGACTTAAAAAAACGAGTCACTTGTTAAAGTGATATTTTTATCTAAAACATTTTAGTATGATAAGTCATGGTACCTACCATATTTTTCTTATGGTAAAAAAGTCGCATGCACACACTTAGTCGCTAGCATAAGTATAAGTAGACTTTAGGGATTTAGGAATGATAAATAATGGAAATGATATACATAGTTGTGTTGTTTGTATAGAGATTGAAATGGATACTAAGATTTGTAACATACTAAGAGACTTGTTTATAAGAATGGATGTAGCATATTTCTAATGATATGGGAAATAAGATAAGTGAAGATTTAGTAATTATATGTGTTAGTAGCATATGTATTTTTTATTAAGGTTTCTGGTAACTTTAGAGGTGATAAATTCATATCTTGATGGTTTTTTTTTTAATAAAAATTATTGTATTAATTGATGAATTTTGTTAGTTGTAAAATGTTTCTGTAGGAGTTTTATAGTAAATGATGATTTTAGTGAATGTTTAATTATTTTATCTGTCTTAGGTTGTTATTTTTTTATAAAAAATTTGAGACATTAAGATTTGAGTGAGATGAACGGAAAATACGTTTGCTTTTTGAATAGTAGTCATTTAAGATTTTAAGTGCCCTCTTATTTTTTAAAGAGTAGGTAGGCTTAAGATAATTTAAGATTTTGTAGGTGGTTTTCGAAAGTAATTAGATGGTTGTGAATACATTGACGATATGGTTATTGTAAAAGTAATTTCTAAACTTTGCCTGTTTTTTCAACTGATCAGAAAAATGAAAATTATTTGAATTTGTAATCACGTCTACAAAGTTGATATAATAACGATTGAATGATTATATTTTTTTAACTGAAAATTGTACGTAATGGAAATTATTAAAGCATATTTCATACCTAATAATATGCATGTTTTTATCATTGATATTAATACCTAGTTATGACTTTGATTGGTATAATATATTGGTAAATATTTAGTCGGTTCGTTGGAATGAAAATTTAGACCAATATGAATAAGCTTAATATTAATTATATAACATAATTATTTTATAATATTTGGTATATATACAAACAAACTTTTTCATTATTTTTTTTGTTTATAATATTTTTTTAATTACTGAATAAATCATAGTTCAATTTGAAATTTTAGTTTTCATAAAACAATGTGAAACGTATGATGCTTATACAACCAGAATGAATGAATTGAGTAAGTTATTCTATATATGTACGATGTGTAGGTACTTGCTTTATCAAGATGTAAAAACATTCTTCAACATTTTACTTAAACAGAAATATTTAAGTACGCATAATTCTAATAGTTTTTACAGTCTTCATTTTTTCCATAATTTTTTTAGCAAAACCATCGCCATAAACTTTTAATTTATAAATGGAAACTTATTTATTTAATTAAAAACAAACTTTTTTCACTAAAAATAAGCAAGTAGATATAATTTAAATTTAAAAACGTATTTATGATTTATATTACCAATAGCTAGTAGTTATAATATTTATTTATTAAACTTAATAAACTTAATAAATATTTATAATAATTTTAGAAATATTTCCAATGACTGAACAGTATGCTTTTAAGCTTAAAATAAGTGAGTAGTTATTTAGAAAAATATTTTTTAAATTATCGTGACTATTATGGTTATGTTTTAGTAATACTTTAATTAGGTGATCAAAATCACTCGTTATAAATTATTTTAAAATAATATAAATTTACTTTTGAATCTATTGTAGATAGTTTTAATGAACTTAAGGTATATAACTACGTGTAGTTTATTATAGCTAGAGCTTTGGTTGTAGAGACAAACTTAACTAATAAAATCAAATATAAACTGAAGAAAACTTATGGGATATTATGAAATTTTTTAAATAGTTTCCAAATAAAATTCAATATACTGCTCAAAGTTTTAGGGACTAAACTAAAATCAAAAAATTAGTGACAGAAACTTTTGAAATTATTAAAATAATATTTGAATATGAAGCAATGAGGAGATAGATAATCATCACAAATTTCACAATAGAGATTAGTAATATCAACAAGACCTATAATAGCTCAACAACATTGTTTCAACATAATTAAGTCGCTGATAGTTTTATTTTTGTTATTAAAGGCTTTTTTCATATGAATTAGTCTCAACTGGTTACACGGTTAATCAGACTTACTATAAACGAGTTTTAATTAAATTGCGAGAAAAAATTTAAAAATTCAATATAGGCGTTCAGAAAGTTTAATGCTTGATGATAGTTGTTGCATCACGATACGAGCCAGCAAATTCTGCTCAATCCATGAATTTTTTTATGATAAACAATATTCATATCTCATACTTCCTACTCATCGGACTTTGCTTCTTGTAACTTTTATTTCTAAAAATTAAAACTGATCTTAAAGGACAAAGATTTAATGACTTCGAAATAATAAAAATACGATGAATCAATACAAGCAATTTTAAGTTGAAAACTTCTAACAGTGATTCATAGAGTGTCAAAGATATTGGGATAAGTTTATATCATTGGCGGTGAAAACTTTAAAAAGGACTAATATTTAAAAATGAGTTTAGACTCGAATCGATTAAACTAAATAACAACACATTAGATATATAAAAATTGATAATAAACTAGAAGAATAATGGTTGTGCCCCAATGGCGATCTGACGACAGAATAATAAAAATTAAGATTAAATGGCGGTAAAAAATTTCCACTCTACTAGTAGGACGATAAGAACAACAAAAATACATAACGGATAAGTCATACAAAATCAAACAGAGATAATTATTTATAAGAAATATCACAATAAGAATAATAATTAGTGAATTATCCAGAGAGAATAATATGGAATAAAAAGTATTAATGCTCATAGTAATAATTTTTGTGATTGTAAATTCTCAAATAACATTAATTAAGTTGGTTTACACAAAAAATTCTTTGTTATAAAACTCTAAAAAATTGATAATATTATCATAAATATAAACTATCATAATAAGGATATCTAAAATCAGAATTAGAATTCATCATTAATGAACATGTTTCGAGATTCACTCTGTTTAAAATGTTGATATTATTACATAATTAATGTTATCAACCCACCATATTGAACTGTTTGATAGGACATTTTTGTTAGATTTTCGAAAAAATATTTTAAAACAGTGAAAATCAACATACGTTATCGTAACATAATTTTTTATTTATTTTTTCAGCCGTTCCAAGAGAATTTGAAAAACAAGATGGAGCATATAGGCAAATCCTGATGGGTAATTATTGGTTATCTTATATTTTATCTAAAATAAAAAAATATATTTATTTATTTTTTGAATATTTAGTTATGTATCATAGTATTAAATATTGCATAAAGTAGTAAACTATTTTTGTTTTATAGCGCATTTAAATATAATATTATATTACATTCATATCGAATACTACGATTTTTAGTTTAAGAATATTGTATTAAATATATATACGTACATAAAAGATAGGCAAATGAGTAAAGCTCTGCTGTACAATAGATGTCTATTAAGTCGTATTTTTTAAGTCTTATGTTTTTTACACTTAAATATTTGTACAACCAGTTTTAATAATAGTAATAGGCTAATTAATAATTACAATTTTAAGAACTGATTTAAGTTTTTTGAAAACGAAATTTAATTCATTACAATGTTAAAAATTATTTATTTTTAAAACAGCATGTATGATATGTATCTATCATATTATAAAAAATGAATACACTTTATTTATAACTTATGATGTCGTATTAATAAAGCCAAACACTTTTTATTTATAGGTTCTTATCAAAAAATGAAAAGACTAGATATAAGAGATCCCATCAGATATCTGGATGAGTTTTCATTTTTTATTGGTAACTTTTGATAACTATTATGTTTTTTTTTTTTTTTATTAGTATACCTAACTTAAATTTTAATTTCTTTACTTTAATTAAATTCAGTATAAAACATCAGTTTTATACTCTGTTTAAGTGAAATACAGAAATATACATATATCAAAATATCTATATTAATAACTAGCATATTTTATTTTTAATATTATTACAATTAGGGCTCGGAAGTTGTAGGAGCTAAAAAAGACAAAATATGCACGAAAAAATTGAAAATATGCATTAAAAATGTTAAATATTATGCAAAAAAATTATTCTGAATTCTAAAAAAAAAATCATCAGATGTTGTTAATAAATTTAAAAATAATAATAATGTACATAAAAACTGTTTATAACTGAAAAAATGTATGACTGGTTAACTTTTTAACATCTTATTGAACTAAAAATATAATTTAAAATATTTTTTCAGTATTTTTAAAATTATGAAAAAATACATGTTATCTAATACCTGTTAAGTAATTGCATTGAACTATCAATGATTAGGTCAAGGTTCGCTGTTATTAATTTAAATTTTTGATTGTGACGATGACAATAAATAACTTCGTTGGTAATTTTGAGTTTTATATTCAATATTAATTGAAATATACAGGTTAAGAAAGAAAAAAATCAATTTTTTTAGAAAAATATGTATAATATCTGTATAAAATCAATGAAATGTGCATTTTTTTTAAGTCGCTAAATTGACAAAATATGCAAAATATGCATTTTCAATTTAAATTTTTTAACTCACCATTGTATAGTTCAGATTTCTAGTTTGGATTGCTATAAATTGAGAGCATACGGAACAATATGCAGTTTTTACAACTTCCGAGCTCTAATTATAATATATACGTATTATATACTTATCAACGAAGTTGGGGTAATAACGTAAAGCAAATTAAAAATAACTGTAATAAAATTAATTTTAAAAAGTAACTTCTATGATGTAACACGATTATATACAACAGAATAGTTACCTATCTACTTTACTCTTAATTATATAGGTACTGAGCGGAGCGATGAATGTATTTATTTTATGATAATATGTATTTTGTATATGTGTGTGTACTGTGTATGTACACGAAGAGTTATTGATAAAATGCGTTGATTTTCAACTTTGAAGGTTGTTTTGTATAGAAATTTGGATCTAGTTTGTAATTTAAAAAAGGTCTGAATTCAAAATTTAGTGTACTTTTTTATAATAATTATGAAAAACAAAATAAAATAAATAAGAAAAACGGGCATTCTTAAGTAAATCCATTATTTGATGAAAACTATAGATATTTGGAATTTTCACCAAATGTTTGTATTATCATTTTATATTTAAGATAAAATTTTTAAAATATTTCGATTTCTTTTGAGTTATTAATTATATTTTTATTCATGTTTATAAATTGATATAGTATAGTAATAATAATAATTATTATAATAATGCATATTTATACCTACTATACTACATTAATTTATACGTATGAAAAAAAAAATTAATAAATAGCTCAAAAGAAATCGAAATATTTCGAAAATTTAATCACTAAATGCTAATTATATAATAAAGGTTATATTTTCGAAAAAATGATTATCAACCTGATATAATACTATAAGTAAAATGAAAGACTTAATTAGTTATTTGAAAAAAGTGTATCATGAAATATATTTGATTTAAGTTAACTGACCATTTCCGCTTGTTTTTTTATACAATAATATATTATTGAATTCAAATTTAACACACTCATTTGTCCACCTTTTTTTAATATGTACCTAATTAAAACTTTAAATTTTTAGAAAATCCGGAGATAGCTGAGCCAGCAGGTAATATTTAATAATTTATTGGTTGAATGTTTTTTTGAAATTTACACGTATACTAGACTCAGTTTAATTTATTATGATATTAAAGTAAAAAAAAAAATGATTATAAATTTTTTTTTGCTAATTTATTTATAGTTGATATTGCTGATAATAGAAGAGGTCCAGGAGATTATAGAGGTAACCTCTTAAAAAATATTAAATTTAAAATAAGCAATAACTGTTTAGTTTAATAAGTTTATATTTAATTTATGATTTTTATCTGTTTGTAAACATAATTTACCGATGGAAAATAGTAAATTAGTATACGCTAAATATAAACTATTATATATCTATATATTCTATATTGACTTTAAAAACATTTTTAGAGCCATTCACTAGAAAACGAAGTGTAATAGCATTTAACGAGATAAGGCAAACTATTTTCAAATTTAGTAAGTTATGTTGTGAGTTTCTATTAGTACGCCATATTCTAATTTAATAGTAAGTTGTGAATTTAAGTTAAAATTAAGTTCTGTTAAGAAAATTTATAATTACCATTCTTAATTCTATAAAATAAATTCATAATCACTGCTTTTTATTTTTATGTTAGTTTTTATTATATAGTTCAATGTACATAAAATATAAATTATATTTAGTTGCTTGCTTTTAACTTTTTTTTTTTATTGATTGTAATTTATTATATTTTCATTAATTTGCTATTTTTATTTTAAATACAATTTTAACTTGTAAAAAAAGATTTGTTGAGATATTTTAAATTTGTTTCGTTGATTTTCAATTTTTACAGTTAAATAGTGTATATTTCTAATTTAATCATTGTTATTATATCTTTAAATTTAAATTTACTTACTAATTATCCTTTCAATTTTTCATTCACTCCCCATTTAAGAATGTATACATTTTTTTATATATATTATTTTAAATAATTCATGTATTTAAATAATTAATTATATATGTTATATATATATACTTAGTTCTTCCATGTGCATTTGAAAATTATGAAAATTACAATAAGAGGATACACGAATTTCGAGAAAGTAAGAGAACTATTAATACGTAAATTTAATTAAAATAGAAGTATTAAAAAGCAATATAATTGAAGTTATTTGAAGTTATAAAAATATCACATAATAACAGTTTCTGCATTTTATTCCTCAATGAGTCGCTGGTTTGTAAAAAAGTATTATAGTACTACGTATATTTTAGTACATGCAATATGACATATAGTTTGCTTATGCATTAATTAGTAAAACATTTAAGTTAAAAGTTTATTTTTAAAACTTTTTAATTAAATTACCGGGTTAATTAATTTTATAACTAATTGTATTATAGTAACTATTGTGTTACGTAATAGTTTTATTAATTAATTAAAAAAATTATAATATAATAATGTTTACAATTTTTTTTGTATTTAACTGCACAAAGGTATTTTTATTTAACAAAAAAGTATCTAGTCATAATCAGCATAAGACAAATAGGTATATAATTATTGTTAACTATGTATAGTACGTAACTAATATATATGCATTATGTATGTATATTATATCGAATTAATTTTCTGGGGTAGTTCTTCCAATGGGGTAGACTCTTTTCTTAGTCTAAAAGATTAAATGACTTAAACTAAGTCTTAATGCTTTAAAGGTTAGACACCTGAAATTATTTAGCAGCTAAATTAGTGTACAACTTTAATCTATTTATATATTTGTTGCAAACTTCCAAATTTTGTAACTATAGACCACGATAAATAATAACGTTGCTTGCTAGAATGCTTATCGTTGTTATTGAAATTTTAACCTATATAGTTTAGATATTGTGATGTTTTATAACGATCTATTCGAGACGAATAAAAAATTCACTTAATTGAAATCATTTATCCAGATGGAATTTAAAAGTTACTATTTTCGTATACCTAGGTTCAGAAAAAAATTATTCAGTCAAGTACTTCCAACTTTTTTTGCTTGACAGAACCTTGTAATCTGTCATAGCCATATCAGATATTCCGTAGTCTGTACATAAGTGCATTACACGTTTGTATTTTGTTTAAACTTTAAAGGTATAAATTGTTGTTTATATGAGTATTTAACAATACGCTTGTCATCTTAAATGTAGTGATTATATACCTACTTAATGTCAATTAAATTAATAAAATAATATTTTATACCTCACTCAAACTTTGAACTGCTAATAACTTAAAAATTAAAACACTTGAATAGTGTATAATGTAACTTAAGTATATGTACTTTTGATCCTACTGTTTCTAGGATATATTACAGTTGTTATTGAATACACGTTATGAAAAATATACAATTTATCACTATAATCAAGAGTCAACTCAAAATATTGTGTCCATAAATTTGTTTTATTGCTTTTTTTGAAATATTTTATAAAGAATACTTAATAACTTTTATCGACGAAAGACGTATTACATGATAGATATATAAAAACAAAACTAAATTGCAAGCACCTTAAGTCATGTAAAATAATAAGAGTGAATACGTTCATCACGTCCGATAACCAAAACTAGTACTTATAGTTATTTTATAACACATACATTTTACAGTAAGGATTTATCATAACTATAAGCTATGATTTCAGAGTATGATTTTAGGGATTTTGAAGACATTAACTTAAATGAACGTGAAATTTTTAGAACATGTAAGTAAATAAGGTTAATTCATCTATCTTTTTTTATTTTTTTTAGATTCTGAGTGAAGTGATGAAGGTTTTGTTTTATGAAAATGTATGTGTGTGTGTGAGTTTTTTAAGAGTTTATGTGTGTACAATTTATAGTAAAAAGAATACTTTGATTAGTTTGATTTTTAACTACGAAGATGATTTTTGGTAAAAAAAAAATTGATCTAAATTCTAGATGGTACTTTTAAAATATCAAAATTTAAAATCCCCAGTATTTTTCAAAGTAAAAATTTTTACTTAATTAAAGGTTTCAAAATATTTATATTTATGTACATGAAAACAATTTTAAAATATTTTGAAGTTTTTTGAGCTATTTATAAACATTTATTAATTAAGATTTGTTTTTAAATTGTCAATAAAAAAATGTTTACAATTGTTAATTAACATTAAAAATTTAATACAAGATTACTCATAAATAATTCACGTACCAATTAAAAATATTAAAAACAATTAGTCGTAATATTTTTTTTAATTGTTTAAAGTTGTAATTCTGGAAAAATTTGTCAAAACAACGAACTTTTAAAATTATTTTTTAGTTGGAATATATAAAAATTTTAATATTAATACTTAAAATACTATAACTAAATACAAAGTTTTTAAATGTTGTTATTAAGTATTTGAGAAAAAAAAAATTAGTGTCATTTCGCGAATATGATTTCATTAACATCTGAATGTAGACAAAATTAAATATTTAAACAAAGAATAATAATATTTTTTTTTTTTGCAATTGAAAAATATTATTAATGGCAGAAATTTGAACATATTAACGTATATTATTATATTTTATACACTTAATAGTATTTTCAAATGCAATGTTTTTGAAATAATATAAATCAATCCTATTTATTTATATTGATAGACTGTTTTCGTTTAGAATCGTTTTTCTTATACAGTTTAAACTTAAAATATACATTTTAGTAATATTCTCAATGACGAGGTACATTCAACTTAGTTAAGTTCTAAAACTACACAGCAAAAAAAAAATATCGATAATCTATTTAAATCATTTTTTTTTTCATTTTTTGCACTTAATAAATAATATAAAATTAAACTATTCGTCACAAGCATTTAAAAGTATATTTTAGAGAATCATGTAGAATTGATCTTACTTTATAATGAAAATAAGATATACCAATATATGTTTATCGTGTTAATATTTTAATAACATAATGAATTTAAAGATAGTTTTTATAAAACTAAATAGAATTAAAGTTATTTAAATATAATTTACTTGTCTAGTTATACAGCCATTAACAAAGGAAGAATTTACAGATTTAAAACTGAGTAAGATAATTTAAAATTTTTAATATTGTTCAAATTAATCATAGTTATTTGAGAAATAAATTACTTTTTATCTGCGTTTTATGCTTAAATTAGTGTAAATCTCCAATCCTTTATTAAACTAGATCGGTTCTATCCAAGTACCCAACCAAATAATTACCTCTACGCACTCGGCTAAGCAACGTACCGTTATCATAATACAATGCTGAGCACTAACTAGTTAGAAAGTAGAAGTTAAGTAACTTTCTAACTTAACTATTTGAATTTAATGTATAAAATAATTGAATCTAATTCATTAAAACCAATAAGTAACTATAGGTATTTTTGTAGTTTTTTTCAGATAATAATGTATTAATAAATATGATTATTATTAGGTATTTTTAATTTTCAATTTTATCACAAAAATATTTTTTCATTATTTCTTATCAATTTTTCACATTAGTATTTATTGTAATACACAGTCTATAAGTACCTACCTACTTGAAATGTTGATCACTATCATTTGTTAAATTTAATTTTTAATTTATCTCCAATAGTTCAAGTTCGTTACTTATTTACTTTATAACTAATTTATATAATACATTGAGTTTGAAAAAATGGATTTTTTAAATTTATATTTTAAACTAAAAAAAAAAACTAACTTTTAACTTTTACTCTAACTTAGTTAGTTATTGTATTAAAGTAACTTAACTTTAACTAGTTGAAAAAAACGACTAACTTATCCAGCTTTGTTATAATATGACGTTACGCATTGTGTTGTTTTCTATTGATATCACGTTCTCCAATTGTTCAAATAGTAAATACTAAGTTTTTATCAATTTTAATTGTATTGAATATAGTCTTATTTCATATATCGTAAATACTTTCAATATTCATTAATTTCAATGTTTCGAATTCATATATATTATGCGTCCCATGACAGCTTACTTTTTATTTTTATAATTCAAACATTTGATAAAATATTAAAGATATTGTGATAAAGATACATGAAACATTTTAAGTACATATTTTATCTAAAAAAAAATTCACATCGAAAAATAACAGCAATAATTTTTCAAAATAAAAGATTATTACAGAACGTTATAATACGAATAAATTTGTTGTGTAAAATATTAGATTCAATCAAAACATTTTTATTTTAGGATTTCCAAAATTAAGTGAAACACCACTTGATTATGAAGATAGATTCGCAACATATGGTGAGTTAATTCAAATAGTTAATATTGATATTTATTAATGTTTTATTTATATATCGTAGTAAAAATTTACTACCCAAAATTATTAATACAATAAAGTAATTTATTAACTATGAGTATTAATAATACAATTTTAGATATACAACCTTTGATTATTAATGATCAATACAATCTGTTCAATACTTTTAAACATAGTAAGTAGTTTGAACTTAACACATCATTAAATAAAATATGCTTTTAAAAAAGGATTCTTAAAATCTTAGATGAGTTGTATGAGACTTAAATGCGTAGACATACGTAGTGAGTGAATAGAAATCTGAAAAATGATAAGAATTTATTGTCTAATCATTAGACTCTAATGGATATTACGCGGTAAGCGACCAAGAGAAAAGCAAAAGACACTGAATCTATTTAGAAATTTGTTTGGTTAAAAAATCACACATGATGATAGAATAAATTGTAACTTAACAATAAAACAGAATAATTGTAAAATCAATTAGTTTGGTAGGCAAAACGCGTGAATGGCTCGTAAAGCTAATAGAAAATCTTTAATCGTTTTGTTTTCAACTCATATACATCTTAGTTACTTAAAACATTAAGCTTCAACTATAATAATATATAATTTGTTATAATATTTCAATTTTTTATAAATTATGTTTTTAGGTCAAATTCAGCCTAGTGATAACTTTGATAGTTATGCGGCTAGATACAAAAAAATAGGTAAATTGTTTTAAACATTCAAAAACAATATTATATATAATATATATTCCATTATATATTTTATCCATAATATATTTAAAATCGTTTTACAAATAGCGTCAAACAAGAGAGCATTTTTAGCTAAAATGCGTAAGTTTTATTATTATTATTTTTATTTTTAACGTATTATTTAAATATTATATAATATGTTTAAATGAAAGTAATTATATATTTTTATAATAAATCAAAAATTTACTATCGTTGAATGTTACTAATAATAAATTGTGATAAAAATTTTTGATTTAAGGTATTCCATTCCATGAAAATTTTGATTCTTTCAAATCGTGTAAGTAATTTAATATTAATTATCTTAAAAATATTCTTCAAAATTATTATTAAACTGGTTAAAGTATTAAAATTCTTATTTTTTGAAGATTGATAGTACAATTTTTATAATATACAGTAGTACAGTAATATACTGGCTCCTAAGGTCAAAAAGGTTGATACATTTTAGAAAAAAATGGTCAGATTAAGACGACTGAGTGTTAAACATTTGTAATATATTTCTAGTAAAAGTGATTCTTAATCACCGATGTGTACCTATCGTTTAAGTTTTTTTTGCAATAGCCAATAATATAGTTTAACTCTACTATTACCTACTTATGAGTGAAAATAAGGATACATTAATATTAAAATAATAAAAACCAATCATATTTTGTTTAATAATTTTGGTGTAGATAGTTTTTATAGATTTGTAATAAAACAATGATTTTCACTATTAAGTTTCTTTTTACTTATTGTTCTGTTTTTTTACATAATAATATATTCTATAGATTCAATGTAATTAATTGTAATATTACTACTATAGGTATCTATATTATGTTTAAGATTCTTTGCCATAAGCCGGTTGACGTCTTCTGTCTGCCGCTGGCAAAAATTCTTCGCCATCCTATACTGATCTCATTTTAAATTTAGTATTATACCTACTGTGTGCCTACCTGATTCACTACAATATCGATTAATGCACTGGTTATTAAATGATAACAATACGTGTTGTGTAATACATGAAATTATTACGAACTCATTATAGTTTGTATTCCAGTTGTTAACTTTAAGTTTAAAAGTTTTGTTTGTACATTTTTACTATTAATTTACCAAAGAAAATGTTTGGAACTACTAAGTCATTCTCTTTAGCTATTATCTTCATACCTACTCGCAAAGACAAGTATTGAAAATAAATATTGGTTTGGTTTTACAGTTAAACTATATTAAATAAATATAGACTATAACTGTATTTAAAAATTTCAAAATATTATCAAAAATCGACTATTTTATTACAATTTGTGAATTATACGTTTAGTTTTATAGTATTTTGCTTATAATTATTTAAATTCAGTGCATACAATATTAAATGTATTATAATTATAGTTTTAGAGTCATTAGAAAAAAACGACTACGACGATGTAATGAACGGTATGTACCTTATGTTCTTGTTATCATTTATCATAATATTATATTCTCAAATTTACTTAAGCTACAGTATAAGCTGTAAATTGTTTATTTGAACAAAAATAAATAATAGTGTAGTGTGACTTGTTATATTGCACTTATTACCTAGTTTAAGTAGGTACGTACGCAACACTAATAATATCAGATAAAAATTAAAAATGAAATAATGTCGACTGTTGGGACCTACATAATACCCACATTTGTACTAGGTAATAATATTATAAATTTATATTGTACATACTTTTTTGTATACAAATAACTGTCAAGTGTCTTCATTATAAGACTTATTAAATTTGTCATTAAAATCATATAATCAATCATTTTCACTTATTATTTATTTGAAACAGATTATGGATTATATAATAAAAGATAAAAAAAAAAGTTTTTTTTTTCATGATATTATTGTTAGGATCATTGTAGACACTAAATAGGAAACATACTATTAAATACAGTAGAAGCCGCTTATTAGAAACACGGATAATTGATACAATCGTGTTATTGGAACAAAATGTCTCGGGACGGATCGGCCGTATATTAGAACATTGAAAATAAATCGGATTATTGAAACATCACATCGGTTATTTGAAACAATTGGGAGAAGGTCAGTTGACATATACACCGATTATCTAGCGATAACCAATGTACTTCAATTTTATCTTTGCTGTCGTTACGTTTATTTTTACTGTAATTTATCGCGAGAATGCTCTTTCTGTACGTACTGGTCGTACGCGTTTGTAGTTTAGCTTCAGCGTGCGTATGTAAAGATTATTAGTGTTTCCTTTTTCTAAAAATCTAAAAATGTCTAAACGCTAAGATTTTAGCCAATTTTCATGCGACCATTCGTGGTTTGAAACTCATTTGACCGATTTGCTAGCCCAATACACACGCTCTGATATTTTCAATGCGGATGAGACTGGGCTTTATTTTGGAGCTCTACCTAAACACACATACGCACTCAAAAAAAAAACAAATTACGAATGATAAATATTTTACATAATATCGTAAAATATACACAATTGTGCATACTTTTTTAAATTATACAATATAGGTACATACATACATACATATTTTTTTCGCGTACCTATTATTCATTTTTTTTTTTCAATCGCTTATTAGAAACAATCGGTTAATTGACACAATTCACCTTGGTCCCAAAGTGTTTCTAATAAGCGGCTTTTACTGTATGTAATTTTTTAAAAACGTGTATTTAAATTATTGCAGTATGCATTTTACACATTATACGATTAAGTGCTGCACTGCTGCGTACAATAGTTTTATTTAACTATATAGATTTATAGGTGCATTTAATAAATATGAAATACGTCTTAGATAATATAAAATATTCATGTATAAAAATGTCATCCTTTAACCATTATAAACATAACTAACCTATGTCACTAAGGTAAAGTATAAGGTCATTCATATCAGTTTTATCAACTGTCAACATACAGTTCATGTTATATAGTTTTCATGATAATAACTATTTTTTTCCCCAGTTTTTCCAAAGTATTATGACACATTCCAAGAATATAACGAAATAATGAAAGAACGTTGTAAGTAATTTATTCAATGTTTAACACAATATAAGCAGTTTTACATTTTAATAGATAGGTCCGTTTGGTTTATGATATCTTAAAACGCTGATTATTATTTTATTTTTTTTAACTATGTAATGTTGCCAATGTTGGACTCCAAATACTTAATGAAAAAATGCAGATTTAACATTAATTGATATAATGACTTAGGTATAAAAAAACCTACTAACCTATGTAATGAATCACCATTATTATATTTATCTTTAACTATGATATACATACATAAATTTAATATATTATATAGACATTTTAAAGCATGTGTGCCGTATAAATAGGTACCTATATGAATATTTGTTCTGTATTAACATTTATCTCAGAGACCCACCACACTTAACTAGATATTCTATCATTACTATACTAAATAGGTATAATATAATTTTTAACTTTCGGTCCATAACAAATTACAAATATACCTATAATTTCGTATTGTCATGTTTTGAAGCATTCTAATTTCATTGCATGTTCTACATATTGCTATCAGGACATCAGATCATCAGCAAAATAAAATAAATAGGATAAATTTATAATTTATTTTGCTGGCTTCCTTCAAAAATACACTTTTATTTTTTCCACTGATTCATTCATAAATTTGTGGATTTTTTTTTCCACCAAAACTATTTATTTCCTTTTACCGTCTTATTAAAAATGTAGTAAATAGTTTGCACATAGTCATTTCATTATAACAAATATTGACTACAATGAATATTAATAACAGTAGCTATAACTTATAAGACAATACACACGACGTTATACTACGATAATGATTTTAGAAGTTATTAGGTAGGTATTTAACATTTAGTGCTGGATCACACAATGCGTTATGTCGGTTACCGACTAACAGGAGCCGATCGGTAATTGAACCATAACACTCAAAATAAAATATATTCAAATATGAAACGCGTTATTGTATTTTTTAAGTACTACAGGGAAATTATAAAATGAATCCTTTACTAACCATCCTTGTTAGGTTTTGAATGTAAAAAATCAAATGTATTTAACTATTTTCCCCTCCAAATATTGTTTTCTGAGAAAATTATAAATTATAATTTAATTGTGACACAATTAAAACAATTAATAGACTTGTTTATTATTTTAGATATCATTCTTGATAGAATATGAAAAATTGTGTATTCAATCAAATAGATTATTTTTTAATATCTAATTGTAAAAATGTTGAAATTTTAATCACGATCTAGAACTATAATGGATAATATATAAACACATAATATATAAATATAAATCTCTTAGGGTCCTTATGTTAATATATAACATATATTTTTTAAATAATATTCGTCTGAAAACTGTTCTTTTATTTATTTATCAATACCATAATATTTAAAAATTTTATACTGTTATTTTAAATATTTTTTAACATGAGCTTCTTAATCCTTTTTTTCTATATTTAGCTCTACAGCCAGTTTCAATAGATTATTTCAAGATGTTTAAGGATGGTAAATTTATATTTTAAAATTAAACTTTTTAAATTATTAATAATTAATTATAAATTAACCTAGTCGTTTTATTATCATAGATAATATTATTATAGTTAAACATAAAAATTTTAATTTTATAAATGTTAATTAAAGTGTGAAAACTTTTAAATATTAATAAATATATTTCTTTGAATATTGTGCAGTTTTATTCTAAACAAATACAATTTTATTTCATTATTTGAAAGTGCAATAGATTTTAAAAATGCTATTTTGTCTGAAAAACATTAGTTTTCTAATAAGTATACAAAAAAAGAAGTATTATGATCTGCCCAGCACTTAAAAATTTAAAAACTTCAATTCTATTAAAAAAAAAGTCTCTGGCAAAACATTTATTTAAACTATTATATGTATGAAATTGAATTCAGGAATTAAATAATGTTTTTATTTTCAGTACATCCACACTTGCTTGACGATAATTTTAATGTCTATGAGGCAAGAGTAAAAAACGGTAACAGTAAGTTGCTCAAAATGTGATATTTATAACCATTTACATAATTTATTATAAAATATTCTATTAAGATACTATTCAAGTATGATAACAAATACATATGGTAAATATTAATAAAAATATTTACTCTAGTTATATTAATAATCAAGAATTTGTTGTCGATCTAACAATGTATATTATTTTATATCAGTGGATCTCAATTTTATCTAGTGCTAGTAGTAGTGTATTTTCCAAGTTACTAAGAATAATGTTGTGACTTTTGTATATTTTATTTGCTCTAAAATTATAATTGACACATTTGTATCAGAACAATAAACGTACTCGCACAACAAGACGAGATTCTTCTAAGTAAGATAGTATCTAATAATCACTCAACGCACTAAATATATCGGAAAAGTGCTTAATATTACGCATATGGGATCTTATGTCCCAATCCCGAAAAGCGAAAATAATATCTTCACTTGAAGTAGAAGAGTAGATATTATTAATGACCACCTATAATGAACGTTTAACATATTGTTGATGAATATGAAAACTGTAACTGTTTTCAATCAGATATTTAATAAGTAATCTGTAATTCTCATAGAAATTAGTATAGATAATTAGGTATTAAGGTGACAGCCTGTTAGCTTATATCACTAAGTATATTTCATGATATGGTTTTTGATTAAGTTATTAGTTAATTTATTTATTTTACTTTTAGTATTACAGTAGGTAGACACGATCTTTTCTGAAAAAATTTATATTTATTATCTCATTAATATTTGATTATTATTATAAAATATATTTATATCATATTATATCATTTTATGCAACTCAAAATTTAATAAAATTATAAAAAGTAAAGTTTACTTCATCAAAATTAGAACAATTTAAAACTTTTTATATACAAGAGAAATAGCATTTGCTTCAAAATCTGAACTCTACTTATAATTAATCCACTTTGAATTTAAAAAAAATCTGAAAAATAAACAAATACAATTTTTTTTTATTGAAAGTCTAGTTTAAATTTACACGAAATTATATACTTATACTATGAATGACTTGTTTATTATTTAGTTATAATTCAAAAACATTATTCGTGAAGACTTACAACTTTTACATGTATTATTATGAATTAGACTGTAGAAAATACATTTTACAAAGTATATAGATTAATTTATATATAATATTTATATATACCATAAATTAGTTCGCATTGTTTTACAATAAGATGTTAGTAAATATATTCAAAAGTTAATAACAATAATTAAATATAATTAAATATTAATAATAAGAAATAATCGGCCTATATTAATATTAATAGTTAAATAAATCATCTTAATAGTTATATAAAAAAACATATTATGAAATATACTTAGTGATGTAGGCTAATTGGCTGTCTCTACTCAGTCATTTTTTGTATACAATGATATATAGTTGAATTCAATTTTAATATATCTATTAATAATAGTTTTATTGTATTGTTTATTAAAACTATTATTGTTACAGATTTACCGTTTATGAACCAACATCAGTTTGATCAGTTCAAGCTCCGTAAGTTCTAAACAGTTTTATAATAATAATATTTAATCAAGTTCATAATTGATCAAATACTATGTTTTTTTATTTTTTAACAATCATATAGTTTTAAATGGAAATACTTACAATATTATATTCCATGAAAATAATTATTAATATTTTAATTATGGATATAAATATTGTTTCAGGTATTCCTGGACAATTTGAAAGCGTTACGGCTTATATAAAAAGAGTACCAGGTGCCTGTGAGTTATTTGAATATTTTCGGTCAAAGAATAATTACTATTATTATTTGTGCTTATAGAATATATTTTCAATGTAAATATACACAAAAAATTAAGTTCGTAGTTGAATATCTCCACCAAATTATAGTACTCTAAAAAATGTAGGTACCAGTATACTCACGAAAATAATAAAATAAAAAAAAATTAATAACTGAATACGTTAAGAGAATGGAATGTTAAAAAATGTTAAAAAACAAATTAGTATTATTTTTAATGCTATGTATTATTGATGACTTCAAATTTTGAACCAATAATCAATTTATTTCCATTCAGATTGTTTCTATATTGATCATATTAGCAACTATTTTTACAACGAAATTACATTTATTTCACTTACAGTTTGTTTTCCAAACATCAATAAAAATATAATATTATGTTCTTTAATACACAAAAGTTAATTTACTTACAATCATACTATTAAGATATTCAAAAATGTCTTAAAATATAGGATATTTATCAAGAAAAAACACTCATAAGGAAACAACATACTATAGATACAAATTTAAATGTATACAAAAACGCCTATATACACCGAATAAAATTCATATTTCTGATTGTGAACAATAAAATGTTTATTATTAACAATTATTGTTTTTTATTGTATGTTCCCATAAAAAGTTTACGGCAATAAATCAATAACTATAACCATCTTAACTATTTTCAATCCGAATGCACATAAAATATAGATAATATATAATTTATTAATAAATATGAATTATGACCATTACGGCGTTATTTATGATTTTAGCAACTGATGATATTGAACGTTTCAAACGCAGTAAGTGAATGATTAACATTTGTTTTAAGTTTTTACAATATACCTATAAAACACTCTAATTAACTCATATTAATATTAAATTAAATATTTAAATGCATTTTGATTTATAATACTTAATTTTTCATATTTTATAATTATTTTATTGGTTAAAATATTAAATATATAATCATTGTAATCGTGTATTTTATAAACAGTGATTTGTAAACTTGTGTGCTCTAGCATGAATCTATTTGTTAATTGTGACATTATAATCTTCCTGAATGTGAAAAATATTTTTTTTTATTCAATAAAACTCTACTTATAATCTACACATAATAACATGATAAGTAAATGTGAGATAGATAATTATGCAGATAGTTTGATGGAAATGAGTAGGAAAACCATTAATTAACATTATATATCATATAAAATATATATCTCATATTTTTTATAGATATTATGGAAATTATGTTATTTATAGATATTATACATTTTTTTTTTATTATTAATCAGTCAATTTAATCATAATAATTAAAAAATAAACAATGTTTTCAGTTTATCCAAAAATGTGTAGTACACTTTTAGAATTTTCAATAACTATGAATGATATGGGTAATTATTGCCGGCAAAGGTCATAATATTTTATCCAGATAAATATACAAATACGTATTTTTAATAATTGTTCAAATTTTGTTAATTTGTATCATATCGAAATCTATTTTAATCAAATCTTTTATGACATAAATCTAGGAATATCAATGGTTAAAGAAACTTTTGAGTTTTATAAAAATCGTAAGTAAATTTTAAAATAATCATAAATTATTAGTGGTTTTATAAAATTGAGTCATATTATGTAAAATATTAATAGTATTGATATTCACATAATTATAATATATAAGATCAAAGTTGTACAAATAATTTCACGTTAAGTTATAATGTTATTTTTTCAATAATTTTACAATGCTAGAGATGTTGACCTAAATATTTGTTTGATCATTAAACATTTTTTTTTTTTATTATTATTATTCGTAATAATATTGTGCCTAATAGTTGCAAGGTTCAATCCGTTTTAATGAAAATTCCTAAATACATAGGTATTACATTACGTATTGTGTGTGATAGTACAATAATTGTATATAAATATAATTTTTTATACGTACGAACAACAGAAAATACTATACCTAAGAGATATTAAGGGGTTTTTGTCGTGAAAAAATTAGCTCAATTAATCCACATTAAATACCCAATTAAAAAATAAAAATGAAATTTTCACAATTTGATATAATGTTATATTATGCTTTAATTTATGTTATATACAAATATCTTTAATGGATGTATCTTATATTTAGTCAAAATTTAGGAACAAAAAAAAAAAAAAAAAAAAAATCAGGAACATTTGATAATTATTTAAATCCACTTCTATAATATTGTCCCAAATAATTCATCGAGCTTTGAAATTTAATTTATTGTAAGCTGTTTAACATTATACATCTGATTCATAAGGATATATTAAACTTGAATAAATGAATTAATAACCACAAAATAAAAACTGGAAAATAATAATTAATATATTATTATTTATTATAGTATAAACAATAAATATCTATTACCCACTATATTAAACCTAGTCAAAATAATTTTTTATTTCAATGTTGGAAAAACCAATTATTTTGATCTGTCTTCAATTGATTATACTTTTCAAAAATCGTTCTATTTTTAATAACAATAATAAATAAAAATAATTACTTATATATTGACTATTAACAGAAAAAACAATTAATATTTATTCCATTTTTTTAATTATTTCAGAATTTCCTCAACGCAACGAAACGAATTATACAATATACAGTACCAGATTGAACAGTTTAAGTAATATGCTTTAAAATATTTCAATATAAATAATATGAGTCATACATTTTTCAAATAATAATGAAGTCATTCTGCATTATATTATATTTTTTTAAATATTCAATTATAAAGTTAGTCTATAAAAACATATATTATTATATCATATAATATGTTACAGGTAGGTAATGTTATTATTTGGATAATTTTAACATTTACCGGATAATAAAACATTACAAAAAATACATTACAGTACCCATATGTTATCATTATCCGCCATGAATATTATTAAATTTTGACTTTTGTTAAAATTAACCGGATAATAAGATATTAGCCAAGAATTTTCGAATAATGTATTTAGAACTATAAAAATGTATTATGCATGAGATAAAACAGTTTTAAATTATCATTAATATTAAATAAAGCTTTTAAAAAATATGCTTTAATTTTAAAATATATCTTTAATTATAAGGAAAAAATTATATCGGAAATTAAAATACGATACGATCAATAATATGTAATTTATTAACTAAAATCGCATTCTTCCGAAAATTTTGTTTGAAAAATAGTAGAATCCGTACAAAGTGATGCGTACATTGCAACAATATATTTGTTTTTACGTGTTTTTAATATAGAAAATTGCATTTAATACTACGCGAAATTGTTTATATGAAAGTTGAATTGTCTGAATCATATATGTATATTATGGTTATTAATATTTACAATAATTCTATACGATCCCGAAAATGTCGAATAAATAATTTACAACCCACTTTTCTTATTTCTAGATTTAGTTTACAAATAATCAATTTCAATTTACTATACCTATATTTGCAAAATATTATTAGAAAATGTTACAAATTATAATACATTTGACACATTTTTTTTTTTTATACAAATTTGCTCGATTATTCAAATATGACACATTTTATATCATATATATGTATATAAATAAAATATGACAACAAAATTGATTAAGAATATTTTTGAATCAGGTAATTTTAAACATTAATTAGTATAACTATGTCGATAATAAAATATATTTTTAATTACACAACTTATATTATTCACGTATAAATTATTTTAACAATAATAACATTTTTAGTTGAATTAAATAATAAAGTTGACATTACATTTAATAATATAAAAAAAAAATACACAATACATTATACAGTGTATACAATTTTATTTTAAGAGAAATGATAAATCGATATTTCTTATGAGACTTATACAAATGCGCATCTGGTTAATAAAACGTAATTGTTGTATTTACCTGTGTTATATCAAAATTTATTTCAGTTATAGATTTCCCCGTCGACTAAAATGCAATTGATCTCGTGATTTACTTCATTAAATAAATAATTAAAAAAAAAAAACAGTTTGAAGTAGTGTCGATGGACGTCCTCTTCACTCAAGCATCCAAACCTTGTACAAAATAAATTATCAAATTTATTTATTGTATTATTATATTAAAGATTTTAAATACATATTTATTTGATAAAAAAAAAATAAAGTTGTAAATTTAATGAAAATTTATTTTCAGAATCAATTATTATAAAGTCAAGTGATGAATTTAATTTATTACTTTCAAGTAATTTTTTTAAATTTTAATACATTTATCATTTCAATAAAGCAATTTAGTAAAAATAAATTTAAATCTAATAATATTTCCATCATAATGTTACAAATTTATGTGTTGACAAAGTTAAGCCTTAAGCTGGTTATACAATACGAATTTATTTACCCACGAATGTAGTTTGAACAATTTACAAGAATAATGTACCTATACAGTTTAAATAAACACAGTATATACGTGGTATTTAGTCACGAAAAAAAAGTACAGGAAAAGATGGACGCAGAAAATAAAAATAATATATTTTACATACATTTTAATATAATATAATTAAAATGAAAAATTAAGTCAATATAAATCTTAAAGTAAATCACTGGTTAAATTTAGTAAAAAATAGTTAACTTAACATACTATATTGTTCAATTATAAAATAAAATCATTACGGCAAGCTTATTAATATATACTAATTTTATTTATTTTTAAATCCAAGATCTAATTTATATATTATGTTATAATATCATATATCTGATTGGTATAGTGAGAAAATCAGAAAAATTCAATAACAAGAAAATACCTAAATGATTATTCTTTCTTTTAATCTCTTATCAATTTTAATTTTACACAAATAGTTTTAGTACTCACTGACGAAGTATATCTGCGATTTGGCTTGCATTAAAAAATAAAGTTTAGCCCACAATCTAATTAAATATAGAACAAAATTATACTCTTTATTTATTTTTAATTTAGTCAACCTATAATCACCACCCCCGTTATTTCCACGATATTCTTTTTACAAGACTTGCATTTTTAAAGACATTTTCAAATCCACTCAAAAACACTATAATTGCATATTAGTATAATAATTTTTATTTAAATAAATAATATAAATATCATAGTTAATAAAAACATGTGTTGATTTGAACTTTTTGTTTTTTTTAGGATTTCCAAAGGCACCTGAAAGATATTCAAATTATAAACAGAGGATGCAATCAATATGTATGTTATTAAATTAATTAAATTTCACTATTTTATTACAAAACTAACACAAGTTACTAAAAAACAATTAAAGCAATTCTATAAGTTGTCTTTTCATAAATTTCTTAGTTTCAAAATGAATATTCAATTAAAATTTTAATTGTACATCTATTATTCATAGAGAATTTAGTAAAATAAAATTAATTTAATAAAATAAATAATTATTATTGATTAAAAATGTAGATTATAAATAAATTAAATTGTGTGTAAAAATAAAATGGATTTGTAATATTTTTTATAATATTAAGAAAATAAAAGATTTTAATAACAGAGTGTTTTAAAAAAAATGATTGATCAGTATGATTGGCCATTGCTAAAAGAAATTACTATTTTGGATTATAAATTTTGACGACGTTTTGAAACTTACATATTTTATTATTACTTAACGGAACAATAATGAAATTTTAAACGATTTGGACAACTATAATTTTATTATCATTTAAATAAAATTCATAAATCATAAAAAGAACATTATTTCATAATCTTTTGCAGCTTTAGATCCTTTAGATAAAAGCGAATTCAATAATTTAAAAAAGCGTAAGTAAATTAAAATTATCTAATACGTAATACTAATACGGGATTTTACTTAAAAGAATAACCAAACTTTTATTTATGAAACCAAACTTATATTTATAAAATTTAATTTTTAAACCTCAATTATTTTATCCCCTTTAAGTTATTCTCCATTGAAATTAATCATTTTAAATAAATAAAAATAAACACATTTCAATTCCATTGATCCAAATATCTTGTTTTTGTTTTTTAATTAAAAAGTTGTCTCTAGGTTCTATAACTAGGAACACGTACATCCATAAATTAGTAATACGTATAATAGTTATTACATAACTACTTATTATAGGTGTTGATTATTATACAATTTATTACGCATTAACTTCTCGAAAAAAATATAAATAGGTATAAAACTATCTATTAACATATTATAACGTTAGACATTTATAATTTCAGAAAGCATTTTTTTTTTAATATTTATTTTACATAATTTTAAGTTATAATAAAACATAATTTTTGATAAAGGTGGTTTTTTATTTTAATTTTTTTATCGATATATATATATTTTTAATATTTATTAAAACGTAGAAATATATTACAATTAACAAACGCTTTTATTTAATATCTAGAGGCAGAATATAATTTGGAATATTTTAACTTAAAAAATCAATTTTTTTTTTTTTTATTGATTTAAACCGATTTTAACACAATTAGTACATCCTAATTTACTGTAAAGTCAACTCAGTCAAACTTATCTTTTTTCGTTTTTAATTTTAAAATAGTGATAAGTCAAATTAATTATTTAAAAATTAATATTAAAATCAATTATATTTTATCAAAATGTGTGTGTGTGTTTTTTTTTAGTGTTTTCAATACCCTATGAAACTTACAACGAACACGTTGACCGGTTGAACAGTTATTGTAAGTTACCAATAATATAAATTTTATCTCACCTCATACTTGTATTTTTTATTTATATCTGAATGATTTGAGTTCATAATTACACAAACATATTATTTAATTTACATTTCTCATTACATATTACACGATTAATGTTTAAAAACTGGATAATAACATTCATATTCTACAATTTTTTCAGTCAGTACTTGAATATTGACTTGAAGAATTCGGATATATTTTTTTTTTTTCAAAATTTAGATCAGAAATAAATCTTTTTGTTAAATGCCTACTGGCTTATTTTGAGTTAAATTTTTAATTTTTGTTTACTGTATTTAATGAATATGGTGCAAGATGTATAAATGTAAAATTAATATTGTAAGCTAAAATACTCAATATCAATTAACAATATTTTAATGAATGTATAGGGAAATAAATGCAATATTTATTATTTAAAAAACATTTTTATTTAAAATGGATTTAGAAATAATTTTTTATTACTTTTTTAGCCATAGAGCCATTATCACTAGAAACATTTAAAAAAGAAAAATCACGTATGTTACTATAGAATTAAATTTTTACTCATTTGAAACTATAAGTAATTTTGTTCTTTTTGTATTTAAGTTCGAGTTCTTGTAGGTGAAACCTTTGCAGATCATAAAACTAGAATAATGGATATATTTAGTAAGTAATAATTAGTAACTTTAATTTATCGGTTAAATTAATCTGTAATATTTGTTTACAATGCACTTATACACTGCGTATATTTATTTGAAATAAGCTTTACTTTAGAACATGAGCCTTGTATATTAAAACGAAGAGAATATTTTTAAGATTTTCAACTTACGACTAGTCATATTAATTTAGTTTTTTATAATATTATATAAAGTTAAATACTAAAATATAAAACTTATTAAACCTTGCTGATTTTTCATTTTCAATGTTTTTAAAATTACATATTCCATATGGTTGAATGAATTAGCTAATAGTATTTGTTATTTTTTTTATATCTACTTTCTAAAATGAATTAAAAATTTAAAACACAAGAATATTTTCAGTTATTATTAAATCATATTTAAAATTGTTGAATGATAAAAAATAAGTAGCATATGTTTTGATCAGTATTACAACATATAAGCCATTTTTAGTTTGACATTAATGTATAAAATATAATTCCTTTGAATTTATAACCATTAAACATCATAACTGGTGCACACCATTTTATTCCTAAAAAGGTATAATTATTACGTTAAACAGTTTTTTCAATAAACAACTATCCTAAATAAATTTAATTGCTTATGAATTTTTAATATCATAATTTTATATTTCTTTTATTTAAAATATCTTAACTACGAATATGTGTGGAAAACTCTTCTAACTAGGATTTATAAAATGTTTTAACAAACAGTTAATCCAGAACTAGGATTAAATACGTATACAGATTCAAATGTAACTAAGTTAATCAATGATGAAGGTAAGTTGATTAAACATAATATTTTATCACTTAAAAAAAAGTTAGACAAATGGTTACTGCTCTGCTGTACATTAGGTATTAAGTGGTTCATTGTAATAGGTGTGTTAAATTGGCTGTATGTAAACTGCGGCAAAATTTACCTTTTTCAAAAAGTCGATATGTAAACTGCGACAAAAAAAAAATTAAGATTATATAATCTGCCACAAAACCGAAAGATATATCATACAAACTGCGGAAATTTAATTAGATACCTATTGTATTATTATTTATTTATTTATTTATTTTTTTTAATTAAACAATTTTTTTAAATAATTTTTAATATAATAATAATATTTTTTAATTTTAAAATTGGTTTTTTGATTATACAATCATTACGATCTAATTTTTAATAATAATATATTTTTCAATTTTAAAAATTGGGTTTTCTTTATTTTTACGCCTAATACTTTAAGAGATACTAATAGCTGCCATAACACGTAATACGTATTATACCTAATTAAACAATAAACGTGTATAAGTATATAAAATAAATTGCCGCAGTTTGTATGATGTATCTTATCGGTTTTGTCGCAGATTGTATAATCTTAATTATTTTTTTGCCGCAGTTTACATATCGACTTTTAGAAAAAGGTAAATTTTGCCACAGTTTACCATCTCCCGTTAAATTTAAAATCAATGATATACCTACTATTAGATACGAATAACGATTCTGAGTAGAAAAAATTTGTCAGTATAATATGAGTATATTACTAAATATATTTCATGACATGGTTTTTGATTTGGCTATTACTATTATTATTTATTAGTAAGGTAATTTATTTTAATCTTAGAATTGTGGTAGGTTGATTTAATTGTTTTCAAAAACATTTCATTCATAAAATTATTAGTATTTAATTACTATAAATAATGTGTATTTGTATCATATTGTTATTAACTTTTGAATTATTAATACTTTACTGTAAATATCGTAAATAAAAGTGTAAATAGATAATATATTAAAACTGATCCACATAATTTGAAAATTTCATTGCGTATAATAAAATTCATAATATACAAAATAGTTTTAACTAGTTACTCAATTTCGTAATCTCTTTTAAAATATTTAGGTATAGAATCATTGATAGTGGAAAATTTCATGGATCACGTACTAAGTAAGTTATTTTAAAATTTGAAATTTCACTATTATAGTATTATTATGTTGCATTGATATTTGAATGTTTTGTAATATAACAATACAATGTTTAAATAATACATACGATTTAAAGATAACTTTTTTAAATCAACAATTTGGAATATTTTATATAAAACTTGAAAAGTTACAATAATTATTCAAAGTTCAGTTACTCAAACATTTTTAATTTATATTTTTTCAGCTTATCCATTTAATTATGATAGTTTTGAAAAGTTTTGCTGGAGACAAAATAGAAAAGATTCTATAGCTGATCGTAAGTATTTCGTAAAATGTTTCATAAAAATTAATTATTTAAAACTACGAAATTTTGAATAAACAATTAAGAATATATACTCAAAAAAACAAACTTAAAAACATAGTTTTATTATATAAAAAATAAATGTTTCTTCGTAGGTATAGTTGTTATTATAATTTAATTTGTTTAGCTGATCCACTAGTTAAAACTCAAATTTGGTATGATCGAATGAAAAAACGTAAGTCATTTTATCGTTTTAGTTTTTAGTTTTTAATATATTATCAAATTATGTTTTTCTACTACATAAAAACTAAAACATATGATAAATAAATGCAATAATAATGCTGAATATTGTTTTTAATTAAAACGTATGGTATTATGAAAAGTAATTATATGTTATTGACAAATGATATACAAGAAATTACCATATTATGAAAAGAATTATGGTATATAATTATTATTCTTATAATTTTAAAAGAGATAACCTATTATTATTTTTAAATAAAAAGATTTATGAACTAAGATCAAACTTAATAAATATCATATTAAAATTGTCTAAAAAAATATAATATACCTTTTAATTGGTATTTAAAATAAATAATGCTAGTTTAAAGATACGTGAATTTGGCTACCAAATTTAAAAATGTTTAATATATGTTTACTAAATATTAAAAAAATATAGTATTTATAAGCACGAATTGGTAGTTTATAATTTCAGCTATTGTAAATTATGTATAAAAGTTTAAAACACGACTAACGTCGATTAAATCTGGCCTTCAAAGTTTCTGACTTTGCAAAAATATAGTGGGCACTTTAAAGTATTTGTAAATACAAATTTAAAATTTATAAGTCGTTCATTCCTTAAATATCCCTAAAAAGAAGTTAATAGTGCTTCATAATCACATCCATGATTTAAACATTTGTTAATAATTGACAATAACTGAATTTATAAATAACCAATTTTTGCTTACAAATGGCTTATTAATTATTGAGAAACTTGAAATATGAACATTTTGAAAGATAACTAATTTACCAATGTCAGCTTTAGACCGACGTACATACAACATAGGACTTCTTAAGCAGGAAAGGGTTTGAGAGGTGTCAGAATTAGAACTTGATAAGAGGGATGTGTGTCAAATTATTTTACCTTTATAAATATTAATAATATGAACATTCTTCCTGGTTATTTTCAGTCTTGCCTAAATTAAATGAAAACATTGAAATCTACAGAAATAGAACAAAGGAAGATAATCTAGGTAAGTACTAATAAAAAAAAAAAAACTGTAGTGTAGAAAGAAGCTTTGAGAGACACGGGTTAGACTACCTTCATTTATCTGGATAAAAATTCTAGTCTCTAAATAATAATAACATTTATCGATTTAGAATTTCCAGAGATCACATTAAAACAGTTTTATCGACATTTATATGGTAATTTATTAAATTTATTTATAATATAAATTATAGATGAATGTGGTATAATACAATAAAATACCTACATTTTATTTTTACTTATCGTAACTTGTAAGTGATATTAGTGCTTAACAAATAACTATGAACTGATATTAAAATAAAATAAATATAACACATAAATTACATTTATATAATGGTAAAAAGTATTACAAGCAAAAAATCGTCGTACAAATAATTGTAAAACTAGTTACAACAAATCAATTACTGTGATTTTTTAAATATTTTTTTGTTTAATAGAAATAATCCATTACTTATTTGCATACTCTTGAACAAACTCTTTTTCATCAATTATAAGAAGAGTAATTTAACTTTGGAATATTAAACAATAACTTTTAGATCACTAGCGAAAAAAAAACAATTAATGATTTTCGACTGTGGTATCTCAGCCGTACTTATATATGTATAATATATGAGTTAGGATAATTTTTAATACATTTTACGCACTATAAGTCTTTGAAACACATCAACAATAAATAAGAAATGAAAGATTTAAGTAATTATTGGCTTATATTATATAACATCATAGTTTAATAAAAAAAAGGTTACATTCAATGGTTTATGATTAAACACTGCTGATAAATCAATAAATTTAATTTTCATAATATAATTAACATAAAATGTCTTTTACTAAAAAGTATATGTAGTTCTTAGAATTTTATGTTGACTGACACATGGTCTATATCTACTTCAATAAATTTAAAAAAAAATCAGAAATTGTAAACCATTATGTATATTTTAATGTAAATAATTTTCGTTAAATTGACGTGTATTTTCAAACATAAGTATATCTAATTAAAATATAATTTCGTATTTTTTTTACAGAATTGCCACATCCAGCAGAATCATTTTTAACTTTTGATTCTAGAACTCAAATTAAGGACTCTTCTGATAATCGTAATACTAATAACAAATATTTTTATTAATTTAAAATAAATTAGCGTCTTGATAATGGATAGTCTCAGAATAAAATTATTTCGTACACGCCTTATAATTAGTAATGGTCAACGATATCGATATCGTGACAAATATTTAATATCCGGTTAAGTTAATTTCCGGATATATCGGAGTATCGAAAATATTTATTATTATATTATTTTTCAAGAATTACATTTAACTTGCAGGTTCTAAGGCATCTAAGCTATTACAAATATGTAGGATGTTGGTGTAAAATAAATGAGTTAAATTCTTTAGTGTGATATAAATTTGAAAATTTAAGAAAACGAAAAAGGGATTTTGATATTGCGGTATGATATCGGTAAATTTTGAACGATATCGATATTTGAAATTATATTTTCGCCCGTCACTATTCATAATACACTTATTATATTATTTTAAATTACTAAGATCAACTAATATGCAAAAATATTAAAAATATTTTTCTTCACTAGATTTACGTAATGAACATATAAAGAGTATAATTTGTGCGTAATCGAAAAAAAGGGTAGGTACAATCGAAAAATATTCCAACCATTGATATTCAGATTGCGAAAAAACCCAATTAATCTACAGTGTAGGAGTCGATAAACTTTCATAGAAGAAAGAGCTATATTTCTGAAAACTTACAAAACAATGATTTCAATGAATGTCATCGACGTGAACAACCTTTTTTTTTTTATAAAATCGTCATTATTCGTCTATACGTGTTATTGGTATGAATTGATCTGTATATTAAAAAGCCACAGATTTACAACCTTCGTTCTTCACAGTTAAGACCTATTATGACTATAAAATTAAACATAAAACCTGGTAAAGTAAATTTATCATTTTTTCAAAGGGTATAAAAATACAAAAGAAACCTTACACGAGCATAAACAATTTTGTGATTTTTCTGTTTATAATATGACATAGTTCTTTAAAAAGTATATACCTACACGTTTCACTTAAAATCAAAATATTGTAACGAGATAATTTATATTTGTTAAATACAATAATTAAATGGCAAAAATAGAGTAAATATTAGTTATGATAATTAAATATTTAAATTGCGTATTTTTTAAATAAATTGACTAGTATTTTAATATTTAGAAGAACACTTGATATTGGATATAGTGGTACCTAATACATTGGAGAAATTTGAAATTAATGAGAGAAAGAAAAATACGAAATTCTATTTTACCAGATAACAGAGTATTTTAAAACTTAATTTATAAAATTAAAACACGTAAGCATTTAGTTAATGAATCTATAATGATTCTCTTCTGCAACTATGCTATAGGACCACAATATTGTAGAGTGAATGTGGAATATATAGTATGAATTCAGGAAATCTATAACATTTACATTAAATGCGTTCAAATTGAAAACAGTCTTATAATTTCAATGAGTATCTTTAACAACAGAGCCATAATTAATAATAGCATATGCCATGCGAGTAGATCACTATTGCTTAAATTACCTCACCATGTTATAATACTACAAAGAAAAAGAAGCTTAAATTACCTAGATAATATCATGATTAAAAATCTATTAAAAATCTTGAGTAGAGAATACTACGCAAGGCACTCAACGTCGATAAATATGATTAATACTTAAATTCTCGTTTTTTGAAAGATCATACTTTAGGTATTAGCATTTATTTTGCAAGCAATAGAAGAAGCAACAGTATTAGATGAGAAATATTAATTTAATTAATTGAAGATACTGATAAAATGACCAGATATGTTCAATTTTATCAAATATTTTTAATAGACATAGAAACGTACTGGAACTGTGTTGTCAATCAAAAAAATTAAAAATATAGAATCATTACTTAAGTAAGAAATATAAATATCAATTAAAGCCATTTCATTTGGTATACCTACTATATTAATGACAACAGTTTAAGAAAACTATATACAATTTTGATTTTTATATTTTTAATATTTTTTAACTCCTAATACTTCACATCAATTTTTCACTAAGATCATACGTGGTTTTTGAACCAATTATAAAAATAAAATAACCGGGTAGTTTCTAGTTGAAGGTATTTTAAATTTCTATACCGGTATCTAATACCTGTTAAAAATTCTATATTGACATCAACGTTATTACTTATTAGTTTTTTAGTTATTACCAATAATATGGTATTTTCGGAAACCACATAAATAAGTGATACACTGATACATGCTATACCGGTTATCTAAAATACCGAAAATAATAGACACCAGTTTTAAATCAATATCAGGATAAACTATAAAGTTAACCTATAAGTTCGCCTAAAGTATCAATAGCCTCAAATTATCTAAATATGTTCATGTTAAACAAAAATAATTTATATTATATATGATATACCTAAAATAAATATTTTTTTCTGCAAATAAATACCTTTTATTTATACCCAATAATTTCACTAGAATATTAAAACTCTAATTAAATCGTCAGGAACAATAATCAGTTCAGTTTGGAAGTATTTTATGATTGCGACCAATAAAAAAAAATATATCAAGTATTATGTTTTATGGATACTGGAGTTACCTGATTTTTGTAGCTAAAAAAGAATTAAAAATAATTTTATAATTCTATCTTTTATACAAAATACGGGACACTACAGTGTATCATGTTGTTGAAACGGTTGATAAAAAAAAAATTGATAATTAACATAAAAAAAAGAACATAATTGAAAAAAGTGAACTTATCTAGTTATAGCACTAATACCCGTTCAAATACAATAAGTAGATGTTAAAGTATAGTATGAATCACGCAAGAGTATTAATATTAACTATTGAAAACAATATTATAAATTGTAATATTTAATTTTTATAATTATTGTTTTAACTTTTAAACTTTTATGAAGACGGAAAAAATCTTTTTAGAACAATGACATTGTTTTTTTCTATAAACATATTATCATTGTAGCCTTATAAATAAGTAATATATACGTAATATTATACACTGTACACAGTGTACACTGTTACAAAAAAAAAATAAAAAAATACGAATGACATTAAAAATATTTCAATTTTGACTTCGAAATAATAATTATTTGTATTATTTATTTCTTATTTCAGATATTTCGATTTCTATTCCGTCATCAGTTAATGAAGCACAGAATTCTCAACCCCCAATGAATACTGCGATGTCGACTCCTTCGCCCCCCAAACATACAATGTCACGTAGAACACAGTTCAATACAATCTGTAAGAATTTTTTACTAAACGATATCGATTGTTACTTATAACTATTTGTATTAGTTTAAAAATAGGGAAAATGGTTTTAAGGAAATTTGGAATGGACTGTTTGTGATAGCATCTGACTTCTATATTAGCAATATTCATACTGAATATTTTAAATTATTTATATGTTAATGTAAATTGAATAATTTTCATTATACCATACTGATGAATCTTATAGTGCAATATTGATATTGAGAATGGTTTTTAATTTTCTTACATATTTACTTTTAATCATACGAAGTACAAACTTCAATCATTTGGCTATCAGAATAGAGACAACATTTTCATAAATTTGTATACATATTTTGGGTCAAATTTTTAAAACTGTTAGTTTAAATACTACATTTTTAAAAAGTTGTTTATTATAGGTAGTCTTTAAAAAAATATTTTTAAATTTATATTTAAATACAGATATAGATATATAAATTTAGAAAGTATTGAAAACACACTTAAGAGCACGTCGTACCCGCATATGTTGTCTCCGTCTTACAAATGCGTAACATAGCAAATATTACGTTCAGAAGATCACGGTTAACTCCTTTAAATTGGAAATTAGAGTGAATTGGCCTCTTTTGAAGTTTAGAAGTGAGATTATTATCTAGGGCATCTCTTAGGCTTTAAATTTAAAACTTTTTTTTATTATATTTTAATTTTAAAGCGAGTTATGTGTGTTTTAAGACGTGCAAGCAATTTACAATTTTAAAATACTCATAACTTGCTTTAAAATTAAAATATAATAAAAAGCCTATAGATGCCCTAGATAATAATCTCACTTTTAAATTTCAAAAGAGGTCAATTCATTCTAATTTTCAAGCTGAAGGAGCTAAACGTGATCTTCTGAGAGTACTATTTGCCATGTTACGCATTTGTAAGACGGAGACAACATATGCGGGTACGACGTCCTCTTAAGATACTTAAAAAAAAATGTATTTAAGAACAAATACATAAAAAAACAAATACTTGCTATGTATTTGAATACTTTAAAATACTTTATAAATTGTACAAATAGGTAAAAAAATAATTCTGTAAATACTAATCAATAGTTATTACTATTTACTTGTTTTAAATTAATATGTCACATTTAATTATCATTAGAATTTAAAACTTTGAACTGCTTACTTAATTTTATACTAAAACAAGATAATAAATGATAATTTTTTATATTTTAGCCCTAAAATACTTAAACAGCTGTTCATTAAATATAAAATTAATAAATATTAAAATAATAGTTTAATAATTTGATTTTAATTATGTATAAAATAGTATAATGAATAATGATTATCAAAAAACAATCTGAAATATGATAGATACTCGTAATTGTTCACAATTTTTAAAAGAATTTGCTTAAAACTCTTTGATTTTTAAATGAAAATATATTCAAGACAATTTTAAAATACTTTCCAAACACTTAATTTAAAAAGTATTCAAATACATTTACTCAATTACTTATACTCAGATATAAATTTAACTACAGTCCATTTAAATTGTTTTTAATGGAAGTAGAATTATTATAAATTGACTTTTAAATAGTTTTTGATAAAAACTTTTAAGTCTACTAATGAAAAATACATAAACAATGTAATTTACAAAGCATCTTCTCAAATGATTCGTCTTTAAGAGACCCGTATGTATTGTCTTATTCTTACAAATGTACAAAAACGTAAATTTTTGTCCAGTAGAACCAATTTTGTATGTTTACCTTGAATATTAAATTAAAATAATCTATTATCAAATTTAAAGGTAAGAACATTATCTGTGTTAATTTAATTCATTTCAAAACTAAAGTATCGTAAATACCGACAATTAAGTACAAATAATGTTCTTACCTTTAAGTTTGACGATGTTTCATATTACTCTAAAATTTAAACTTAACACACAAAATTGGTTCTACTTAACGAACATTCACATATTGAACATTAAATTTGTAAGACGAAAACAACACGTCATGTGAGTGTGCCATTATTTTAAACACATAATATGCATTTATTTCAATTCTGATTAAAGTTAAAAATTTAAGTGAGCAAGTTTGATGAATCACTTTATAAGTTTATTGTATTGTCATCAATTAACTTAGCTACTACGTATTGTAAATATTAAGTTAATATTTAAAAATTACCATCATGTAAAACACTAAACATTTTCGTATCTTTATTTTGAATACTATAATAATATATTAAATTTATTAACATTGACTGGTTTTATTATTTTAGTGTAGGTATTTTTATAATGTAACAAGTTAAAGATATTAATTTAAAATTTATAATTTTAGTATCTAAAAAAAATACGTGCCCAACAAACTCCCAAAGTAAGTACTAAAATATACCTATACCTTATATTTTGAATAAAAAAAAATAAAGTTATACTAAATTTTACTAATATATATATTTAATATTCTATCTATTCTATATTTTTTAGTATCAAACTATAATTTAATTTATCTCATAAATATTTTTGTAATACACTTAATTACTTAATGAATTATTTAATTGCATTAGGTCATTAGGGATTTTTTTAATCAAAATTAAAAATTAGTTTAAAATTTAATATTTTAGCATCTCAGTCTCTTCAGAAGTTTGATTTGTGTCCTGAAATTCATAAACGTGAGTAGACTTTTATTCAAACAAAAATTAATATCTAAAAAAAATGATATTACATTTTCATTCCCACGTATATTTATAGTTATAAATTTATTAATTATTTGATAAAAGATTTAAAACAAACAACAAAAAACATTTTTTTTGTAGATTTAAATGTATTTAAAAAAGAGGTGTACAATACATTCATTTCACGTAATTATTATTTTTTTCTATTTTTAACTTAAATATATTTAATAAAGTGATTAATAATGAAAATTTAACATTTTTTTTTTTTTTGTAAGATTATAGTATTAGGAAAACACAATACTCTTTTATGTTTGTAATCAACCTAATTTAAAATAATGACTTACTGTACTGAAATTAGAGGTTTATTTTCTTTCCAATAGATCTATTAAAATTATTTTTTGAAAAATACTTGATTTACTTAAAGTAAATGTTCTTAAAGTTGTTTTTGTCTTAAAGATATGGTCTCTTATTATTTTCAACGTGATATGAGGATTATTTTATTGTTTATTATATTGTTAGTAGACGAAAAAACGTCGTTGAAAAAATTAAAATAGTGGACATATTGAACAGATGTTAGAGATAAGTCAGTCTGTTATTATGATTAACGCTTTAAAATAATATACATGGAGTACAATGGACTTTTATTAGTTTTATTAATTTTTATCTATTATATTGTATTGTATAACATAACAGTTTCTTGGTTATGACTTAAAGTAGATATAATATAATTAATTAACATCATAATATATTAGTATTTCAATAAATAGTTTCAATTAAGAAAGCTGATAATATTACTGATGTTGTAGTAACAGTGGACAATTGTAATAATAATTATATTTACAATTGTAAATATAATACCCATAATTATTACGGGTAGTGACATTATATTATATAACACAGATAATAAACTAAACGATTATAAAAATTCCTATAATATATAACTATAGGGCTCTAAAATTGTATGAAATTTATTTTTTAGATATTTTTTTAAAGTTAAAACTACTTTAGTAACCACAGCACACACTTACTATAGATTACAATAATAACTTTAAAAGCAATACACAAATGTACAATACATTATATAAATTACGATTTTGAATATAATTTAATAAATAAGTCTTAAGTTAAATTTTAGATATGTTATTAATTACATAATTACGTATTTATTCTTTATTTAAAAAAAAATTGTTAAGCAAACTGAAAGATATTATTTTCTTTAAATCAATGAAGATAAATACTCTTTCAATGATAATCATTAACAGATTGTGATAATTATATTTGTAATTAAACATTTTCATCGTTTTAATAGTTAATACTGTAACTGATAACATTTATAGAGTTGTTTTTCAATTTTAAATAAAGTTAAATTTTAAATATAAAGAATATTAAATAGTATATTGTATATTTATGAACAATATGCAAAGTATTGTTAACTATTAACAAAACTAATAAAAATTAACAAAGTCAATTATTATTTACTCAAAAAAAAAAAAATCACCAATTAGTATTTTAAAATAAAGTAGTATTTATTTTATTTACAACTGGAGTAGGTACTTGCATTACGATTATATTTTAAATTGTTAATATTTTTTAGTTATAGTCAGTATAATTATCTAGTTATAATTTATGAATCCATGTTTCATGTTATAACAAAATTAATGAACAAATATTTGTAATATATTTTAATATATGTATATATTAATATTTCATTTTCTATACATAACATTGGTAAATAATATCTTATAATATTTTTTTTTTATACAAATTATAGTTTCTCCAAATTTTTATACTAATCATACGAAATATTTTGAAAAAGTAAAGGAATGTAAGTAATTAAGCATAATCTATGTTAAATAATTTTATTTTTCAAATACAAATAAATAATATTAATTTTTATTATTATATTAAAATATTAAATGACAGTTATTCACTGAAAAAATATTGACGAAAACTGACAATTGAATAAGTTGTCATAGTTTTTATGTTAAGCACACCGTACTCTACTTACTTATTTTCAAATTATTCTGAAATTGAGTAAAATGTATCAATTTTATATGTGATTTTTAAATTCAAAACACTAAAAAAAAAGCTTGACAAAATGTTCTTACATAAATTATTTTTTTAACAATCGAAATTCAAAATTGCATTTAAAGTTATATTTTTTTGTATATATCATAAAATAAATAAAAAAAAAAAATAAAAAAATAAAGATCAAATTTTTTAGTTCAATATTAAATAGATACTACAAATAAACAACATTTTACAGGTTTGGTAATAACCTGTAAAATATTGAAAGAGAGTTAGTGGTAGTGAAGTCTCTTCTACAAATTATTCCAAAAATCAATAAAAAAGTCGCAAAAAAAATTAGTTAAATGTCTTGGAGACTTAAGGTGCATATTACTAAAGGTTAAACACCTTTAAGATTTTTTGAGAATTATTGAGATAATTCTTCATAATAATAGGTATTTAATTACATTTTTTAGATGGAGATCCGTTGAGTCCAAATGAATTAGTCGCGTTTAAGGAATGTATGTGTTATATATAATTAAAATAATATAAAAATTGTTTAAATTTGAATTAAGAGCATAATATTATGATTATTTATTGAAGGAAAAACTTTTAGGCTACTAGAAGAATTTTTATATCTATTTTTATCCTTCCTTACTTCTGTTTTATTATTTTATTTAAATTATGTATGATACATACCTTAAGTTTGTTAACTATAAATATTATATTTTTTAGATTTACCAAAATTACAAGACTCATTTATGACATTTAATGAAAAAATTAAATCAATGGGTAAGAAACTATTAAAATATTTAACTTGAAGTAGTTCACTTGAATTTAAAAAAAGGTTATGTTTAAACTATACAAAGATAATATTTTATTGACTTTTTTTTTTAATATACCTATGCTAAGTGTTAAATAATATTACTATAACTAAGTATCTGATATAATTACACACTATGATCATATCGTATTCTTCGGTGCCTATTAATCATTAATCTGTTAATTAGTGATACACCGTATCAAAGGTAGACAGCATTTCATAGTTGACGTTACTATTGGAAAATATATTTTAATGTCGTATACAGAATTACAAATATCTGAAATATCACGAAAATCTTCAACAATATTTGTTTTAGTATGTGATTTTTTAATACTCATATTTTCACAACGTGCATCATTCAGAGATTTTCGTAAAATTAAATAGTTATATTGGTGTTTATGATATATATTTGCTCGTTTTCGATTAACCTAACCTAACCTCTGAAAGAGAATTTACAATTTCTTACCAAATATTATTATATCATTTACATTATGTTCTTTGTAAAATATGTTAGTATATACAATTAAATCATGGCCTCATTTAATTTTAATAATTTTTAAAATGGAAAAAATTTGTAAACAGTAACAGAAAAGTGTGTACCTACTACGCATTCACAAATTGACAAATTGTTGACATACTAAACATTACATATTTTTTGAACACGTTAATTTTAAACGGTATAGTTGTATATGTAAATGCAACTTTTTTAATTCAGCCTACTATAATTTCTACAAAATAATTCAAGTAAATAATAATATAAATTTAACTAGTTAAAAATATGTTTTTTTAATAAAATACATACAAAATCAGTATTTTCAATATTTATAAATTAAATTTTTAAACTTTTTTTGTGACTTTTTTACTTGATATACAGTACGGTCATTACCTTTATAAATCCGAATTTAATTTAAGTTAATATAATACTCTGTATTAGGTCATTAGCTTAGATTGGTAAAGTTAAGTATATTATGTATAATGTACCACACTATTCATGAAATCTGTTTAATACTTAATATTATTATGTATTTTACATAAAATTATAGACCTTAGAAATAATTTTTATTTAGAAATTAAAATTTGATAAATGTTTCAACAACAAAAATGTAATGTTAAAAATGTTTTTACCTTTCCTTCCATGATTCTTCTTTTTATACTTTACGTGTTGAAGAAGCTATCTGCGACTTCACTCACATTTTTGCTAACTTTCCATCACTCTCTAAAACTCGTTTAAAATTATTTCATTCTTATATAATAACAATATTATTTCAATATACCAACAGGTTACTTTAAATTCATTTTTTAGATTTTTTTTTATTGATATTTTTTCGAATTTTTTGGATTTTTATTCTTTATTTATGACAATCGTTCTTTTTTTCATATATATTTATGTATGGTTGTAATCGTTGAACTGTATTAATTTAAGTATCGAAAGTTATTAAGAAATAAAAAATAAATTGTGTTTTTTAAAACAAACTAAAATTATAAAAAAAATTCATACTTGTCAAAGCAAAAATTATTTATCATAAAGATGACTTTTAGAGATGATTTTATACGGAGAAAAATATTGGTCATACCTATCATCTAAACCTAACTTAATCTATATTCCTTTAACCGATAACACTGAAAAGTAAATAACTCTAAAATATGTATTATCATACTTATTATTGTAATTTAGGTTTGACATCAATAAACAAAGAAGATTACAATAAATTGAAAATATGTAAGTACTGTTGCATATTTTACAAGCATGTATTACATTGATGTTTATTTAAAAATAGATTAAGATTTTTTTCAACAAATAATACAACAATGAGAAAATGAGTTGAATTTTAAAAATAATATTTTGTTCTAATTTAATTCGTTTTAGTTTATCCGCGAATATTTCACATTTCCTACGACAATTATATCTTAGACATAGGTATGTTACTTAATATATTTTATGTAATTCGATATCTAATAAATGTATATGTATTTACTATTTATGTATGTGTGTATAAATAATAGTAACTTGAGTGTACTAATTAACCCACAAAAATATTTTAAGATTTAAAAAATTTTAGACAAATGAAATAATGAATAATTTAATCCTGATAAATATTGTAACAATAATAAAAAATACAGTACATAAAATACGTGATATATATCCTCAAACCATTCATATAATTTTTATATTGATTCAAATTTATTCAATATTGATTATATTTACCTAAGTAGGTAAATTTAGCCTTTATATTTCTGTACTATAACAGTTAAATAACATAATTGTAAATCAGTATCATTATAGTATGGAATTACACTTATCCATATAAAACATGCTTTGAATTATAAGAAAAGTGTATATTGTTTTCTTAGTATTATATTTACCTACTTAGGTAAATATAATCAATTTTGAATAAATTTGAATCAATATAAAAATTATATGAATGGTTTAACTACGTATGGATGTAGTAAAATAATTCATCACTTATAATGTTTTTTTCGATGTTCTTCGTATTTTTATTAAAAGAATTGTTGGAACATCTATAATATTATATCTTTACTTCAATATGGCCTGAAATATGTTTCTATATATATATAATTCCACATTTAACCCCAAAAAACAAGCGTTATCCCAAGTTTATTTAAAGAAAAAAAAAATATTATCTATCAGATATTTAATTTTTTTCATAATATTTAATCTAAAATTTAGAATTTTTGTCAATATTTAAACTGAAAAAGTTCAACATTTTACTAATGTAAAAATTATTAATTAATAAACAATTAAAAAACAATGAAATAAAAAGAAAAGCGTTGGCATATACCCTACTATTTCCTTCCTCCTACATTACCTTACATCTCCTCGCGGTTTATGTCACCATAATATATATTGCAATAAGAAAATAAATTATGTTATACTAAAATATTGTTAAATATAAGTAGCCAGTAGGGCTTGGATTTTTTAGCAAAACAAATCCTTAGCAAAAAAAAAAGAAAAAAAAGCATTTATTAAATTTAATTCTAAAAAAATTAAATTAAATTACACATAAAATTAAATATTAAAAAAGGAATTTATGATCATATATTTGATCAAGTTACTTTCATTAAACTTATCCTATTGGGTGCTAATAACAGTTAAAGAAAAATTACTTAGAATACTTTACCCCACTGATTGATATTTACGCATAGTAAATACGCGATAGTTACGCGATAGTACGCAGGTATAATTCAGATAATTTTAAAACTATTCAATATCGGCACAATAACGATAGTTATTTTATCAGTCATCTATTTATTACTAGTTTTTCACCGGTTTTATAATTTCTGGCAATAATAATATAGTATTTTTAGTCCATAACTTATAAATAAGTTAAATTTTTAAGAAAAATAAGTAGAAATTGAGAAAAAAAGAAACAAATAGGGGAAAAAGCAAGTTTTGTGGAAAACAGCAAAAACAAGTTTACTTCACTGAAATCAGAACGATTCAAAACGTATTTATATTTAATAATTTTATTTTTATTACACTCTCCTCAAAAGAAGTATATGCTACAAAATCTGAGCCCAAGATATAAGTAATATAGGTAATATATTACATATTATAAAATAAATTTTTTGACATGAATAGGAAGCCTAAATATATTAAATTGCAAAAAAGCAATAATAAAAAATAAAAAATAACTAAATATACCTAAATATATTTTTTTTTATAGTAAAATTTAAATTATATCACATTATGATTATAATTTTAGATTAGAATCATATGTTAGTAGATGTATGAACATTCAAGACAAGAATAATAGACCTCAAAACAAATCCTACTATTTAACTTTTAATAGATTTGCATATTTTTTTAATTATTCATTAGTTTGTGAATGTAAATATAATAATATTTAATTTTGTTTATTTTATTTACTTTAACATCAAAGTACTAAAATATGCCGAAAATGAAATTGTCTATCGAAGTGTTATAGGTAAGCGTAAATAAATATAAAGAATAGTTATTTAATTATACTTCATACTTATTTTTATTAAAATGTTATTATTATTAAAAAACAATTCAAATTTATACGTTTAAATATATTAATTATATATACAATTTAAGAATAAAATAATAACCAAATACTTGACAATTATTAAGCATGCTGTTGTTTGTGACTTTTTAGAAACTTTGTTTAAATGATCTTAATCTAATCAATACTATGAATATTATTGTTATATTAATTAGCTTATAAAAATCCAAAATATCTATTACCTAACAATTAATGTTAATTTGTAATGGATTAATTACATGTATCATTAACTAAACAAATGTTTCTAGATCTAATGTTTTTTGTTATAAAATAAGAGTGTACTGTATGGTTTAATACTAACTAATAAATTACTCGCTTAATTTTATAACTTTTAATATATTTTGGCAGTACATTTTAATGGTATTGTAATTTATGCATATTCTCCGAATGTGAATAAAATAAGTACCTAGTTAATAATAATAAAAATGTATTCGCACAATACAGTCATTAAATAATATTAATTTTATTTAGATGCACTGAAGCTGTCTAGTAATGAATTCATAGAGTACAAACGAAGTAAGTCTTGCCCAATAAAATAATAAAGACTACACTAATAACTCATACCTACCTGCTTATAATTTAAAAAAATTTAGAACAAAATATGGTAATAATTTTCTGAAGTACTAATGAAACAATAAGTTATATACATTTAACGAGATAACCATAACCAGAATATTATATTTAACAAAGTCCTATGTGAACTCTTCTTAAAGACGAAAATGTTCAACTGTACATTTATGAGTCTGGGATTATCTATGTACTCGTACTAAATTTCAGAACCATTACAGCGATATACTTGGCTGTAGAAATTCTCTTTTATTAATAGGAAATAATAAAATAAACAAAAATTAAAATTCAATAAAATAATATATTCATACGCATAAGTAACCAGAAACAATTTACAGTTTATTTTCAATTATACTGAGGTATAATCGAATCCATTTGTACAACAGACCGAGTTCCTCGATTTTTATGTTTACGTTAAGTTGAAATCTAAATAAAAAAAATTATAATAGCACAATAATATGTTTAGAACTAAAAATGGAAAAATATTTTTTTATTAGAGTTCCCAAGACAATTTGATATTACTTATGCAACTTATAAGAAGAGGATGGAAACAGAAAGTACGATATTTTTAATGTAATTAAAGCGAACTAAAAACTTATACAAACTATTATTAAAAGTAATGTGTGAAACTATGTATGTGTGTGTGCGCCATGGATTCATCGCTAAGAATTCGGGTGGTCACCCATCCAACAACTAGCGACACCGGCTGATGCTTGACCCCAGAACATAAGTGACTGAGGTCAACCATTGCGCCACACCAGACCACATATAATAAAACTTTATATAATACGAATATATAATATATTATTAAATATTTTAAAATATATCTTCTATTCAGAATTTTAATATTATTTCAAAATTATATAAATTATACATAATATTTCAATTTTTAAAAATCTATATTTGTGTTGACAAATCAAAAATGAATCAATTATTTTGATTTAAATTTAATGAATAGTATAGGTAATCATATTTATACACCAAATCATTTTTTTTTTTTTTTAATGATTTTCTAATCATATATTTTAATTCATAGTATTTAATATTTTTAGATATCAATGAAGTACTCGAAGAGGACGACTTTAATGCAATTAAAATAGGTACGTTATTTATCCGTATACTATTTTATCCAGTTTGATTATATCATTCGTATTGATAGTATTTTAATATTTGGATGATATATTTTATAATATCATCAATACCTTAAGTTCAGTAGTTTAATGAAATTACCCTGTTTGACCTAATATCTCAACTTATTGACAAAACACCATTAAAATAAAAATATTTTATGATATTCTATATCCTTGTTTATATAATTTAAACAATTTGCTGTAAATACTGGGAAAATCCACTTTTTAAAACTTTTCAAGACGATCAAAAAATCATTTCTATGATTTGAAACAATTTTTTTAAATTTCAACTTATTTACAATTTTAAATTTATTGAAAGGTCTAAACAATGGAAATATATAGACACTATTCATCGAGTTCTGTATACATTTCATAAAATAATGAATTTGAACCACAAGGAATTATAAGTTATACCTGTGTTTTCCACACAATTATCAATTTTTTTTTCAATGAAAAAATGTATCATTTTATTTTGATTAAAATAAAATAAAACTACATTTGACATTATCCAAATTGTAAAATGTATGCTTACTACTTATATTTACTTATTACGTTAAAATGTGACAATTAATTACAGCAAAAATCAATTAAGTTCAGAATTATCTGATTCTTGCACAAAAAAAAAAAAACAGACTAGTACATTTACTATAAAAACTATAATTATATTATATAAAGGATTAATCTAAAAATCTATCAAACTATATTTTATAATCTGTTACACCTACTTCTTAGTTATAAAACATATATTTCTGATTTATACAACAAAAATTTTGAAAAAAACAGATATGTCTGGTTTTTGCAGAAAACCTTTATTTGTATTAATTTATATTTACGTTAAATAGATATTTTACGTCTGCTAAGATGATTTTCGAATTATTATACCTTTTATATATGCTTACTTAATTATATGTGGTATTAATATTGCTTTATCTTATACCGATTATTTAATTAAAAATATTTTTAATCAAAATCTTACAAATAAAGCAGTCACTACTTATAATTAATGAAATCAGGTAATAGGTTTTTAACCAAAATAAGTAAATTTAAGCAAAATTAGCATTAAGTGATAGCTTTATTAATGGATGTCTAAAAAAAATTTTATACAGTATGCGGTGATTCATATTATCCATTGGATAGATTAAACTGCGATTATTACATTTAAATAAATATAAATAATTGTTAGCTGTCTGTAAACATTTGTATCTATATGATGATTATTGATCACTTTTATTACTATTTTATATTTAATTTACTGTTTTAATTAATAATTATAATTTGGGTTTTTTTTTTAATTATATACTATTATATTATTTAAAATTTTTATTTTAAATGAACTAAGTATTTAGTACTATTTACTATAATTTATACAAAATTGTACATATTATAACTAAAATAACAAAGTTTCAATTAGTAGTTTTCTACGTCAACTAAATATATGGAATTCGAATTACGGACTTATATAGTTATTTACAGAATTATACCTTAAATTTAATTGGTTAATAAAAAAAAAAAACGATAAAATAATAGTAATAATATTTTTTAGCCAACTTTCCACTAGCAAATGAAAACTACGAAGAACATGAGGCAAAAATGAAATATTTAGGTAAATTTATCTAGGCTTAATAATATTATAAATACAGTCAACTCTTAATAATCTTAACGTATATACCGGTTCAGTCAAATTTATTTATTACGTATATTCTTTTTAACTTACTTTTTTATTAGAATTCAATTTAGTATTTATTCTAGAATTATGTATTAATCGAGTTATTTATATTAATTGATTATACAAAGTGTTATATTTTTGTTTTTAGACATAGACCCCATTCCATACGATGTATTTAGTTTTTTAAAAGGAAGTAAGATATAACACATTTAATTTTGAATTTTATTTTTAACTTCCACTATATTGAGTGATTCATTAATCTAAACCTACCACTCTCCTTAGTTCCAATACCCTTAAATAATGCATTTATTCAAATATTTATTTTCAAATTTACATAATTTACTTAGAGATTATATTTTAAAATACTTACATTTAATATAAAATACTCATAAACTAACTTTACAATTATAACTTCGACACAATATATACATTGATATATATTAAAAAAATCATCTCTTAAATAATTTACAATAAAAGATGGTAGTTTTTACTCGAAAAAAAAGACATTTGTATCACCACAGACAATTTCTTATATGAAATATTATAATAATGGATCGAGGATGGTGGAACATGCTTAGTGAATGCCATATGCATGAATATGTCTATGACCTTTCCCATATTTTATTATATTGTCTTGTTTTGCTGGCTAAACACCTAATTTTAATAAATCTCTTAAATCTTTTAATTTATCATTTAACCTCTACTCCACACTCAAAATAAAATCTATAACTACGATCAAAATTATAATTTCTTTCATATTGGATTTATTATATAATATATTGTTATTAATATTCTCTGTTTCCACCTTTTATAATAAATTGTTGAGCTATCATAGTTGTTATAATATTAATGGCTATTGAAAAAAAACCATATGACATATACATATTCCGCCCATTATTTTGAGATATAATACGTATGTAAAACAGAATAATAATAATATATGCTGAAAGTCTCTTTTTCCTTAAAATAAATTTTATTACTATTTTATAGTAAAAATATTAATTGTACTTTTGTATAATAATTTATTGTTACATCCAATACATATTATTGTATGTAAACTATTGTACACAAATATTACTTTTTATTAAGATTATTGATTATTTCATAATTTGTATTTATATAAAATTCACTGTCAATTGATTAATTATCAAAACTACTATATTAACACATGCATGGCAATATTTTTTTATTTATTCAATACAACAAAATTCAATAACTAAGCAATGATAAATTTTAGAAAATATTACTTATATATCATATTATACATATCATAGCTCTATGTAATGAAGTTGAAACTTAGAATATAATATATTAGGTATAATATTAAGACTTAAGAAATTAAAAATAACTAATTAAATCTATATAAATAAAAATAAAATGCTGTTCGTAGGAAATAAATCACTTTAAAACGAGCTGTTAACCATAATGAATATATATTTTTTCCATTTGTTTTTTCTTGCTCAAATTATGCGTGTTTTTTTCAGTTTATCCCAATCTGTTTGAAAAAAGATATGAATTTAGGATTAAAAACATAGGTACGTGAATAAATTAATTATTAAATTGTAATACGAATGCATTTTATAATTTTGTTTATTTTATTCGTTTATTGGTATTAAATTATATTAAACATAATAACATTAAGCATAACTAAATTCATAATTTAATTGTTTTCATATTAAACAAAGTTTAGGTAATACAACGAAAAGTTTAATAATTTCTGTTTTAGTTTACAAGGTACTTCAACGCCCCGATTATAAAGATGAGAAATACCAATCAATTATTGAAAACAGAAATTTTTTAGAAAGTAAAGTTTATTTACCTAACTTAAAATATTAATATATATATATATATAATTATATTATACATAATACGATGTTGAGATGATCAATGTCTTAATCATTTATTTAATTTGAAATGTACTGGAACCTCCTGAAAAAATATTTAAGCATAATTATATAGTTGATTAAATATTATTATTGAAATATATATTAGGAGTATTAGATTATTTATATATATTTACACTATTATTTGGTTGTGCCTACATAAGAAATCAAATGAGTTACTAGTACTTAGTTAATTATTGCCTATTTTTAGTAACAGTGTACATGTACCTACTTTTACGTTTTTCTGTATCAATTAATAATTAATATTGCAATTATTATTACCAACATATCTATCTTAATATTTCTAACTGGACACAATCACAATAATATAATCACAAGTAATGATTAAAAAAAAAAAAAAAATTAATTCAGACTAACAGTATTATACTTAGACATTTATTTCTTCATTAATATTTAATATTACATTTTTTTTAATATTTATTTTATAACAATGTGATATTATATATATATATATATATTTTAACAGTTATTGAAAGATCTGAACCTTATCAAGAACTTGAAGATAAAATTGAGAATTTATGTAAGTTAACAATAATAAAATACTATTACCTAAAATAATTTTAAAGTTTAGTTTATAAAAAATAAATTACGTATTATAATATTTTGAGAAAATATGTTTTGACAGTTAATTTGCTTATTATTTTAGTACTGCAGATGATGACTAATGATGAATTTAATTCATTTATAGATTGTAAGTTGTTTCATTTATACCTATAAAGTATTTGTTTAATATTATATTATATACTCGTTTGCGAGAAAATTTGATGTGCACAAACTAAAATTCCGCCGCAATCACTTAAATTGCCATACATTGGCTCCAATCGTATACGTGAAGTGATTACATAATCTTAACAAACGAAATAAATATTAAACAAATGATAAATTTTTCTAACAATTTTACTGTTTTTTAGTCTTTCCGATAGTTTTTCAATCATATAATAATTTTGTTAATCATTGGTTGATAATAAAAACAAAAGGTAAGATTTAATATATCATTATTTATTTTTTTAATTTAAACGCCATAATAAGCTCAATAAAATTATACTAATGAAATACTAATGATTAAATTCCGGATTTATATTCTCTTAAATATCTTGAAAATATTTCTTGATATTCTCTTAAAAACTAGAAACATATACAAAAATAATTAATAAAAATCAATATCAACATTTTTTTTTTTTTTTTGACAGTAGTCAAGTATATACTTGCAAATAACAAAATTATTTCACTAAAATAATAATTAAAATAATGTCTTTTTGTTAAACGGTTCTATCCATTTTTTTTAAAGGTGATTATAATTAAGGTGTTTATAGTTTTTTTATTATAACTTAACCCATGAAATATTTTCAAATACGCAACAAATACTTTTTCATATGAACTGAGTATCGAAAAAATTGTCTACATGTTTAACTCTCATAAGACTGCATAAACTCAATAACGATATGTAAAAATATAACAATCCGGATTTTAATCATGATAACTATAACATTTAATATTATAATGTAATAACACTAATAACTAATAATCTATATTTTAATAAAAGAAATGAAAATCAATAAAAACAATTATGTGACAAATATTGAAGTACAATATAATATGTTTATACAATATACAATAATAAATAATATTTAATAAAAAGTTTTGAATGATTCTATTTTAGTAACAATATTATTTTTAATTGTGTATGCTGTATAGAACTTAAAATAATAGTACACAACGTGTAATAATTTATTTCATAAAAACTATTAATAAAAAATAAAAATTATAAATATGTATAATAATATATTTCTATTATACAATGATCTAATGCTAATGTTAAATTAACTTCTAATAGCCAAGAATCACTAATGGTTGGCTACTTAATTTAAATTGTTCATGTCTTAATTAGTTTCAACATATAAACTTATTGTGTAAACCGTATAGACTGTTTATGTTAAATAAAAGTAAAAAAAATTAACTACAATAAAATCACTTTAGATGTATAGAATTTTAAAGCAATAAAGATTTCTGTTATTTAATTACAACGGAGTAATGAAAAAATCAATTAATTAAGTGTGTTTACTCAAATGATTTTTTTATTGCTACCTAACTATTAATATTTTTGTTATATATTCACTTAATTATAATATGCATCCAGAGTTTATAGTGATATTCATAGATAAAAAGAAACTTATTTTGCTCTTTTAAGATTTATTTTTTGAAATAAGTGTAATTGTTTATGACATTTTTAGAAATATCAGAAATTATGGATAACATTTTATATACATCACTTAAAAAAGGTATAAATAAAATAGATAATTATAATAATATAATATAGTCAATAATATTTTATGCACAAATATATCATCTGAGATCAATTTTAAAGCTGTTGAAACCGATTTTTTATTAATATTTGAGTATTTTATAGTTGCGTGGAGTGATGGCCGTAAAATATTCTTTCAAAAAAATAAAATCTAAACAATTCAACGAACAAAAATCACGAAACAATCACGTCTCGAATAATAGTCTATGGATTTTAATTTTTTTTTCGTTCACATTCGACCGAAATTTTTTAATTAATTTTAAAAATGACATACAAATTTTCACAAATTTTTGATACATAGACGTTAGTAATAACTTCTAAGAACGCTGTTATTAAAATCAAAGTCCGATGCAACCTGCATAAAGTCTTCATCTTTTAAATAAAGATATATTTCGGAATCTACCTACGAGTATTTCACGAGACATGAGTGTTTTAGTTTTATGGTGTATGTTTTTGTATTAAAAACACGTTGGTTTCGATAGGCTTAAAAATGATTCAACAAGATAAGTTATAACTTATTATTTAAAAAATATATTTAAAATTTTTTATCTTAAATAGTTTAGGCATTAATATCATACGCTTATGTACATAATATATTATCGACAAGATTTATTATCAAATTAAAGAGATTGAAATTTTACAACGAATATTCCGAAATTTTAAGTTTTTACTTATAATTTTATCAAATCCAGCGATAATAATACACTAAAAGATAACAAACGTAAATATTAGTCTATGATGAAAATATGATGTTGAGCTTTATTATTCAATAATTATTTATTAATCTAGAAAATAATATTATTTTATGTTTTTATCGTTTAAGCTGACAAATATTACATATATTATTCAAATAAAAGCGCATCATAAAAATAATATAGATTAATAAAAAAAAATGTTTAATTTGATTAGGTAAACGTATTAGAAAATTTTGGTTTTATTTTTTACATAAGCATTATTATTTTCATGAATAAAATAAACTTTATATTAAAAATCTAATTAACTAAATAGAGGTTAATTTTATATTCGGGAGGGTTTAGTCCTCAAATCAATTAGTTCACTGATATGCTATAAGTATATTATTTTTCTTTTTTTCGTGATTCATAGGATACCATAATTTCAATAATTTATTAGATACCTAATACTTATGATATTATATATGGTCCATAACAGTTGTAATTTACAATTTATACGAGAATAACTTTCCAAATTTTTTTTCATTTATGTAAGTGATAGTATTCATTAAATTCGTTATTAATCATTTATGTATATCTTTCATTATTACTATTAGTTTTAATCAACCGTTAACACACATATTTAAATTTTTTTAAGATTGTAAGTTTTTTTCAAAAAAAAAAAATAAATAAATAAATAGAACGTTAGGTTCATACTGCGTATTTATTAGATCGAATTAAACATTATATGATATAAATTCTTGAATTCATACTTAAATAATGATTCGTTTCAAAAATTTAAAATTTCTGCTTTGCATAAATATTTAGATAGTTTTAATAAATAAATAATAACAATAATATTTACATTATATTTCAGCTTATTTTATATCAATAAATGAAACCTATGTGGAATATGAGACAAGAATGAAATCTCTAAGTAGCTATACCTACATAATTTTTAATATATTATTATAGCTAAAAGTTTTTAGAATTTCTTATATCATGATATGTAAAATGAAAAATGTGTATTTATATTTTACATGGAAATGATCATAATGTGCATTATAAAATATTTCAATATTGATTTGAATCGTAGACAAGAGAACATAATAATTATAATGTAGATTAGATTGATGTTATCCTGTGTTATAATATTTTACGGTTTAATCTTATCGCATAGTTACAAAATAAATTAAACATTAAACGTTTTAATGTAATAATATTAATAACTATGGCAGAAGACTTCTGAGATTTGCATAATCTACATCTACGAAACTGTCCAGAATTTGGTAATAAAAATAACGTGTCTCCAATAACAATTGTTGTCTCGCCGTTCCGGCGGTGACAATGTATTGTATAGTATTGCAATCATGATATTGAATAATCACTTTATTAGCGAGTATTTTAAATATTATTAATCATTAATAAAAATCAGTTGTTTACTTAAAATATAAAGTCCACTTTAAAAATTAAAGTTGAATTTTAGTAAAAACCATTTTATCATAAAAGAATCATTTTTTTTTTTTTTTGAAAAACAATAAAAATTATTATTATTTATTAATTTTTTTTTTTTTCATTTTGTGGAGAAGAATATTTTGGCACAATTTTCTTAATAACATAGAGCATAAAAGATAATTAGAAAATAATATCTTAAAATATAAATAATATATATAATATAATATATTATATATTATATTATATATACGTATATATATATATATATTTAATATTATATAATATCTATACAATTTTATTATTTTTAAAGTACATTTAAGACTAATTATTTGTATTATAATCTTAGATAATGTATTATTTTTATTTTTATTTTTAGAGCTAATCGCTTTTCCCCGTAACTTATTTCGATACTTTAAAGCAAGTAAGATATTTTTTTGATTTTTACAATATCTAACAATATTTATACCCACCAATTTCCATATTAATTTTGCACCACATTATATGTATAATATACTTATAATACTTACCGATTTCATTTCAATGGAATTTTTAACCAAAAATAAAATGTTTCAGCTTACATTTTTTATGTTTCATAATAATTATTATATTTATCAAAATGATGAGTCTAATAATATATTTACTTGCAAAGTCCAAAATTGTATAGAATTATTTGTTCTCAATGAACTTATAGAACTTTGAAAACTCATAAATAAGTATCAAAATTGTTGTCCACTAAAATATAATAATAATCATCAACCTGAAAAACCATCGTAGCTGACTTCCAATTAAATATACATACCATTTATTGTATATAAAATATATTTAACGTTGCGATTCTGTAGCGTAAAAATATACTATTTCAAACTTTAACATATTAAAATAAATGATGAGTATTTTTTTATGATAATATATAATAAGTATATGTATACAATACTAAATACAATATTGATATTTCTATATTACTTTTACAATAAATGTCTTTAATTAATTAAAAATGTCATGATAACCATAACATAATATTTATCATGCAGTATAGATTTTTAAAAATGTTTCTTGTGAATTTTTTCAGCTTATCCACATCCAATGCGAAGTTACGATTCCTACATAAATGATTTTAAATTATATAGTATGATTTAATATTCATAGTTTTAAGATTAAATTTAATATTTATCATTATTATTTATTAAGATCAATATTTGAATGTATTATACTTATATTTCAATCAGTATAATTTATAAATTTAATATAATCTATAATATTATTATTGTTAATGATTAAAAATTTTATTTTTTATACAATTTTTTTTTGTGAAATTTTTACAGAAAAATTTGAACTAAGAAATATTCAAGACAATATATTGGAAGAATTTTTATTTTTGGGTAAATTATTTGAATAATAATATGTTAAATTATTGTATTTACTTACACTTTACATTCTCAGTGTATATTATTCTTCTGTGATTTTGACTTACATGACTACCACCCAACACATTTGTCTCCATTTTTCTTCATCTCATGATGCTTCTTTCCAATTCATTTTTGGCTTTCCTTTTTCTATATCTTCCTTTATCCTATACTTCCAATAGTCTTTTTTCGGTGGTGTATTGCTTAACACCATTTTGAACAATTCTATTAACATAGATAAGAAAAACGCTCAAATACATTAAATCATAAGATATATAGTAATCAAAAAATATACTTATCACATTTTTATTATTAAATTTATAATTGTTAAATAATTTTTTTATAAATTTGACGAAGGATGAATATTTTATAAATGATAAATTTAACAAAAAGTTACTAAATCTAGAATTCATTAGTATACAGTCTGTCTGACTAATAAAGCGACCCATCGAATCATCTCTAGGTACCTGTATGTACTCTCATACAGGGAGACAGTAAGTTACATATTTTTAATCCTTTTCTTGTCACTGATTCAATATCAATGAATATCCATTATTATTTGATTTCTGATATCATATTAGCTATGTAAATTGTAAATGTATTGTTTTTCTTTTCTACTAATGCTTATATTAAAATCGCCTAAGTAAAATTAGTGTATACTCCACAAGTATTTCCTTTAAGATAAATAATTCTAACAGTGAATAAAACTTATATTTTCACTCATTCCTTTTCTCTTTTGTCAGGCATGTAAGTTAACAAATTCTAAATCGAACCACATTGCTTGTATTATTAACACTGTTATTCTAGAATTAATTACTTTTAAGTCCTTAATTGCAGATACTATACATTTTTTCCACACCAAAACCACTATTTACTTGTATTACATAATTGTTGGATCAGCCAAAGAAAATTGTTGTATTCCCTATTTCCATTGATCCTTGTTTATTCCATCTTGTATTGCTAACATTCCCAAATTTCCAATTTATATCTCTCAAATTATTTAGCTGATAATAGTTCAAGCTGTTTCTGGCTAGTAAAAATTTTACATTTTTATCCATGAAACTTTTTATTGATTTTTAAAACAAAATTTAAGGAATTCTATTAATAATCTATAGATTATGTATAGATATACACCCCAAAAAACTTAGAATTATTGAAATTAATATTATAAAAATGACGTTACTGTATAAATGATTTATAAGTTAATACTTTAATAAATGTATGATTTATATAAATTAAAATTTACTGTTTTAAATCTTTTAATAATTTCTATAACAATACCTGATTATATTATGATTTCTAGTATAGTAATATAATTTTTCAGGCTACACAAGTTCACCTAAAGAACTTTATAAACTATTTCAAGACCGTAAGTGAGATTAAATTTTATTATTATATGTTATATAACTTTAAGACCAGACGCAGCTCTAGGAAATTTATTAGGGCTTTTAGGTAATTATAATATAATAGGAATATATAAAATATATAAGAATTTTATACCTGGTAGAGCCAACTAGAGGATATACCTAATATAAGGTGTAAAATCTTTTTTGTACGCTTTCTACCAAAATCCTACGCAGAGAACGAATGTATGAAGTCTAAACCACAATACCATTTTTGTTAAAATAATAGATAATAAATAATTTCGTTCATACAAAAAGTTAAAAAAAAAAAACAAAATGTTCATCATTTTAGGTCTCTCTTCATAAAATAAAATCCAAACTTTGTTAATGCTTTCTATGTTATACCACCTGATTAATTTACAATATCATATTTAAACCATAATACACTAATACACATACACACATAATTATAAATTATGTATAAATCAAAATAATAAATCATAATAATTATATTTAATTTAATAAAAAAATTTATATACATACTTTTAATTATTTACATAATAAAATAAAATAATATTAGAAATATTGGAATAATTATAAATTATGTTTTATTGTTTATTGTAAGTTATATTTATATTAACTAGGTTTTTATGTAAATCTTAAAATTTGAGGGTGGGTCTATGGATGGGCCAGGTATTTTTAGGGAGAGAAATTATTCACTCATGCTCGCTTTTGGCTTCGCTACTGATATAAATATTTATTAATTCATATTTTATTTTTAGATTTCCCAAGAGCATTTGATTCCGACATTGATTTAGAACAATTTAAGAGTAAGAAGTTTTCACATAATAGTTATTAACATTATATTGTATTGATATATTTTGAAAAAACAATATTCTTATAAATTGGCGCCCGTGTAAGACGAGACACTTGCCACCCCCCACCTCTCTGGAAAAATAATAAATCTTATAATAAGTACCTATTACCATTTTAAATATTATCTAATTACTTAAAGAGCATACAAATTATTTTTTCCTCTATCACTATAGGGATTTGAAATAAAATATGTATAGTATACATAGTATACTAAGTCGAATTTACGACTTGGTAGGTATACACAAGATTAATCGTAAATTAAACGTTTATTTAGCTTATATTTTGAAACTTTTTTTGAAATTTTTGGCCCCCCCCCCCCCAAAAAAAAAAAAAAATTGAATCAATGGGCGCCCCTGTTTTTATATTATAACCAATATTCACAATGTGAATATAAAAATAAAGCAATAGGTAATAAATAATATGTTTAATACATTTTAAACACAAACAATTTATCTTAGGATTTGCTTTGTTTCATATTTTTTAAATGGTTGTTAAACATTTGACAGTTTTTTACATTAAATAAAATATTATTTGAATTTATATTTTTAATATTAAAATATATAGAAAATACTTAAAAATAAAAATATTACTAGAATAAAAGCAGTGAGAATATCTTTTAAAAAAAAAACGTACACTGTCAATTATTTTAATATTGCAAGAAGATGCTCTCTAGCTTAACTTAGAATGTTGTATTATTTATTTATCAACTTCGTTCTAAAAATAAATGTTATTTATCTAATAATTTTATTGATTTTTACTTTTTAGACAGTTCATCAATTTTCAACCACGATGAATTAGATTCAATTAAAACTTGTAAGTCTTTTCTATTTCAGTGTATATAATACTAAATTAATTACTAAGTTACTTATAAAAAAAAAATGAATACATTCTATCTCGAATTTCATCATATTTTAATTATTAAGTCTCGAATAATATGTGTGCAAAATTTAGTGTTAATTTGCTCAATATTTTCTAACTATTTAAACTGGCGACCATTGAATTAGCTCCCATTATTAGTTAAAGTATCTAATCGAACATTGAATTGGCTCCTAATATAATTTTCAACTAGTGGTTCTCTAAATATAAAAGTTGAAATAGTACGCAACTTTAATATTTTTAGCGACACAGTGCCGGATAACTGTTTGAAATTATTTAATCGTAAATCCGATAACGCATTAAACAGTCACAACCATCGTCGTTTTTATACTATTTAACTATCTATATGTATATGAGAGTTTTTCCTGATATCATTATACACGGTACTCAGAGTTTGTCTCAATCAATCGTACTTTATTGAATTTTTAAAATAAATGTTGAAGGAGCCAACTCAATGCATAAATCTTGGGAGCCAGTTCAATAGCTCCTTATAAACTCCATACAAACATACATTTATATTTATGTATATGAAGTAGATAATAGGTAATCAAAAAATGTAAATTATAATTTTATAGCTTACTATCCAAGACTAGCTGAAAATTATAACACCTATAAAGCAAGAATGATCAACTTAGGTATGATACATTAAATTTATTTATTTTTTTTGTACATTTTTATTTATGTAGGTACTCGTATTTGTGTAATTTACTTATTTTCTAATAATAATTTTAATTTTAGTTACATAATCTTATTATTTTAATAATATTTAAGATTAGGAATTTGTTTTCTATAGTCAATTAAAATTTAAATATTTTTACAGCAGAAATAAAAATGTTTATAAATCTAATGTGGTCAACATAAACTTATATACTTTGTCTACGATTTTTTATAGATATATTTATTTGTATTGGCAATACTAACATCAATATCCCTGTTTCCCTGCTTCGACTTATAAATTTTCTTAAAAGTAGTACGCTTAATATATTAGGTATAAAACCATACACAAACAATTTGGTATGTAACAACCATAATGTATTTCACCTAAGTAAAATGCAAATGCATTTTAAATTTTTTTTTGAAATACCATGATATAATACAAAGAATATTATTTTAAAATTTGATTAATAATAAAAAAAACTGATTTAAGGCGCACAGAACAATAAGAATTTTCAATATTTAATTTACATTACTTTATAATCTATACTTTGTAGAGTTATATTTAATTCGATACTTAGCTCATTAGACAATAACATAAACATTGCTTAATTTTTTAATTTAACTTAACTATTCTACGAATTAAAGACTGACATTTCAAAATTTTCATTAATATGTAATTAATTTTAATTTTCAGGTTTAGGGGTTATGGACACTAAATCCTTCATTAGTTTTAAAGCCAGTAAGATTCTTTTCAATACTTGTATAATAATATTATATGATTTAATGCAAAATATTAATTATATGTTTTGTTATAACCTAATTTTTATCTGTAAATTATAACACAGAGTTCTATCATTATACGTTTAAGTGTAGAATAAACTCGGCAGATATCACCAACTTCCTATGATGGATAATAAAATAATATTCGATAAAACAGTGGGATTGATTTCTTCTGTTTTACGCATTTCTTTATTATTATGATGCTTGTTGTGCCTTAAAATACAGCAAAGCTTTGTATTGGTATCAGTATCCGCAAAAAAATAAAAATAAAAATTTGTGAAACTATTCCGCATTTTATGTTCGAATACCAATTTATTTATATATAATCCTTATATTATGATATTTATCATGCACTCGAATAATATTTATGAATACTTTTAAAAAAGGGTGTATCCATTAAGTCTCTTATCCAAAACCATTTAATAGGTACCTAGTATCTACTCACGGTATATATTCGATTTTGCTGTAATTTATAAAAAACTTTACTTGAAAAGTATTAAAAAATAAACATAACTCAAGAAAAAATACATTTTTTTTCAGTTTATCCAAATCCAATAACAGCTACGGATTATTCTAAATACAAACAATTCTTTGAAAATATTAGTATGTTATATTATAAAGAAATATATTAATACAGACTATTATAGTTTATTATTAGAATAATACTACAAAATATTCTATTCATATTTCATCATTTACAAATAACATACATTACGTAAAGTAGACATTACCTAAAATTAATAGACTATAAAACAATAGCCAATATTACTTTATAATCATTATTTTAAGCACATAATAATTGTAAATAGTATTCTGTATTGAATATATATATATGTTTAATTTGTAATTGATTGATGTTTTATTCAAAACAATTCCTAAAGATCAAACTTCAGATGGCCTATCCATCGAAAGTAAGTATTTTTATATTCCTTCATTGCCATATATTACATTTTATTCATAAAATACAAATATTTAATAATACCTGTGTCTAATCTATAGTGTATAAAAATAATAAAACGTTGTTAGAAGCGTGTATATTTTATAAAATTATATAATAATCATAAACTTATTTTCATAATTCACAAATTTTTCATGTTTGATAAAACAAATTAAAAATGTATTGCTCAATGGGGCTGTATCTAATATGTGTCTCTATTTCTCTAACACAATAACCATGAATAGGGATTTACAATTTTGTACCTGTGTCCTTACGATTGAATTTCTTAGAATCTGACTTAAAACAAAATATAAATACATATGTTGTAACAATATTTCGACAAATTAATTTTTCAGTAAAACACATTATGACTGAAGCGGAGTTTAATAACGATTTAACACAAGGTAAATTTTATTAATGTATTTTTTATCATAGTTTTTTTGAAAAGTAATTGTTATTTATTACTATTAATAATTTTTAATAATCTTTAAAATAAATGTAATAAATTTTCGATGATTATTAGATTTCATAATAAAATTTTAAATTAAAAAATAATTTTTAAAATAATCATTATTACATGCACAAATGTAAAATTAAATGGTTATTAATCTGTTTGCATTCTAAATATTAGATATAGTAGTTACTATAATTTCTTTTAATTGTATTACCATCAACTTTTTAAAACAAAAATATGCTATTCAATGTTCTTTGAGAATTGAGAATTCAGTATCTCTATTCATAATCATTACTTTTATGGTTTTACATACCTAAATAGATTTTTGATTATATTCATAAGTCATAACATGACATTTTTGTTTTTAGATTTTCCGAAACTATTTGAAAGTTGGGAAGATTTTAATGAAAGAAGACTAAAATTAAGTAAATACTAAATAATAATATTTATGTTTTATTTTTTTTATGAAACGTATAATTGACATGTCTTATTACTTATAAATCTTATGATATAGTCATTATTCAATACATTTTTTACTTTTTATATGTACTTATACTAAAAATACATTATATGAAAATATATTTTAAGATTACCAAACAAACAGATTGATCAACGATGATGGAGTTTTCTCTAAAAACTTATTCGACGATATGAAAATTGGTACAGTTTAATAATAATTTTATATAATGTATTATTTGTTCTTAAATTAATAAATGCGATGATTATTTATTCATATTATTTCTGTGAAACAGCTTTTTATCCGAAATTAGGACAAACATTAGTAACATATTTGAATTTCGTTAAAACTTTAGGTAAGTTTATAATTATGTACCTACTCGTATTTACATTTTAAAAATATTTTATTTCTATAATTATTAATTGTAGTTTTATACACCATATAATAAACATATATATATATATATATTATATGGTGTGTATATAATTGCCAATAAAGCACTAAGTCATAACTCACATCGACTTAATCCTTACACATTAGTACATTACAATAGATTTATTTCAGTTTTAAATATTAGATGTTTAAAATGATATAATATTTTTTGATTCTTTTCTCTTGACAATAATTTGTATAATTTTTCTTAAACCATTAAGTATACACAAATTATAGATTTATATGATATCACATAATAATATAGGTCATCATTGATAATAATAACACATTGATCATAAAATATATTAACGTTTCATTATTAAGATTTAATTATTTTAATCTTAGTTTTTCTCGACATTATAATAATCAGTTAGCTAACTCAATAATATTACATTTACACATAGCACATACGTATTATTAAAAAAAAATATTAATTAATATGCAATTATCATCATTTTAGAAATTTCCAGTAACGATTCGTCTTGGGATGATTACTTTAAAAATGCAATACGTTGTAAGTTAATTAAAACAGAAATCTTCATTATTTAAGAATTTTTGTATTATTTATTATATTTTATTAGAGGTAAAAGAAATAATTTAACCCTACTGTATCATAACATCTTGTATCATATTATAATATCATACATGTATGGCCAATTTTATTATGAGTGAATAAATTGGGTTATGCGGTCATGGACATCTTATTATTAATTCTGACATGTTTTATATCCACTCGACCATCTTAGGCAATATTATTATTTAAATTGAATATTTACAATTACAATTAATTTACTAAAAGACCTTTTTGTTTTGCAGTGTACCCAGAATTTTTTGAAAATATCAACAGCTATAACAAACGCCTTAGTGAATCAAAATTAGGTTCGTTATTCATACATAAATAAAATATAGTACTTATGATAATTAGTGTTATTATAAAATAATAGCTATCTAATTTTAATAATAAAAATTGGGTATGATAAAATATTAATCTGGCAATTGTGATTATAGAGTATCTAAAATTAGATGAAAAATGGTTCAATATCTTTTTCCAAAGTGAGATTTTTAATATTAATTATATATTATATATATTATCTTTTTTAACATAAATTAAAATCAGCAATGTGTAATATACATATATTAAATGTATAACCTAATTAAGGTATAAAATATCATTAGAAGATTGTATCCAATAATTTTAATTTAGTGAATATTATAATCTTCTTGTCTTATTTTGAAATTAATTGAAATTATATTCGAGTATACAATTAAATTATTAAATTTAAGTAATTTCTAAAATCTACAACAATTGCCTAACATAATATTTATAAATACATAATTCTTTCATAATGAGTAAGGAAAGTTGTATAAAAATAATTTAATATTCAATCGTGTTTTATTTTAAACCCATAGATGGATTTTTTAATAACAATTGATTAAACGACTATGTTTATTCAAACATTAGCTTTATATTTTTAACGAATATTTTTTGTGGTGGAAATTATATACATTTATTATAAATTAATAATTAAACAAATCGTTTTAATTATTCTTTTAGTATTTCCATTCCCATATGAATCGTATCCACAATATAAGATAAGAAATGCAGGTACGTTGTCAAAAACATTAAATTTCATTTTATTGGTCTACATATATTATAGTTCAATATTACATCATTCAACAATTTACATTGAGTTTTACTGGTTATATAATTCACATCAAGTTGTCATTAAAAGTTAGGTATTACTTTATACGCAAAATTTGAGACTTATAAATTATACTTTAATATACTAGGAGTTAGCAACTAATTTCTATGTGGGTATATTTTGAAACTTGCCAAATTCCCTGTGGTCTAAAATATTTTTAATGACTTTATTTACACATTAAAAATTAATAATGAACACTCATTTTATTTAATTAAATAATTGTTATTAATGTACCAAATTACAATCACAAAAAAAATATATTAAAGAAAAAATATTAGAAAATATGTTATAAGGTGAAAATTAGATTTTTTAATAGGTATAGAAAATTACGTAATGTGACCCAGAAAAATGAAAAATATTTTTATTCATCATGATATTTTAAAAATTTAAAATTTAATGTAAAAGCTATATTATATATTTTATAATTACACGACCTGTAGGGATTATAAAAATGTTTCTGGGTCCAGATGTGGTCCACCAGTTGTCAACTGACTATACACTATAGAACTATAATTCTTAAAAATATGCTTTAATATATTATATACTAAGCACTTAAACACATAAAATTTTGCTCAAAAATTTTAATTAAAACGGATTTTTTTTAGAGACATTGACATAACAATTTAAATTAGCACATACCCACTGATTGGTTTTCATTTAGAATTTTAAAATTTTTAATAGGATAATCTAAAACATATTTTTAAAATTCGTTAAAAACCAATATCGTTTTATTTTTTTATTTGAGTATGCACCTATAAATTTTAAATTATTAAATATAAATAATTTAAGTAATAATTTAACTTTTTAAGAAATAATTTAAGTACATCGACATAAATGAGTTTAGCTAAAAATAAAATTAAAAAATGTAAATGGTAACGTATTTTTTATCTAGAAGCAGCATTTGTTTTAATTGAAGAAGAATTCTTATATTATCGACAAGGTTAGTTTATTTACCTATCATAGTGAATATAAAATTTAAAAAATAAAATATCTACGAGAATAATGCTGTGACTAGTTTGTTTTAAATACTTAAAACGGATGGCTGATATTAATACTCAATATTATTATTAAAAATTACTCATCAGTTATCATGTATGATAAATAATAATAAAATAAAATATTTTAAAAATACAATCATCAAAATGTGCTATCTATTATTTTTTTCAGTTTTTCCACAAATATCTGAAACTTACGATGAATACAAAAATCGATTACGTTTTGGAATCTGTAAGTTTTTTAACATAATATCATAGTAATTTACTTACTATTAACATTATGCATATTTTACTATAGATAATACTAAATACCTATTATATATTATATTTATTTTAACTTTAGATGTTGAACCCATTGTGTCGCTTCAGTTATTTATACTTTACAAGGAATGTACGTGTAATCTATTAGCTATTATATTAAGTATTCAAATGTGTTTATTGATTAAAAATTAAAATATTTAAAGTTTTTTGTAATAACAAATGTTGCTTGTGATTTAGAGTAGCACAGTTATTGTATTTCCTCACAATACCGTTGCATATTTGCAGAACTTTGTTACTTTACTGGACACCCTTATTTTTCTTTCAACTAACACAGTTAAATATATTGAAAAATATGGTGAAGTCAGAAATAAGATTTAAGAACGATGGTACTATCATAACTCGTCGCTCATCAGACTTAGTTTTGAAGTTATAGTCGTTTGAAGTTTGCCAATTTTAAATATATTACTTATGTTACCGTTAATGATTGTTATTGCGATCGAACCCGATAGTCGCATAAAATTAGCTTAAGTTAGGATAGATTACGATCGAATTTCGTTAAAGACATTTTGATTTGATAATCGTAATAATTGTTTGGAATATTGTAACCTTTCCCGGTTAAAACTAAATATGACAAATGGTAATGGCTCCGGTTTTGTACAAATTTGTTTGAAAACGTATATGACCGCGAACATATCATTAATGTAAAGCATCTCAGTGTAATAAAAGCCATGCAAAAAAAAATTGCAACATTTTAATTAAATTAAATAAGTACTAATTTGTGATTAATCAAACTTTACCGCAATTTTGTAATTTAATATAACAAGAATAATTTATATATTTTTTTAGTGTTACCTCAAATAGATGAAAGTTATGGCAATTATAAAACCCGCTTTGTTCAGAAATGTAAGTCGTTTTCAATTGATTATTACTTATTAATATTCATATAAATACAGCTTACATACATATTATTTTTTATTACTTACTTATTCAACTAGTATTCAGTGCACCATACAGTTGTGTCATAATTATACTAGTTCTACTAATTAAAAATTGTATAATAGATTAATATCAATTATCAGCCATATATAATAATATATTTTTACGTTATCCAAACATTATGATTACTACTTGTAAAGCAGCTGTGTTTAATAAAAAAAACTGATACAAAGTATAAATAAAGCTAATAATTAAAAAAAAAAAATTAACGTGATTTATTAGTGAAAAATAGTGATGAAGAAACAAAGCAACAGCTATTATTCTTAGACCAGTATATGAGTAAGTATAATAAATAAGTGCACATAATTCTATACTATACAACATACATAAAAATGTGATTTAAAAAAATCATATTTTTAAAAGTATATAAACATTTTATGAATTAAAATATCCAACCAATTCTTTAAACAACTCTTTCACAAATTATTCTAAAAAGTTTTCACTACTAACTTTTCCTTTTCTTTTATTCGTATTAAATATAAATGGTTTATTTAATTCTAGTATTCACATTTCGAAAATAATTTTAATTTTCCATACTATGTAACGAATATCGTGAATAAATACTTCACAATGTTATAATTAACTCGTCATCTATAAATTTTTTTTTTTAGATTTTCATGCTATGAATTACAAAACGTCTGAAGCCACTGATACCAATACACCTGGAGCTATGACTTACGATGAATTTGTATTGTTCAAAAACAGTGAGCATATTTGTTTAAACACAATACTTAAATCTAAAATAAAATCACCAAATTATTGATTAGAATATTAAATAACTATACAATATACATGTACCACGAACGACAAACATGATCAATTTAAATTTAATTAGAATTTTAATAACTTTAAGCAGTGTCGTAACCAGTAGTACTGCCATCAAAGGCATGCGCGGGGAACCAAAAATCTATTTTTTTTTTGTAATATTAGTGCGGGCCGAACTGCGGTATCAGAAACAATTAATATGAATAATAATAATACAAGGTGAATCCACGGTAAACGGTTCGTTATAGATTTGTCTTTTACATTGTCACTATTATTAACTTCATAGGAATCTTGCGATTGACCGCAAATAATGATTATTAGTAATCGTACATATCCGGTTAGTATTTCAAGTAAGTGAGCGAGCTAGTGAAGAAGCTATGACATCTCAAGCAAGGATAGCTTAACAGGATAGGATTCTATTTTTTTTACACCAAATTGGCTTGAATTTTTCTAGAGTTATTGCGACCATTGGTGATACCCAATTACGATTCGAATCCATGTTGCCGTATTGCGTCCCAAATATAAATATCCTGATTGCGTCCGAATACAGATTAGTTCCTAAAATAACGAATCTGCATATAAATAAAATAAGTAAAATAAAAATATAAACTTTATAAAATTTAATTTTTGTACCTATGCATCATCACGCATATACAAATATCGACTTAAAGTTAAAAAAATTATTAATACAATCAACTAACGATAGTATAATTAGTTTATTAAAAAATGCATTTTTTATTTAAACAAATCAATTATATATTTAAATATCTTAATGGTATACATATAATATACGTAGCTAAATTAATAAAATGTGTAGAATAAAAAAAAAAAAAATGATGATAGGTGTAGGTTATGTTTTATAATGTATTATTTTTATAATTTTATATCCATATTAATTCTATAATATTATTATTACTTATATGTAACGAATTATAAACATGCTCAACACATTTTTGCACTACAACAATGCATAATAATTATTCAAATTCTTGTTTTTGATTTTTAATTACATATATTAAACTTAGGTACCTTGAATATATATATATATATATATTTTTTTTTTTTTGAAAATATAACAAATATCTACAAAACCTAGTGCATACATGAGTTCAAATTTAAAAGCAAATTTTTTATAATTATATTTTATTGTATTTCGATCACGGAAAATTGAACTATTTTATTAAATGTAATTTAAATGAAATTGTTTAAATATATAATATTAGGTACACGTTGAAAAAAATAAAATTTAAATAATTAAAAAATATATTTCAAATGTGGTTTCTAAAAATAAATTAATGTTTATTGTTTAACATGTATGCACTTAATCACCGATATTATTGTAATGAAATGATTTATTAATCGTATAATAAAATAGACTTTCTGAATAATTAATAATGTAATTGAGATTGTTATAAACAAACAAATCGTATTAAAATTGAATTCGGCGAATGTAATTTTCTCAAATGACCCTTAAAATAAAAATAAGGTACGGTATAACATTATGGGCTATGTGTAATCCACATCAATATTTAATTTAAGTTATGTTCAGTATGGTCATAAAAATATATTCATAAAAACATATGTAGCTTGTGCTATATTTCATTTAAAAAGTTCTAATAAAATTTGATCGATATTTTATTTATGGGTGTAGATAAAGTCTAATGTAGTGCAAATTACGATCGCCCTCAAAATTATTATTTTATTTATGTGATACTATTATGTATTTAACCAAAATATTTGTTTATTTTAATCGATTTAGGTTTACCAATGCCAGAAGAATTACGTGAAGATTATGTAATTAGAATAAATAAACTTGGTAAATTATATTTAATAATATTATGATTTCGTTATTTTAATAATTTTATTAAACATAGTGGATATGATTTATTATTGTATATACCTATTGTACTTTATTTACTATTAATGTTTTAATTTTTAGGTAAATTTTTTTTCAAATAGTTTAGCCACAATTACTAATCCTTTATTTTCAAAAATTTCTATTAATAAGAATGAAATATATTGTGTATGTAATTAAAACAAACAATACGCGACCATTGGTCAGTCAGTGTAATAATGATTACACTTTAATTTAAAATAAATTATAATTTTCCGAATACATTTAAACAACCATTCAATAAAATTTATCTTAATTGACAGTGGCTCGAGCAAAAACCATCAACCAAAATCAACCTGAAATATTACCTTTAGAAATTTTTAACAATTTAATAAAAAGTGAGTTTCTTTAATATAAATATTAAAAAATAAAATATCTATGTAATATTAATTATATTTTTAAATTTTAAAACACATATTATCGAATTAGTATATCATTAATTTGTATTTCACTGAATTTTATTCGTGATTCAATAAATTAATGTTATTTTTTATCATTCATTAAGTATTTAAAAAATAGTAACTACATTTTTTTTTTAAATTTAATTTAACATTTTACTTTTTAGCTTATCCAAAACATTCCGATACTGATTATCAGCTTTACTGTAATAATATGAAAAATATTAATGGTAAGTATTCATTTATAACATATAAGTGTAGATAATTAGATTTCATCTCGAAAATTCTAACATTCTATGTCTTTATAATTTTTGAATACTTTAGGTAGGTATCTATCTAAGTTAATTTTCAGTAAAATAAAATATTTTTACAATTATTTATACAAAAATATCATAAAATAAGCTTAACTTTAAAACTTAACAACGGATAATGAAAAAATATTAACAATATATTATGTAGACATTATTAGCAAAATAAAACGATATTTAATTTAAACGATTTTAAAAGAGCCTTTTAAGGTAGTCTATGAATCTAATCATAAAATATAATCAATAAAATTTAAAATAAAATATTGTTATCGTTTCCCGATACTTAAAAAAATTTTAAACTATAAACTTTATTAATAATTTCTGGTAGAATAATAATTTGTATTTTGTTTTATAGTTATAGCGGTGTCAAATGAAACGTTTGTAATGTTAGTCGAAGGTAAATCATTGTCATTAAATTTAGTACCTATAAATGTAATTGGTTTATAGTTCATAAATTTAAACTTAAAGTATCATAACATTATATGGTAGTACAAAAGTTTAAAAAAAATATATTTTTAGCTTATAGTAAATTTATATGATAAATTTAAAAAATACTCATAAAAATGACTAAATAACAGTTCAATTATTTTAAGAGTTAGCAGTCTAAACACGTTTATATAATTTCTTCAATCAACTCAGACTTACATACATCTTCTCTTTAAGAACAATAATTTTACATATTAAGGTCTTTAGAATCTTTAGATAACTATCACCAATAATATTTCTCGTTAAAATGTTTATTATTTTAGGTTTTAGAGTACTAAAAACTATGTCTATAGAACAGGTACCTACTTATACGTAGTTACTGAATAAGCTAAATCAGCTATTCAGATATATGCTTGGAAGTCGTAGTTATAGAAATATGATGAAGTATATGAAAGAAGTTAACTCATGAAAAAAAAACTATATTTTTTATAATCAGTTTGACTTATATTTTTATTTCTACGCACATTATCATATCAAAAACTTACAGTTCAATATAATCTTCAACATTTTATACTTACATAACATACGATGTTCAATTGCCTAAGGAATCAGTAATCAGTTACGCCGTCTGTAATATTTTAACATGCTTATATATTCCTCATAAAACACTATTGAATTGGATACCATTTATATCGTAAATCGTAATATTATTATGACTGTTGGTCTGTAAACGTTGACCGCTGATGGATCTTCCCTCTCTCTGTCATATTTATCACGAACATAATATAAAAACAGAGCTATCGACACGCCTAGAGATGATTACATTTTTATAAATTAAAAATAAATAATATGTTACCTAATAAAATTGTATAAATGTATGAGGTTTGTCAATTTGTCATTAATGTACCTATTTGCTATTTGCACGTTTGAGTTGATATGCAATTATATACAAAAATAGTGTGCTTAAATCAAAAAATCAAACCGACTTCACGAAATATAGAGTTTGTAAAGTTATAGGATTGAGAAGTATCTTAATCTTAAATACATATCGTAGATACAATTGAATCTTATATATCGATACGTCTTTAATTCATCAAGTATTTCATAAAAAAATTTCTTTAAAAAATATTCAATGCGTTAAAAAGATACTTTGAAACTGAATACTTCTAAAAATTAACACATTTCATCATTAATAATAGTAGTATTAAACTTTTACATAAATATTTTTTATCTTAACAATAATTGTTATGTTTTTGATATATTATGCCAACCTTACAAAATCAATATTGGAGGTATACATTAATACTTGAAAAATATTGGTCAACCGTTATGTTTTACAGATCTTTGATAAATAGTCAATGAGCGAGGATTTACTGTACATAGTAGGATTAAAATGTTCCCGAAATATACCTATTTATAAAAAAAAAAATATTTATTTTTTTTTATCACATAGGTATATAGTTATTTGAATTCACAAAACACGTAATTTACTATCTGTAGAATCAATAAAATAAAAATAAAAAAAAAAAAATTATTAAACAAATAACTAATGAATAATTTAATAATCGTTAAAATTACATGTCTCGCACTGACCGTTATATATTATGTCCGTTCGAAACACAGTTTATAAATTTCGTTAAAATGTCGAATTTAAACAATAGACCAACCTTAAATTTTGTAATCAACTTAGAAAAACTACTGCAGAAATGCTTGAATGTTTGAGTATTGCTTATGGAGGTAAAGTATTGAAGAAAACAGCTGCTTGTAAATAGTTTATTCTTTAAAAATAATCCAGTCACTTGAAGACTAAGAGTAGGTAATAACTAGCCTCTAACGAGATGAAGTATCCATCAAAAAAGTTCATAATTTGAATCAGTGGCGGCATGAACTTATTGTTTCAGTGACGCAGTCAAAAATTTTCAACACCCATCTACCTACGTTTTATATCAACACCAAAAAAAAAAAAAAAAAAAACATGAAACACTAAAAATAGATGGAGAATTATTTAATTGTTTTAAATATATAGGTATATAATACGCGTGTACATATAAATAATAATAATAATATAATAGGTACATATATTATAGATCGCCTATAAAGTCAACTTTCAACACACACCAACCCACCCACCCACCATTTTTTCTGTGACGCAGCTGCGTCAAATTAACCCCGTTCACGCCGCCACTGATTTGAATACATTCATCACTCCACTCCATTCAAAGTCTACAAAAAAATATGAAATTAAAAAAAAAAAATGATTTATTTTTTTCAGTTGCAAAGGATATGATTGAAAATCGTTTTTCAATTCACCCAACCAGTAAGTTTATGTTTTACTCATAATATTTAGTGTACATTTACTACTAAGTAAATTACCAGTTCCTTAACACAATTCCAGGACATACAGGGGTGTTTATTGGGAGCTCGTACTCATGGACGTCCGTAGAATTTCTCTAGGGTAGGGGGCAAAATTAATTTTAAAAAAAATGAAAAGTTTTTTATACATTTTATTTATAATACATTATCATGCTTATTCTAGGGGGGGGAAGTGCCCCGTCTTGCCCCCCCCCCCAGATGCCCACGCTCATACTCCCTATGGCAGGGATCACCAATTAATATTTTTGAAGGGCGACATTAGGAATCTGAACATTTTTTGCGGGCCATCAAAATTTTAAGTACATATTTTTAACATATAATGGGTATTATTTTAAAATTGGATGTAATGAAAACATATATTAATATTATTAAATATATGCTATTTATTCTTTGTCTACGGGCCGGATAAAATTTGTCGGGGGCCGTACGCGACGTTTGATGATCACTGCCCTACGGCGTATGCGCTATAGTAAATGTTAAAGGATAATCGTCAAAAATACCCTACAAATACAAATCGTAAAACATGAAAAATGATTAAAAATCTATTTTTAATGTGTCTCAAAAATATTATTATGATTTATGATATTAACGTTTTTTATTATTGCACTAGAGTAATTATTTTGACAGAAAACTTTACTATTATACATATTTACAACGTTTGTATATAATCGTTAATGTGCGTTAATCGTGATTAATCCGTCGGGTAGATAACCTATAAACACCACATTGATTTATTTTATTTGATTGATAAACTCAGATTACCTATCTCCTTATTTACAGTAAAATATTCATATACTTTATAATCAAATTTTCGTGAAGTAATATTTTTATCGAGAAAACATACGAATTAGGTAACTTCAAAGATATGTTTTTGGGTCGAGTCAGTGTAGCAATACGTCTCGATTTGACCGAAACTATAGATCTTGAACAAAGCGTCCCGTTGTCCGAAAAAATGTTTGGGGACGGTCAATTATCCCAGAATCAAACTTCAATAATTTATTTGCGTTTTCTTTTACCAAACGTTTCTAAAATAGTTAAATATTATTTTTTGATAAACGATAAAAAATAATCAAGTTGGTCATTCAATTTTATTGATCGATAAAATCCATTTCAAAACTATTCAGTATTTTCCCGCCTCGGTGACGACAATAATTAATCATCGATGAATAAGTTTAAGTTTTCGCGTTCCCTCAAAACAATTTATGATCATCGGTAATAATCGCTAACTGGATAGGTACAACTTGTTCGATTTCACGCCGTAGTAGCTAGGTTGCCCCCAGGGCCGGCGAGAACATTTGTGGGCCCCGGGGCTGATCAATTCCGGGTCCCTTTACTTATAGTTATTTCATATCTGACTAAGAATACTAAGATATACATAACACTTTAATACAGTCGTCTAACCGATTAGACGATTACACAGATCGAACTCGCGTACGTTTTGTTATCTTTGTGCGTACTGTTTAGTACTGTGTTGCGTACGTGATAAATGATAATATAGTAGCTACATGTAGCTGTTTAATTTTGAGCGATCGGACGCGAATGTTTACGGCTTAACTTGTAATTCTAAATTATATATAACATATAATTTGTATAAAAATAATTTTTCTACTCAAAAAATTAGTAAAATTGACCTCCCGGGTCTATGGGCCTGTACGACTGTGCCTAAATATGCCCCAGAAAACGGGTCCGCCTGGAGGCTCGGGCCCCACCTGCCCCCCCCATATCACAGTAACCGGTGAATAATATAATTACGCGTTACCATATAGTAACTATGTTGATATATTTTTTCGTTTAATTCGTATGATTCAATTTTACGTGATCGAATTTTGTTTGCACTTTAGTTATTACTTACCAGGTACATTAGAGCTTATATCTTATTTATCATTAACACAATGATGAGGAATTATTATTATAATTAATTATTTCAAATTCTTAACGCCAGAAAACTATTATTGGGAACATAGACCCCAAACGGAGGTGAAGAATTCGAGTGGTTTATGATCGGTGCGCAATTCATTTCGATATACCTATAATTTGTTGTTTTTCCGTGCAGCGGAGAAAACGTCAAATAACATGCTAAATACTTCCATCGTTTAATTCCCCCGTTTTTAAATTGCTTGTAAATTTTAATCCTACCTATTCCAAGTACATATATTAACGCGTATTAATGATTTTATATAAATATGACACCAATATACAATTAAAACAATATAATCGTAACGATAACTATTGGCGTTTGTAAGCACTTACTATTTTTTTCAGCATTCAGCAGCGTAGTCGCTATTACTTGAAATAGTGAAGTCAAATCATTTTATTCCAGTACAGTCAGTGTAAATACATCGCAGTAATTTTGGCACATTTATTAATTACTGCTCAATTACATAACAAAACAACATTTATTGTGAAATCACATGTCTTCGAACTAACCAATCACTAAAATAATACTCATAGTTTTGTATGTATAAATGTTTTTTTTTTATAGTAGGTAACCGTGCTATAATGCAATATGTTGTCCGTTTATAGATTTTAGATATTAATTTTTAAACTATTAATGTGTACCGTTTCAAAATAATGTTTGATTGATTGTAACTAAAATCAGCTCTGATATTTTTATTTAGAAAACAATTCATATGTATAAGTAAACTAAGTTTTTGCAACAGTTAAATAAATTTATAATACAAAACAAAGTTCAAAAATAAATTTTAAATAAATACTAGGTAACCGACATTTTTGTGATCAACGATCATTAACATCTGACGACTGGAAGCAAGATAAAGCACTCATCAATTTGACTAAAGTATATCTTCTCTGTATAAACTGTAGCATTATTAATTTCCAAATTGTTTACCTATACTTTAGAACTAAATAAAAACTATGTTTAAAAAAAAAAAAAAAATTGTCAATAAGTACATTAATATATTATACATAATAATAAACAAATACAAGTAATTTTTAAACAACAAAATATTTCTACATTTATAAATTAAAATAAAACTATTTTTTGCACAACTGGTTTGAATATTTTTAGATTATAATAAGTAACAGAAATAAGCAGTACAATGTTTTATAACATAGATATTTAATTTAGCGTTGTGTATTATTTAAGAAATTTAGCCAATAGAATCCTTTAAAGGCAAATTTCAGTAATTTACAATTGTTATACTTACATTGAAAAATATTCTTTATTATTACTTGAAATTTTCACATTAATATAGAAGTTAAATATAATATATTTTAAACATTATCATATAGTTTATAATTTTCTGCATAAATAATAACCTTTAATAACTTTATGAGTATTTTTGTTTTTAATAAGTTTGAAAGCAATACAAAGCACTCCTTTGATTAACTTTTATGTCTCTTCTGTGTATGAACTGTAGCATTATCATTCTTAAAATTATTAATATTTTAGACCTAATTAAAAAAAAAAAATATATTTAAATAACTTTTCTAATGCATTATTGATATTAAACAAAGAGTTACTAACCTTTGGATCTTTTTTTATTATTTTTTTTAGTATTTTTTCCTTGATTTATTAATCTAGAAGAAAAAATGTACAATAATTACATTGATAAATTAATAAATATTATAATATACACTAGCTCAATGGTTCTCAACCGCCGTCTGTGATAAAAAAGGAATTGGTCCATGTTATATTGGAAAAAATTATATTTCCAAAGTATATTTATTTTGTTTTGTAATTGATATATTAATAGTTATATTTTATTTATATTTATATATACCTTTATTTTTTTAATAAATTTAATTTGATACACTAATCTGCAGGTAAAACTAAAAAAAAATAAAGCATAACTTTTTTATTTTTTTTAACCAAAATCAAAAGTGGTCCATAGTCCTACTTAAAAGCCATTTAGGCGTCCATGATAATAAAAAAGTTGAGAACCACCTCACTGGCCCACGAAAGAACTACTTCGCCCATGTAAACTGATGGCAGCAACTGATGTTGACTAATGCCAATATTAAAATTTTATCATGGCAACTAAAGCCATTAGCTGTGCATAGAAATAGTAGGTTTTTTGTGTAAGATTTTGGTTAGTAGATTTGGAACACGAATGTGTATGTGTGTGTGCCATGGACTCGTCACTAGAAACTCGGGTGGTCACTCATCCGAGAGCTAGCAATGTTGGCCAATGCTTGACCTCAGAACACATTAGTGAGTGAAGCCAATCACCACGCCACACCAGGTCACTTTTTGCTCAATTGGTTTGAATATTTAAAATATAATTAGATAATATAATAGTATGATAAAAAATAATAAATAATAGTATAATAGTATAACAAAAAATACTCGTAGTAACTAAATAAAAAAATTGGTAATTTGTATACTTACATTGAAGAATGATCTTTGTCAATATTTGAACTAGTCTTTACATCATTGCTAGTAGAAGCTAAACATACAAACATTACCATAACATAAAAATTGTAATATTATAATCAAAATTTTCAGAAAAAATACTAACCCTTGTTAGAATTTTGAATTTTTTCATATTTAAAATAATCTGAAAGCGATACAAAACACTCTTTTATTTGATTATGGCATCTCTTCTCAGTACTAACTACAATATGATCATTTTCCAAATTATTAGAGTTAACTTCTTCTTGAACATTTTGTTCTTGAATTTTCAAACTACAAAAAAAAAAATAATAAATAAATAAATAAATAAAATAAAATATTATATATTATATTATACAAATGTTGTACAATAACATTTAAACATTCACTCAAGGTTAAGTTAATCTAAATCACTCAATTTTTAACATTTTGAAGTATTATTTTTGCTTTATTGATATAAGTAATTTTAAAATATATTAATTGTAATAAGTTTAAAAACATTACTGATGTTTTGTTTTTGTATGTCTTGTAAGATTTCCATTAGTTGTAAATGACATATTGCATGGATCACACTTATATGGTTTTTCACGAGAGTGTGTTTTATAGTGAACAAGCAAATTATCTTTTTTTTTAAATTTTTTGCTACAACAAATGCACTTGAAGCGTTTTTTTTCGGTGTGAATATTTTGGTGATTTTGCAAATTAGATTGGTCTCGAAAGGATTTACAACAAACCTTACATTTGTATGGTTTTTCACCTGTGTGGATTCTACAATGTCTAACTATATGGTGTTTTTGAATAAATGATGCATTACAAACATCACATATAAAACATTTTTTTGAATCTTCTATATTATTTGTGGTAGGTTGTTTGGGTTTCTTTGATTTTTTTGGTGACATTATGTTGACATAAGCAATGGTCTAGAAAATAATTGTTTAAAAAATAGATTAGATAAGTATTTGAAAGACTAACATAAAAAAATCCAAGTTAATACCTATTCATTTATTTATTTTATAGTTAACAATAATTTATCATATTTAATATTTTAATTAATTTTTTATGTATTTATTTCATAAAGAAAAACCTCAATCTTTTTTTTTTTTTTGCTTCTTTAATTTTCTATAAAATAAAGATTTATTAATTATTATTAAATTACATAACAAAACAACATTTATTGTGAAATCACATGTTTTTGAATTAAACAATTATAAAAATAATGCATATTAAATTAAAATATCAATAAAACTCTTAGAGATACTGAGTAAATATTCTTATATTTAAACAGATTTTTGATATCTAAATTTGCCGATTTTATATAATTTTTTAAAAAAATGAAAATTTTACAAAATTCAAACACAAATAAAATTGGTTAGAAAAAATATTTTAAAATTCTGTTCCAAGAATATTTAGTACAACTTCTCGTGATTATTTTGATACCAAAATCATGTTTCTACGATCAACGAGGCCTGAGAACTATTGGAAGTACAAAAGCATGTTTTACAGTCGATTTTTTTTCTACTGTGACGCTCTCTTAAGAATAAGAATTGATGATTTATTTGAAAATTATAAAATCTATTAATCACATTAAATGTAATAATAAGCTAAAAAAATTAATCTTTGTTTGAATTGGTAACCTCTAATTTATCTTCATTCTTAATTTTTGTATACCTTAAATAAATAGAAAAAAATCAGATATATCAGTCTGCAACGCACTTTTTACACAGAATTAGTTACAAAAATCACATAAAAACAATGAATTATTACTATGGGAAAGTAAAAAAAAAAAAAAACACAAGAGTAAATTAATTATATTTGTTCAATACGGCTGATAATAACAGCAGAAATAGAAATATGTAACTAAAAATCAAGTATAAATAAAAATGTTAATACTACCTACTCAGATATTTTAAATACAAATTCTTGGTAATAGTCTCACAAATTATTGATCAATGACTAGAGACCAGAATTATTTACACTAAAAAGGAGCAAAATATATATAATAAGATATCCAGTATAAGTACAAAAAAATTGTATCAAATTTGAATTTTTATAAAAAATAATAAATTAACATTGATAACAAGACAAGTAAACAAGGTCCAATCAAAGGTCTAGGTTAGTCATAAACTATGATAGCAGCTAAGTAATTAATAATTGTCTTTTTTTTGATAGTATAAAGATAAAAAACATTTTTACTAAATTGAGTACTTTTTTTTTTTTTTATTATCAAAAATTGTTTAAAAAGAATTTCAAATTAGTTATTGATCAACATATTAATTCTCATCTTTAATATTTTAAAAAAAGGAAAATAATTTATTTAAATTAGGTATATAAATTATAAAAATAAATGCTCTGAAAACAAAATATGCCTTAGTTCTTTAAGTGTGTATCAATATAAAAATTAAAATTTAGTCAATAAAATCAAATTGATTTAAAATATTCAAATTATGAAGAATTGTGCATAAACACCCAGTATGAATGAGCAAACACATAACTGTAATTCCAATCTCTAATTTATGACATTAAAACACGATGATAGACGTTTTATTATTCTAATTAAATAATGAATGTAGATACTTAAAAATCAAAATATCCAAGTCTAGTATCTAAGCTGGATGTTACAAAAATTTCAAATTTTTATTAAATTCGAATATCTAAGTCTCAATACACGATAACAATATACATCCACATACAATAAATAACATACCTTAAATTTTATCTATAAATTCTAATCTCTGTTACAAGTTTAACTTGCCTATTGTACAACCGATTCTCAAGAAGAATTAACAATCAAATTAAACAGATTTATAATAACAACGATAGGATTAATCATATAATAATATATCTATTAAAATAAGATAATAACAAAGAACCATATAATAAATAACTCGGAAAATATGCATTCCGTAATTTATACGAGTCGTAATAAATTCATAAATTTATAGTAAATTTTAACTCACCTAGTTCGTTGTAAATATTCATCAACTGTGCATTGATTTGTTTTTGTTACACAATTACAATTGACTTTATACTGTAAACTCAGAATTAAAATCAAAAGGTAACTATTTTAATATCGTTTATACTCGATGAGATAATAATCAGTAAAATACTAAAAAATTATCTTTTTGAATAACGTTTGCGCTTTATATTATTTACGGATATTAAGTGAAACATTACGGTTAATGGCTCAAACGTTTCAAACAACAACTCGGCAAACAAGTAAATACTAAATAAGAATAACTGAAATTTAAGAGCTACTCGGAATTTACCATTCAGATATACTACCTATTAATTAATATTTATTGTTATTACTTATTATCATGTGAATATTCTTGGAGAGTCGGAGTTTTCATTTAAAAATAGCATTTTATTATTGCAGCTGGTGGTAAAAACCACGATATCTGTTTGGTATAATGCGTAGTTTAAGCTCGATCCATATTAAAAAGTACGTAGAAAATAGAAATCCACTGCCCTGGAAGATAAAGTCGCGTCTCTACTCTCGCTCGTGTGGACGAAAAACTTTCCCGCGCGTTGATCATATTTTGTAGGAGCGCTGCTGGTTTAACGTTTTCGAGATTACCGCCGGTTAACATTATTGTTGGGGCGTATGTTGGTACACAGTTAAATAAAAAAAAAAAACGCGCGTATTTTGAATTTTGAATGTATTTACAATATGATAGGTACATATCAATCATTAGTGTTGTATACCGATCTCGTTTCAGATTGATGACTGATGAGTGAGGAGGACTTAGCACCGCTGTTTTTCGACATAAAAAAAAAAAAAAAAAAAAAATGGTTGCTATCATATTCGTCAGCGGCCGCTTTTCATTCTCCCGACTATAGTTGTAAATTGTGATCTGTAAACACGACTAAACAAATAACAACAATCTGTAATAATCGAATGATCATTACTCGCTTGATCACCAATCGACGTGACAGCAATGAGAAATTAAGAACTACAAAGCGTCATTACACGGTTCTATTTTTTAATTCACAAAACTCGAAATTTCTCAATCTTAAAAATGTCTGACCAGCAGCGCTCTCCGACATAAAATGGTCATATAATTGAAAATGTTTTTACCTCAACAAGAGTTTAGAGGATGTATTCTACATGGTTTTCTGGGGGAGGGGAATTGTCGAATCTCGACTCTTCTATAAGGCCGTCTACATAGCGATAGCAACTGATCTGTAGAATAAAATTAATTTTTTTTTTAATTATTGTAGTCATGGAACATCACCACCGGCAATATTGGTTAAAACTTAAAGACTAAACCTGTGATTTAACTGCAGCTTTCCGCAGTTGCGGATCTGAAGTTCATTTAGGGAGGGGTGAATTGGTATTACTAGAGGTCCAAGTCTTAGAAAATTAAAATCTAGCGAGCCAGAACACAGAAAGCAAAAAAAAAAAAGTCATTCGCAAAATATGCATTTTAATTTGTTTATAATGTGAATAAACGTAGTACTTACGGGCCAGATAAAAAAAGGATTGCAGGCCACGTATTATACAAAAGAGCCGAAGGGGGGACGCCACCCCTCTCCCTCAAATCCGGTACTGGCTTTACATCGCTGATTAAATTTAATTTTAATGATGAAAAAAAAATTATTTAAGCAATACACCGTTACAATCAATAATATAGTATGGATAAGTTTATAATTAAATAATTATAAATAATTATACGTAATAGCGAGATTTGTATTATGTACCAACTGTACCAAGGTCCCGGTGTCCTGGTAATGGGAAGAATTGGAGGAACGGGCTCACAAAAACTCCTGAATAACAATTATAATTCAATATCATGTTTGGTGTTTAGTAAACATGATTAAATTTCACGAATTTTAAATATTATTCACCGCAAAAGACGTATTATATAAACAGGTAGGTATCAACCTGTCAAGTGCAGATATCCTATTTTCTTATAGCTGACACGGGCAATTCAGAGTTATTTGAAGACCAATGTTTATTTACTTAAAAGTTAAAAGTCTAGAGGGCCAGAGAGCATAGAAATTAGAAAGCAGCAAAAACAGTCATCAAAATTTAAAATTTATTATTCTTTAACGTTTATTTATTTTTACTTGTTTACATCTACAAGACATTTTAATGTTAAATTTTAGAATGTGTAGTTGCAGATCATAATTCAAAAAAATCGACTTAATACTAATGGACACTCATTCTCCTATAAGTTGTTAAATTGTTAAAAGTTCTACTTAAATTTTCGATTTCACGCTTTTTAGCGGACACTTTAAAAAGTAAAAACACATTACACCACAAGAAAATAAAAAAAAACCAACGGCTAGCGCGACAAAACGACAACGGAAACGATTAAACTGATAAAATAAGTACAGCCGTACAGGTGGTACCTATTAGCTTTGAATTTATAAATACATATTTAGGAGTGGCTCCCCCATTGGTCGTATACTTGTTTCAACGTATTTACATAGATATTTATAAAGTTCATTTTATACGTTTTTAAAATATAAATAAGTTGATATAATTTTTTATTTGTTTATTTTTATTTTTAAGTTATGTTTTATTGAGAGCAGTTCAAATTATTTTTGTTTACCTTGTATTATTGCTTTGCTCCCCCCCCCCCATTTAAAAATCTTAGCTGTGCCAGTGTGCCACTGTATTTAGACATTTACCAGATAATACCAGATTAGAATCAACAACAATGTTCGCGAAGAATATAATATATGTAATAAAATAAAATAGAGATACCAGCTAAACGTTAACAGTTAACATATTTTTATAAAATAATTCGATAATGTACGAGTATGACGGACGAGATAAAAAAAGGTATGCGGGCTGCCAGTAGCCCATTCGTGTTCTACAGCATCGATAACCGTTTGGTAGGTTGTGTAATAACGAGAAAAATAAGGCAAAACACTATAAAAATATTTAAGTTAAAAGTATGGCAAAAAGGGGGAGGAGATGCGGCCGGACTGACACCCGGGACACAAGCCTTGTATGTATATAAGTCCGGTACCTATTAATAATAATTATTGAATATACTTGTTTTCGTGTTATTACCTTCCTCCCGTTGTTCGGAGGGCTCTCGAGATCGTAATTCGAGAATATGATCAAGTACACCGTTAGTCGTTACGCAAATTAGATAGTAAAAGAACCTGTACTAACAATAAGTATTTTAGACATGCAGCTTACCCGATTCGCCGCAGTGAATACGTCTTATAGTACGTCACTCGGAGAAAGATGTAAGGCGACACGGATTGCGATACGAATAAAGAGAAACTCAAGTTTGAATAAGGAAAACAACTCTGATTTAACTTTTAAAAAAAGAAGTTCAGCTGTCGCTCGCAGAATCTTGTGGGTATGGTGTGTGGTGGTTTTTGGGTAGAGCTCCTGCTCGCTTGTCTGGTGCACCTGCACTGGTGAGAGAAGACAACGTGGTCAAGACGGCCAGCCAGAGTGGCAGGCGGCTCCAACAAAGGCCTCCGCGTCCTCAGAGAAATCGGCTTTCTACCCGACGACGGAGAGCCTCATTGGACCATCCCTTGTCTATGGCGGCACACGAAAATAGTTCACACGCTTTGCGCCATATTGTCGCAATAACGTGCGAGTTGTTACGTGACCAAAACAATGTAAATCGTTTCTCTCATCAGTGATCAATAGGGATTATTGGTTTTTATTGAGGGCTATCTGTGTGCGACAACTTTACCGTTATTTATTTAATGAAATAATAAAATATACAATAAATTATGACGTGTGAGCATGTCATTACAGTTGTTAGATTCTATTAAATTACAAGGGATAAATAATAATAACCAACAAAGTAAAACTTTTGACGTTACACGTTTTAATTATGAATGAAAAGTTATTATATGTCATCTAGTACAATAAAAAAATAAATAAATGAGAATCAATTTTAAAATTTATTACTCAGCAATTATTGATGACGAGATTACGATGATAAAACAATTTATAATGACTACATTCAATTTTGGAATTTACCATTTAAAAATAAATTAACCTAGTTGCCTTTGTACTCGAGGCAAAACGTGTTTTGTTCACCTTAACTTTTACGCTGACCCCCCCTCTTTTATCCAATCAAAAGGTTAAAAACAACAAAATATACATGATAATACATATGTTCAAACTGTTTGAGATATAATTTTTACCAAGTTAATTGTTTATAATAATAAAATGTTAAAATATTTTGAATATATACATTACTTGTCAATACTCAATTATTATTCTTATAAATTCATAATCAATTAAAAAAAATTACAAAATTTATGGTCATGTGAAGATGTACCATCATAAATTTTATAAAATATTTAACTACAGAATAGATACTCAAAATACTCAACAAAAATTAATTATTAAACAATTTATCCTATCTACACAAATAATTAATCAAGTTTTATCACTAAATCATTAATAAATTAAAAACTAATATTCGTTAAAAAAAAAAAACTAATGTTCTTTATTTTATTTAATAATGATTATAAAGAAGTAAAGGTAAAATTATTTGGAAAATAATTATAGTTGAGGCGTTAATCCCAAACGCTTAACTACTGCTAATTGTGCCCTTGCTGAATCTCTCAGCGAAAATATGTGTAACAATTCCTTTTCAGACTTGGACAAAGGTACTGCTTTTTCTAAACATTCAACAGCTTCATCTAATTTTCCTCTGCAACATTAACAATAAACTTATCATTTTTATATTTGTATAAACAGTAAATAAACTTAATACAAGAAGTAATTCATTTATAAAAAAAATTAATAATAATGGATTATTAGAGTTAAAATTATATTAAGTGTGTTAACTACTATTATAATTTATAATATATTTATGGGATGAATCAATTTTATGATGTTAGTAGTTCAATAATTGTACAACCTACTAGCAAGATGTTACCTACACATGCAAATATATTGTCTTGTATGCTATTTATATTCTTGCTCAGTGAGAAAACATACCGCGGGACAACAAAAATGAAGTTAACGGTTATGATGGCTGTGTGATGCGTAGGAATGTGCAGAATCAGAGTGTTCTCTCACTGAATATAGTATAGATATCCATGATTAATTTTACAAAAATCCTAACTATACTTTATGATAGACAAGTAATTAAAATTACAACACAAATCATCAGTAATGTTCTTAAATTAGCTAAAGACAACTTTGATACAACAAATAATAGTTTGAAAATGGTTAAAGCTATCAGGTGAACTAGTCCTAATATCTATGCGATAGAAACATATATTTGTACTCTGGGATCGATTTGATGATTTTAAATACTAAATCAAATTATATTTTCTATCTAAACTAAACTGATAAGTGTAGCAAAAAATTAATGTTTTAGTGATTTTAAGAAAATTCTATATACAATAAAAAAAAAAAAAATTTAAGCATAAATTAAATACTAATTATTTTTATCAATTATTTTTAGTTTCATTGTTTTTAAAAAGTTAAAGTTATGTAGATTTTTAAAAACAAATCTAAATAATTTTAGGAGTACTAAATTA